TTTTAAGCTCAGAAAGTAATTACTTAGTTACTTCTATTAGGGAAGTACTATAATAACGAATTCCCTAGTAATAATTATATAGCTTTTCTAGAACTCTAGGCCAGAGGTAATTAGCCCTTACCTACTAAAAGCGAATTGGACTAATATTATAAAAGAGAATAAAGTTATTAATCTATTAGTAAAGGATATTTATATAAATAAATTAAATAGTAATTAGGTTATAGTAAGACTTTCTATTAAAGATACTTATATTATAAAAAGATTTAAAGAACTGTCTCCAGGTCTCTATAAGCCTACTAGCTAAGGTATTTCACTATATCTCAATATACTAATTCTTTATTAAGGGCTCATAAGTAAAGGCCTTTTTCTATAGTAAATTATAACTCTTTACTAACTACCGGAGCTCGACTTATATAACTACTATAAGTAATGTCTCCTAGCCTTTATTAGCTCGTAACTTTTTTAGAAAGTAATCCTATTTCCTAATATAGAGGAAATAGAACTTTAAAATAATAATTTATATATAATTTAATATACTAATAAAAATACTAATTATTATTCGAGAATATATATTAATAATACTATAGATCTAGAAGCTATAATAGAATAACTTGTTATGCCTATCTATAGACTAATATTAACCTGGCCCCTTAATAATAAACCTCCTATATTTCCGATTCTTATACTTATCTTGCGCCTTTACTTCTACCTTATCTAATATCCTAAGTATCCGCCATATCTCCTTACGGGATATAAATTTACTAGTATTCTTTTAGACCTAATAGTATATTCTCCTATAGCTATACCGGATTAATTAACTATTCTTTAGTTCCTTGAGAATGAATTCTTTAGCTTCCTTAAGGGCATTAATATACTTGGTATCAAATTGATTTCGTCTTAGCTAAAGCTTATAATAGCGCCAAATTATTTTCAGGGTATATATATTAAGCCTAGGGTAATCGAGTTTATAATTAAAGATCCGAAGTATACGTTTGAGTAAATAGTTCTAATACTAGAGGTAATATACTATCTTAACTAGCTTCTTATTATAGAGATATGCCTTATACTTTACTTATTATTAATCCGGAAAGAGTTTAGTATTCTATTATTATAATTAAGTAATATAGCTAGTCTTACTAGTATAAAACCCTTCTAGTTATAAGGTATATCTAATATTCTAAAGAGTCTTCTCTTAAATATAATAGAGCTCTTTAATTTGAGCTTAATATTATTCCTATAATTAAGGATTAATTCTATTAGTTCTTATAATATAGTATAGTTTACAAGTTATAGTAATAGTAATTAGAAATAAAAAGTAAAGAGGAGAGGAAATATATAGTCCTTAAATATTAGTCTATACTAGTACGAAAACCTTACTTTTATATTTATATAAAATATAATATTATAATTACTAAAAATAATCTTGTTTTTATATTATATTATCTAGATATACTATATCTAGATTATAAAATAATACTAATATTTCGTTTCTTATATATAAAGAAAGCTTATTTTTAGCGTTATATAACTATATAATTCCCTGGATCCGAGAAACTAGTATAAAATTTAGAGAGGACAACTTACTATTTATATAATTCCAAAATTATTAGGCTTCCTAATCTAATCCTATACTCTTTAGGTTTAACTAGGAACTCTCTATCTATACCCTAGTATTATACTAGTAGCGGACTTGTAAATATAGTTTATCTAACCTACTTATTTGGCCCGGGAATTATATCTTGTAATTTCCCTTTATAAAAGTAGTATTAGTATAGCAAATACTATTACTTATAAAATTAATTCTATCTTCTAATTAGCTTATTAATCCCATTATTGCCTCTATTTGCGAATTTATTATTACTCTATAAAAGAGAGAGCTTGGAAAAGTTAATCTAATCTTCTAGTTTATTTATAAATTCGTTCTTTTATATTTTTTGAGTCTTTATAATATAAAGGTAACTCCGAATTCGTAATTACTTCTCGGGAAAAGGGTATTATAAAAAGGCCTTCTTTTTCTTCTAACTAACCCTTTTTCTCTTAACTATAATACTATATCTAACCTTTTCTTTACCTCTTTTCTTCTTTCTTCAAGTATTATTTAAGCCTTTCTTCCTATTATAAGGTAAATATAATCCTTTATTATACCGCTAAAGAAGTCCTTAAAGAGAGAGAAGAGATATAATATATATAATATTAGTAATATTAATAACCTATACCTGTCTAGTAAAGCTAAATAATATAATATAGCTCGAGTATAAAGGCTTTAAGACTCGAGGCATTATAGAGGAATAGTAAATTATACTTTCTCTATATAAAAAGCTAGAATATAGTACTAATTAAATATTAGAATAATAATTTATTAAATCTATTAAACCCCTCTCCTTCCTTAAATACCTTATAGCCTCTTCCTGCTACTGCCAATAAATAGTACTATCTCGAGCTTTTCGATATCCCCGATAAGATAATATAAGTTATAAAGGATATCTATAAAATACTAGAGATTTGAGATATAAAGTTTTATTCTAGAAAGAAGCTAGCTAACTTAGATAATCCGAAGATTATAGTAAATCTGGAGGTAGTATATAGTTAAATTTAAGGCTATTTAGTACCTATACCTTATATTAATTATATGAAAAAGAACCCCAAAGGCCTATAGCAGGAATATATATAAGTTCAGGGCAAATTCGACCGAGCCTATTATAATTACAGATATAATAATAGCGGCAGAGTATATACTTTATACCGCCTTAATATAGTACTAAAAGATCTAGCTCCTCCCAAGTTAGCCTCCGCAAAACCTTAATCTTTAAAACCACGAATACCCTCGAAATAGAGTAATAAAGTAAAGAGACTAATAAAGGGGGAGAGAGAGAGAGAGAAAGAGGGTAAGGATAAGGATAAAGAAAATAATAGAGATAGAGATATTTCGAGTATTATAGGGGATAATAGCGAGAATAATAATAGTAAGGAAGGTGTGCCTCGTAATCCATAGGATCTACTATACGGATTACGCAAGTTAAAGGGGGATTAATAGTAGTTGAGAAGGGGGGGCGGAGGCAGGGGCGGGGGCGGAGGGGATACTAGAGATATTATAGTAAAGACAAATACAAATATCGGTACGTTTAGTAACTGCGAATAGCTTTATTTTGGCTATCTCTATATAAGTTATATATACGAGTGTAATAGTGGTTACGCCCGCAGAATGCGGTATTTTGGTTACGGGCGATTTTTGGTGGGGTGCACACGTGCCACAAATCAGATATCGAAGGTCGAAAACCAGATTCGAAAATCGCTTGGTCTTCTGATCCTTACGGCTTTCCGTAGGTATCAATACTATCGATAAAGTATCGATTCCTATCGATTCCCGGAACCCAATTCCCCCCTTTAATTGCAATTGACTTTAGAACCACTTCCCTTATAAGAAAGCTTTTGGTAGCGCAAATATTCTACTTAATTTAGGCTTTCTATTTAGCTACTTATCTTATAGTTTAGACTAAAACTCGTCTCAATGCGGCTATTTTAAGCAAAAAATAGCTTTTGAGATTTTCGTGAGGCTCGCTTATAATAAGCGTTCCGATAAGAGATACGAATACGATACTAAATTTTCCGAATACGAGAGCTTTTTTAAATTAAAATAATATTAACTTTTATTAATAATATTAAGCAATTCCTTTAATAGAAAGACTAGAAAACAAAGAAATTATATATGAATACATTATTATATAAATTAAATAATAAATGGAAGAGATAATTTAAGGCCAAGTATTGATTCGGTATTGATACGTATCGATTCTTGCGATACCTAAGTAATACCATCCAGTATCAATACCTTATCGATACCAAAAGTATTTTTGCCAAGCCTGCTAGAAAGTACGGATCTGGATGTGTGCAGTAGATTTAGAAATTAGGAAAAAGATCTGACTCTTGGCCCACGGCCGGCAAGCTTCGGAAAAGAATTGACGTCGAAAATCTGCGCCCGAGCGTTCCAGGCATGCTTAGAGATATTTGAGATTTGCCAAATTACATGTTTTGCCCTGAGGATTGGGTCGATGTTGATTGGAGTCGCACCCATTTCGCATTCTTTCCTTCTCAAGGCCCGTTTCGCAACCCTCGAATGCTGGTATTCGGTCAATATCCGAACACTAGCTTTTGATTATTAGAAATATAAGTGTTTCGCGTATATTTGTATATTAGCAGCCATTACTGGCCTTCGATGCTCGTATTCCCTCTCATATTAAGTATTTGGACACTAGCTTTCGCCCTTTCTAGTTACCTTATAGCCCCCTCTAGGGCATAAAACTATTTCTCAAGCTATATATTTTGCGATTCACCTAGAATGTATATTGCGTTAATTTATTTAGTAGTAAATAATATAAGATATAATTATTTCATTAATCATTTTTCTATTAAATAATAAAATAAATCTAGAGTTCCAGTTACTATAATTATGGGAAGTAATTATTAATTATTAGAAAAGGAGAAGCGAGAGGTTAGTGAGACTGAAAATAGAGGCTAAATAAGCCAACGGAGATGACACTGAAACCTTCGTAATTACAATGATTATTGAGTATCTATATCTTACGAATCACTTTTAATTTATGCGAATACTAGCTCCGAATATCGAGTGTTCAACGCTAGTAATAGTTATTGGTAATTACCAGTAATCAAGAGACGTGTGTTCGTGCAAAACGGCCCTCAGCCGCTCGACCATAACGACGTGTGAAAGGAATATTGAAAAGAATAGAGGGCTAAAGCCACATTAGAGTCCAAAACGGTTCCGAGTCTGACGCTTATTCAGAACAAAGATTGGTACATTCTTGTTCTAATAAATAAGGACCATCACTCTGTTAACAACATGCTTACATTGTCCAGTTGCTGTGTAGGGCATCTTTTAAACTTGCTTGCGCAGTCACTCCTTGCAAGTCTGGTCGGGGCATTTTATCCACTTTGTTAAGTTCAGGTCAGTCTCCTTTAAGTTGTAAGGCTTAGCATAGCTTATACAGAGAGGTAGAGAGCTTTGTAAATAGGAGTGAGGTTTGGAAAGACCCGTAGAAGATAAAGAGAGCTCTATTCCCGTAGGAAAAGTCACGTTATCCTCCTGACCTCGTAATAATATAAAACATTGAATCTATTAATATAATCGAAAAGACCGAAACCAGTTGACGCCATTACCGAACCCACCCTTCCTTCCTCATCACCTCCCTAGTCCACTCCTCCAACGTCTCTGCAAGCTTCCCATCCTTCGCCGCACCGCTCTGCCACCTCGGCTCCCCAAACCGCCGGAAAATTTCAAAATACGTGCCGCTCTGCTCCGCCTTCATATCCCGACTCGCCGCACAGAACAAACTGGTCCACGACCCTTTATCGGCAGGCCATACCAATCCGAACATGCGTAAGACCGAGAAAACACTCATTATGCCCGACCCCGACTTCCCCACCGACGTGGCGAGGTTCGTCTCAACTATACCTGGATGCACGGACGAAACCCAGATCTCGCCCTCCCCATTCTGCGCACTGGGAGAGCCAGGGCCGTACGTCTTGTGCAGGGTCTTGGTGTGCAGAATGTTGGCGAGCTTGCTCTGTCCGTAACGCGGCCACGGGCCGCTATCCTTGAGCGATAGGTCTCTAAAATTGATGCCGCCCTTGGGTGCGCCCAAGTGGCCCGATGAAGTGAGGTTGACGATGCGCACGCTGCCCGGAGGAAGCGTCTTGGCGGTCCGCAGCATCAGAGGAAGCAGGTGCTCCGTCAAAACCCAGTGCGCGAGATAGTTGGTCTGCCACTGGGCCTCGTGACCATCTTTGGTCATTTCGAAGGGCGTCGCCATGATGCCTGCGTTGTTGACCAGGCCATGCAGGGCTATTTCGAGGGTGAGGAAGTGCTTGGCGGCCGCGACGACGCTGGTGAGGTCCATGAGGTCCATTTGCAGGAGGTCAATGTTGGCCGAGGGGTGCATTTTCTTGATGTTGGCGATGGCTGCTATGCCCTTCTCTGGGGATCGTGCGCACATGTAAACGTGGGCTCCGTGTTCTGCTAGGTGTGCTACGGTGTAGTAGCCTCTGTGGTTTGGTGAGATCAGCAATTCGGGCTTCGTGGTGAGAGGGGAGAGGGGAGACTTACATGCCGGAATTCCCACCTGTGACTATGAACACTTTGCCCTTGAGATCGGGGAGAGTGTCGGTATGGAAATTCATGTCCAAAACGAGTACTTGAGTCAATGTGTGTAGGTGTGTTACTAAGAAACAGATAATTCAATGTCTTGGATTGAGTTCTACGTCTTTGATGATACGAAAAGATGCGTCGAAATTAAGGTGCTGCTACGATCTTTATATTGGATTTATTGAACAATGCCCGAGATATTTGCATCTTGGATATTATTCCGAGCTTCAGATATCGTGAGCAAGGTGCATGACCCTTGGACCAATCACATCACATTCAACTTGGTCATATTGAATAGATGGACTAATAGGAGAATTCGGAGTGAGCCAGTGAGCCAGCTGCATAAAGCATGGGGTTCACTGCCGAATTTCTAGCTACTGTCAAAATTAGCAACCCTCGGGAAATCATAACGTTGCGTTTGTTAATCAAGTGGTGCAATGTGTGATGCTGGGGCTGGTGATCCTGGTCCATAATGTGAGCAGGTTGCATGACACTAGACCTGTTCAAGTTTGATACAATAATAGTGACCAATGATATCGTTCTATTTCACTAAACCCTGCCAGCCTGCGCCTCAGCTCTGAATAGTAGGCACATCAAGTCCTCCGTTCCCGAGTGTCAGACTCGTCATTGTGACCAGGCTGTATAAACCGCCTTGGCCGGCCCGAAGAAACTTGCATCATTCATCACCAATCTCATCATCACCGTAATTCAAACGTCTGCTAGCATCATGATTAGTACGTATCAGCCTGCAAATTCAACAGCACCACACATCCAACTCGCGTCGATGCCACAATTGGCCGAGGTACGTACCAGGCCGCCTTCAATCACCAAGACGACATGACCTTGCTCACCATGTACAGGCGACAAGCAGAGAAGACGACTGGACTGGGACCAAGGATGCCGCAGGACGCAGACGGACACAGACTAGGCTCAACACAAGGGCATACCGTAAGTAAGCCTCTTTCGTCCAAATCAGGAGTCAGGACCAGTCTGATCAAGGGGTACCCAATTATCGAAACTAACAGCCCAGTAGGAAAACGCAAAGCCCTAGAAAAGAAAGCCAAAGAATCCAGTGCCGCAACCGGGACACTGAACAAATCAGAAGCGCTGGTGGAATGCTGGGATATTGAGCAGCAATCCGTCTCTATCGTCCCAGCATCCCATGTCAAGCAACTATACAATGCGAGAAATCCTTTGCTGCTAGATAAACATAGAAAAAAGCAGTTTAACATTGTCTTCCCCCTCTGTCCAGACCACCTCATCACACTCCTCCAATTCAACGCCCTCCGCGCCCTGGCCGTCAACCGCACTCTAATCTCGGGCATCCTCGTCACGCCGCTCGACTGTGATGAGGAAGTTATCCACGTCATCCCCTACCCTACCAAGCCCGAACTACTCCCTTCAACACTCCTACCGACCACCCTTCAACAAACGGTGCCGCACGGCGACTGGATCGACATGTTCCCGTGTCCCGAGGGACGAGACCGCCTGATCCGGGCCGCAGGCACCTTTGACGAGGACGAGCTGTGGGCCGACTGCATCGGCGGGCTGTATGAGGGCTTTCCCGACGACGAGGTCGAGCGACGCGGCATCATTGCGTGGTCGCCACCCTGGGATATCACCGGGTGGGAGATGTCGGAAGGGTTTCTGAGGAAATGGGGGTGGTTGTTTAAAGGGTTGCCGGGGTCGTTAGAGGCGACGAATCGGTGGCGGATGGAGAGAGGCGAAGAGCCATTTGTTCGTGATGACCGCATGTCACATGCAACTGTATGACTGACCTTTGTGTTGTCCGGCTACTTCTTCGTCATCGGCCGAGCTGGATGTTTGAGCGAAACATAGCAGATTTTGAGATAATTCCTTACTCCTTCTACAGCCACACTACGTTGCAAATGCCCTCTGAGATCCAGGCTCGAATCGCACACGCGATCGATATTGCCGTCGACACACGGATCAATCCTGTGACACTGGCAGTCAACAGAGAAGTAGCTGCTCTTGCAATCGCCGAAGAAGCATCATCAAAACTCATCGAAGGCGCAATTTGAGATGTTGGAAAGAACAATATGGAGGAGCTTCAAAACCATAGTGGAAAGATCAGTCTGGACTTGGAAAGCAAATTCAGCACTCTGTCTATAACCCAGGAAGCCTGCGCTGGGGGTATAGCGAGGATCGAAGACTAGTCCCGAAAGATATGGGAAGAAGCACAAAGTGAAGCTATTGAGAGTCGCACAGCCTCTAAGGATGTCTAGGAAATGATTTCAAATCTTTCTACCTGTTAATTCCAGTCTACTAACATGGTCTTAAGGGGAGTTTGACAAGAGGGTCAAGAAACAGCACTTGAAATTCGAAAGCATACATGGGTATGCCGAGAATGAGCATTGAGCCTCCTCCAAAAACTTGATCGTATGACCTGGCTGGCGGAGACAGTAAAGGATCGAATGTGCAACCTGTCAATCGCACAACAATCTGCTCGGTTGACCACCACCAATTCTGAGATAGAGAGGGCGATCGATAATATCCAACGAAGTATTTGGCTACTGTTATCTGCTCTACATTTATTAATACGAGAGCTCATGCGAGTAAAACGGTGAAACCTGTGGTGAGATCAACTAAGCTGATATTTCAAAGTCAGCTCCTCGCTCCGCATGCCGTTGCTATTTATGGCTCGACTTTGAATTGACAATGGGGTAGAATTTTTAGTATCTCCTCATCGACACTCTCCAGGGTGAAGCCGGTCTATCGTGAATCTTGAAAGGCCAATTCCTAGTTTTGAATGGGTTTAACGAGGTCCCTATCCACAAAAAGGCGTGGCGGGCTGGAATTCAACCCAAGTCAAGAGTCGCTACGGCGATACTGCTTGAATCCGAGGCAGTAAAGAAAGGAAGATGTACAAACCCTTCTTGTCCCGGACAAGTCGATTTTGGAAATGATGAGGACACTCGTGTGTGGTAAGCTGGAACTTCCAGTTACGATCGGCGGTCTCGGAATCTAACTTAAGAGTCTAGTCCAATCTGCAGCAAGCATCTCTCCACTTTGAAGGATGTCAATGACGATGGAGAGGTTGGCCCCGAGAGTACCTCTTCATTTGCTTTCGAGAGCGATACTCAAATCCCGGTTTTAAAAGCTACTATTGATCGAATTCCACCCTCCAACGACAGTAAGGATTCTTCGACCCCAGAGAGAGTTCAGCCTTCATTCAAAGTCACCCGTAATCCGTTCGTAACCGTCGACAAAGATGTTGCCGCTTATAAAAGAGTTATCTGGCAAGAGTCAAATGAGTAAGCCTTCCATTCCAGAGGCTCGTTTTGATCTGCTACTGTTAGACTCACATGAACTTTAGTATCGCAGAGAATGCCCAAGGCTCCATATAGCAACCAGAAGGGAAACGGCCTCGCCGCTCTCGGGGTATCCAGGCCCGGCGGAAGTCAGCTCTACGAACTCGAAAGACCGAACCATCTGTGCTATCAGAATTGCATCTTCAACCACTGCCACGAGCCCCAAGCCCCCCCCCCCCCCAGATGGAAATCGGACACGCCGCAGTTGGGAGGGAACTTCATCGGCCGTTCAGGATTAGAGCCATGCGGAACTGGTAGCATGATGATAAGCGCCGGTCAGGGTCCTTAAGGCAAAGTTGGTAAGTGAAGAAATCATCTCGTTTTCGCCTGTCTCAAGGCTGACACATTCTAGTCTTCCATCATCTCTCGTGCCAATCATTAAGTATTGGTTCATGGAAACGAGTAGGACAAAATGCTATTGACCTAATCACCTTCTACTCACTGGAGAAAGGGTGCATGACATACTACATCAACAACGACCAAGTCGGCTATGAAATCGAATACCCCTCGGCATACATCCTCGAAACACAAGCACCACTTTAAGCAACTAGGAATGAGAAATTCGGCAGTTTCCTTCATATTTGGACCCCCCCTCAGCCTTCAAACAATCCAGACAAATGAAAGTCCCCTGTTGCTGCTTTATAAACCTAACTTCCTCTTGCAGCTTGCTGGATAAGTTATAAGTGGATTCAACGTCGCAACTACAGTTGCGAAGCGTACAGGTGTACTGTGAGATGGAAATGTATGGTAGAAGTGATGCCTTTCTTATGAGATCACAGAATCTATGCTCTGTAAAGTCGAGATCGTAGGGCAGGATTTTCGTTATTTGAAGAGAGTTGAAGTAGGATCCGACAGCCTTAGCAGCGCGATAACAATTTTTCGTGAGAGTTTGCCAGTTCTCGTTCGCAGGAGCCATCATGCCTCGATGAAATGACTTGCAACATTGGAACCTTTTTGTATCCAGCTCTCCTATGAAAAATTAGCTGCAGTTTACATATAGATACTAGAGACGGACGGGCAACATTCTGATGTAGAAGAGGATGATCCACTAGAATTACTGCTTGCGTAAATGGTCCCAAGAATGGGCCCTTGTGAGTGAGGAAGAGTTTCCATGAAATTCCCAAGAATTCATAGGGGAGATCTACGACATATGCGAAGATGAGGAGTCGGCAAAGATCGTCAATTGGAGGGTCCTCCTTGTCGCAGACTAGCAGCCAGTTCCTCAGCCAGAGACCACCACAATATTTCATAGCATTGATACACCGGTATTTATCGCAGAGATATGCTAGCTTCTCCAAGCAAACAGTAGTGGGTTTCTCGGGAACGTCCTTAATGTTGAAGTGAAGGATTTTGCAAAGGACGATCGTCGCTTCTGCATCGTCTTCTGGAAGGGGCAAGTCATAAGTCTCCGAAGATGCTGTTTTCTCGGCTAGTTCAACACCTTCTTTGAACTTGCCACCGATCATGACCCTAAACACCGGTGAGGCAAGAGATAGCACCTTAGAGGACACAATCAGCTCTCGGGTTTCTAGTTTCTCGCCCTCGGTCTTGCCATCAGCAGCGGCTTCACTGGGCTGTTTTTCGTGAAGTTGTAACACGATATCCCCTTCGGGGTCGATTATAACTCTTGGTAACATAATGGAGGGGTAAAGATTATATGACGTTACGAAAATCTAACCGGGAAATCATGTGTCGTGGCCCGCCTGAGGCTGAAGATAAGAAAAGTATCATCATGTGATGATAGTGTGTCCGGGCGACTTTTCTGTACTCAGAAGTACGCCTCTCACGTACTCCGTAGAAGTATCCACTAGCCAACCGCCCAAACCCCCATCCGCCCACGCCTAAAAAATCGATTTTTAATCACACCTTCAGTATAATTACAAATCCTTTAATATATTAACATCCCATAGTATTTTTAATATCCTAATAACTATATATTTAATTTAATCTTGTGGTGCGGCTAGAATCACCTGTTAATGTCGAATTTTTTAATTTTTGGTACGCGGTCGCACCTCATAATTTTTAGTAAGCCAAGGTGAGCAAGGGTGAGTTGAAGAGGAGAGCGATGACCTTGCTACTTAGCCAGTAAGCAGTCTCCCAGCTTTCATAGTCTACATTAAAGCATGGAACTAAGTATTCCAAAGCGGAGATCTCCAAGCTAGACTCTTACGTCCCCGATAATTTGATTGCCCAGGTATCGAGGGCCAAGCTGGGACCGTGAGCCGCTTGGTGGCTCGTGCTCTGACATTGAACGGTACCTTAGCGTTCGCAGGGCGGGCCCCCGTAACTTTCTTCCCGGTCCGTAACTACCTCTTGCCATTCTGCGAGCCCTCTCAACATCCATTCTCCTCCGTAGTTCCCTCCTAGCCCTTACTCTCCTCCCGCGATCCCTCCCAAACCTTACTCCCCCTTATAGAGCTCCCTTCTGCGCCCGTATCTCCCTCACAGCCATTACTCGCGCCCGTGGAACATTCCCTTCCACCTTGCGAACATTCCTAAACCTTACTCTTACCCGTCTCATATGCATAAATATTGTCTGTATAGTCGTACAGTAGTTTCTTGCTAGCTGTGCGATATAAGTGGGAGTAGTCAACTCGGGGGGCTCGTGCAATACATCTTCGATTCAGGCCCTTTTAGTTGCGGTCGAATGGTAAGGCATCTAGGCAAGTGCACCAGTCAACAAAAGATAGACCTATATGCCCCCATGAATTTGAGCTACTCACCTCTGGGATTGAGGTTGTAGTTGTACTGTAGTCAGGGGTGAGGAAGAAGAAAAGAGGGGAGGAAGAAGAAAGGGGGAGAGGAAGAAGAAAGGGAGAGAGGAAGAAGAAAGGGAGAGAGGAAGAAGAAAAGGGGAGGGGAAGAAGAAAGGGGGAGAGCGTAATAAGAGTAATGCCCGATTCGAGGTTGACACGTAGTTATGATGGTCCACTTCAAAACGCGATTGTAGCGACCGTTAATTCGACTGATATTGCTATACCGAGCGAGGAGGCGATGGGTAATGCCTCAGGTGAGCCCTTCCGGGAACGGAAGGCTGCGTAGTGCCTTATGTAATCAGGCTACAGTCCACGATTGGCTAAGCCTCATCCATAGCCTCCGCCCCAGCCTCATCGACAACTTCATTATTCGGCTTGAGTGTTCCACTTCTCCGTTCTTTACCTTTGTTCCTTTACAACATGGCAGAGGCTCTGTTGGCTCTTGGGCTTGCCGCTAATATCGTTCAATTCATCGACTTACAACGAAAGTCATCTCGACCGGCTATCAAACAAGGTCCTCGAGATATGGAGGGGTGGCGGGAATAGAGTTGATCCGCAATGTGAATGACGACTTGAGAAGCACTGTCGATGACCTAGAGCGATCTCTCAAAGAGGAGCAACCAGAGCAGCCGACGCAAAACAAGAAGGAGCTCTTGCTCCTTGCGGAACAGTGCAGAGATGTCGCGAATGAGCTCTTCGCGGTTTTGGAGCCTCTCAAGGTCTACGCAAAATCGAAGGATATCGAATTAAAGGCGGAAAGCAAGAGCAAAGATAGGTGGTATAAGCGGACTTCTTCTTTTCCTGTTGAGTGGTATGGCTGGCAGAACTTTCGAACTGCATTGAGGACGGTGTGGAAAGAGGACCAGATAAAGCTCCTTGAGAACAAAGTCGACGCTTTCAGACAGCAACTCATTCTACGTATTCTAGTCTCATTTAGGTAACTATATCACTATCTAAGCGGAGAAGGTCTCCAGTTGATAATATTCTAATAGAGAAGAGATGAAAGATTCACACTCGGCACAATCTTCGATGCGAGGCTATACCGAAGGTCTGGGAGAAACTTTCTTGAAGTATATTGAGGAGAGCAAGCGCTGGCAAGCGGATCTCATAAATGAAATCCATCGAGACCAGTCTAGTGCCACGGAGCGAGGCATCTCAGCAGCAGTTTCACATCCACATGCAACCGGGAGAGAGAAACGACTGGAACAAAAACTTATTGATCTTCTCTATTTTCCTGAAACTAGCGACAGAGAGAATCGTATTGTTGTTGCTCACAAAAAGACATTCCGGTGGATCTATAGCGACCCAGATTCCGGAGGCACTCCATGGCCAAGCTTCACAAAATGGCTCCAAAGCGGCTCTGGACTCTACTGGATTACCGGTAAAGCTGGTTCTGGCAAGTCAACCTTGATGAAATTCATCTACAACAATGACCTTACTTTCGATAATTTGCGAGCCTGGAGGCTAACTATTCCACTGGCAACAGGGGTTTTCTTCTTTTGGAATTCGGGGCACGGCATGCAAATGTCTCAACTTGGCATGTTACAATCTATCTTGTGCCAGCTTGTGACGAAATTTCCTGATCTTATCCCTCGACTCTTCCCTGAACGCTGGGAAGCCTACAATCTCTTCAGCAACGACCCACAAGATTTGACCAAGGAAGAACTACTCAGAGCATTCAGACTCTTGGCAGACGAGGATCCTCGGAAGAGAAGCTATTGCCTGTTTCTTGATGGACCCAGTATGTCAAATAATTTAATTAATTATAATTATTGGCCGGTAATCAAATTAAATTAAGTCAGAATCATAGTAATTAAATTATAATTAATTATTTACTTAATTTAATTAAATATAATTAATTATTTAGTCACGTGGTATTACACATAACTGCGGAAATAGCAAAAGGGCTATAGCGTGAAAATAAGGTTTGCTCTAGCCTAATTTGGATACCACCTTACCGCAATAGGCTTAGCAGCGGCTATACCCGCTTGGTAAGCGAGCCGGAAGGCGCTAGAACCACCTCGACTTTTCAGTAATTCTTCGGTACCTTATAAATAATATAATTATAAATAAAGTAATTATAAATAAGGGATCTTAGAAATTAGTGGTTTGAAATCAGGCGAGTATTTCTAATTAGACGCTTATTAAAGAATCTTCTAGATTTTTAGACATTTTATATATAAATAACTGATTCTCCTCGATTTTCTAGTAATTCCTTTACTTCAAAACTATATATCACATTAACTACTTATCCTATTAAAAAGATTTCTACTATAAAGTTACTCGAAACTACTATACCTATCTGGAAATATCGTCTATTAAGCTTAATATCCTTTAAAATAGAGAGGATTTTGAACTAGAACTATTTAAATAATAACCTCCTATCTTTTCCCTCGGATATTATTCGAAAACTCTTGACCCTCCTAAAAAAAACCCGGAGGATCCAATTAACTATCGAATAGTTACTATTAAGTACTTATTTAAGAACTGCAAGTAAGTTATATCTATTAGAATTAAAGGAATTAAAGCTAATATAATATTAGTAAAGTATTTCGAAAGCAAAGAGTTAATACCGCTATAAGCAATTATAAAACCCATTATCTTAATATATATAAATCGGTTAATATTAATAAAGCTTTAAAGGCTAAAGCTCCTATAAGTAAGTTTAAATTATAATTAAAACTTAAAGAAATAATAAACTAACTTTTTATTTTAGATACTATTATAGAAAATATAGCTAAATCAAGTCAAATATCTATTATAAGTTCCTTTAATAAAGGTTCTAGTAATACGGACTTAGAATCCTTTACTATAACTCACTTTAAGAGGTTATTATTAGACTTTATAGTTAATAATAATATTTCTTTTTATGTAGTTACTACTCCAAGCTTTTAAAAGCTTCTTAATTACTTAAACTAGTAAGTTATTAAAAAATCATCTTATATATTATTAAACTAACTTCTTTATAGTAAAGTACTGCCTTTATATTCTCAAGTTCTTATAGACGAACTTACTTTAAGGTTTAATGAAAATAGTAACCTTATTAAAGAAGAATTATTAGAAAATATCTTATTAAATAGTGCTTTCTCTATTACTTTAGATGCCTAGATAGCTATAAATCAAAAGGCTTATTTAGAAATTACTATATAAGTTATTCTTATTAACTTATTAATATAATATTTACTAATTTAATTTCTAGTTATTTTATAAATAAAGATTTTAAATTAAAATCTTATTTATTAGCTATAAAAGATTTAAAGGATATTTATAGCGGTAAATATATGAATTCGGTCTTACTAGAAGCTTTAAAAGTATATAATATCGAGTATAATATTATTAGGTAAATAATATAACTCTTATTATTTAAAGAAAAACTACTAATATATTTAATTTAATATTACTCGAGATAATACTAGCTCAAATAATACCTTATTATAAGCTTTTATAAAGTATTATAATAAGGAAGGTATTAAATTTCAAGAAGATATTCCTTATATAGCTCATATATTAAACCTAGTAATTCAAGATATCTTAAAAGCTCTTATTAAGAACGATTATAATACCTCTTATTCTATAGATTTATATAAGCTAGAAAAAGATGAAATTAAAGAAAGAGAAGAGAGAAAAGAAATAGAATAAGTAATAAGTAAGTTTCTCATATTATTTATAAGAGATTTACTAATAAATTATAGATTTATTAATTTAGAGAAAGATTAGAAAGACTATTATAGGTCTTAAATATAATTAGGAAAACCGACGGCTATTAGAAGCTCAGATTAAAGCTTTTAATATAGAAAATGCTTGATTCCCTTAACTTGGTAAGTAATTAATTAATTCTTTAATTATTAATTAATACTAATTACTTATAGATTAAAAAACATAGTAGTTATTAACTTATTATATATTAAAAGACTTTCTTTATATATATGAAGCTATTAAAGCAGTTATTAATAGCTCGAAATCGAAGGCTTTTAAAAATAAAAGTTTAGTATTAACTAATATTAAAATTACTTATTTAAATAATATTTTAAATATAATTTCAATATTTATTAAGGCTACTACTAAATTATAAGCCGAGAACTATCCTATTATATATTATATTATACCTGAAATATATAAAATATATAATAAACTCGAGAGTTTTAAAACCGAATTTAAAGTAAGTCTTTTCTAAACTATATTATATTAATAGTATACTAATTATAAATAAAATAAAACTTTTGAAAACGCTATTAATAAGGATATAGCTAAGCTTCGCAAATATTATCCTAAAATCAGTATTTTAGATAATAAGAGTAAAGCTTTATATTTAGCTCTTATTCTTAATCCTCGAATTAAAAAAATAGGACTAGCTGGAATTGGCCTAGATTCTAGTATAGTATCTAATATATATAATAGGCTTAAAATAGACTATAATATATAAGTATATATTTCTACTTAAATTTTAAATTATTTAATTACTAATTCTCTTATAGGTATAAACGAGACTATTTAATAGCTAATCCTCAAGATACTAATTCCAATATATCTATAGACGATTTAGATAAAGATAAACTTGATATTTATATAAATAATCAAGAGGATAAAATAGAAGACGAATTAATAACTTATTTAGAGGAGAAGAGAGTAGATAAAAAAGTAAATAATATTTACTTACTTTATTTCAAATTCCCTTAAGAACTACTAATCCCTTTATTATAATTTTTTTATCTATATATATTAATTTAGCTCTAGATTCGGCCACTTGATTACTAGAAAGCTAATTAAATTAGGTTTCCTGTATTATCCCTTATAGCAAGGAAGTACTTAGGAATACCCGCTTTGTCCGCCGCTAGCGAGCGTTTCTTCTCACAAGGGGCTCTTATTAATACTAAACTACGTAATTGACTTAATAAGATTACTTTCGAGAAGATTATATATCTTAAGAGCTGGGGGATATTTATAAACGAGGAAGAAGAGATAAAAAAGGCGGAAAAAGAATAGGAATTAAAGGAGAAAAAGGATTTCGAGCCGGAGAATTAGTTTTTCCTTCCCGAAAAAGCTTAGTTTTATAGTTTTATATATATTTTATTAGTCTAGTTAATATTTTATCCGATGGCCTTATAGTTATTTAGAGAAAATAAAGAGATTTTATTATTTACTTGACTTTCATATGACTTTTACGTAATAATTAGAAATAATTAATTATATTTAATTATAATTAGTCTAATAATTAATTTTTTTTTTGAAACTCAATAATCAAATTATAATTAATTAGAAAATTAATTTAATTAAATATAATTAATTACCTTAATTATTTTTTTGACACACTGGATGGACCGGATGAGTTTGATGGAGATCATTCCGAACTGAACAATCTTCTTAAAAAAGTGGCCTCCTCCAAACACATCAAAATCTGCGTTTCCAGCAGACCATGGAACGTTTTCGAGGACGCATTTGGAGATAAATCTTTCCTCATGCTTCAAGATCTCACTTACGACGACATTCGCAACTACGTGAGTTCTAATTTCGAGGGGATCCCTGGTTTTGCAGAGCTCCAAAGACGCGAGCCATCCTATGCTAAGGAGCTTCAACAACACGTCGCTAAGAAAGCAGCGGGGGTATTTCTCTGGGTTCACTTGGTCGTTCAGTCCCTATTGGCTGGACTTGTGAATGGGGACAGGGTCTCGGATCTTGAAAGGAGACTGGACCTACTACCTCCCAGATCTCGAAAAACTATATTATAAGATGCTCGTCAGTCTAGAGCCGTTCTATTTCTCTCACGCATCGCAGTTATTTCAACTGGTTCGAGCATCCTTCAAACCACCAACTCTTTTGACTCTGTCCTTTGCGGATGAGGAACTGGACTTTGTATTCAAAAGCAAAGTACAGCGCCTCACCGACGAAGAGAGGATATTAAGAGCCGATACTATGAGACGGAGATTAAATAGCAGATGCAAAGGTCTCCTAGAAATTGCCAATACAGAGACAGCCACGGCTGCTCGGGTTTTGATTGCTACACCAGGGCAAAATGTGCCTGCCCAGGACGCGGATCAACGGACTGTCTCTGTCCCTCGAAAGTCACTTGCAGACTCAACGGTGCAATATCTACACAGAACTGTCAAGGATTACTTGGAGCTTCCAGCAGTCTGGAGTCGGCTGCTTGAAGCAAGCCCCAATGGGTACAATCCTAGGCTGGCTCTGTGTGGTGGTTTTATTGCACAACTCAAGCACATAGATCCTAATACGCTTAACCGATCCACATTGTGGAACGCTGTCAAAGAGTCCATTAAATACGCAAATGTGGAGGAGGATCCCGATGGATCATTTGCAAACATGTTAGATGAGCTTGATCGCTCTATAACTACGCTTACCAACACAATTGCCAGTGACGGCCACTCTTTCTTATCATACTATTCCGGATATAAGCCAAGGGAAGGAGAATTGTATCCAAACTGGAGTTCTACATTTTCTGGCTATAAGCCAAGGAAGGAGAATTGTATCCAAACTGGAGTTCTACATTTTCTGGCTATACACCATCGAGAGGTCTCAACTTCTTGTCTCTAGCGGTGAGACTAAATCTTTACTTCTACGTAAAAGCAAGGGCGTATCCAAGGTGCTTGATCACGCAAGACTCTGGGCTGTGGTCATTATTACGGGATTCGGTCACCTGCGAGCAGATTTTCAATCGCTTCTTTGAGATTGGAACATTTCCCGATCTTCACATGATCATGCTACTACTTGAGCAGGGAGCGGATCCGAACTGGGCTCGGTCTTCTAGTGCTAGCACTGTTTTCGAATATCTTTTGGAAAAGGCAACGCTCTCCAGCAGTGGGAGATTTGGAAATGTAGCCAAAGCTGACGGGAAATCAAATGAGCTTTGGCTGCCAATCCCTCGTTCTACCACTTTAGAGACAACTGCAAATTGGAAATTTGTGGAAACACAACGTCTGGGAGTAAGAGTGCTTTGCAAATCTCCTCCGGGGCCTCATTGGATAGAAGCGATTTACAAGTTCCTCGCACATGGTGCTGATCCAAGGATAGATTTGGAAGCTTGTATAGGCATCTCGTTTTTAGGGGCTTTAAGAAGTGAGATACAGGTTACTTCTAATCAAGGACTGATGAGATCCTGGTTTGGCATTGGAAATACGATAAATGTTATTGGGAGAGTCCCAAGATAGTAGTTACAGATATTCTTGGCCGCCTCGAAGACTGGAACTACTTCTGTTTGATATGGCACGCCCCGACACTGAGCAGAACATATTTGTAAACCGGAGAGGAAACGCTACCAAGGTTGTTTCTAGTTTTAAAAAGCTGCTTAACTAGAAATGAGAAGCAAAATAGTCCTAATTAATATAAGAAATAGGATTAGTAGCTACTTTAGTATTCTTTTTTAGGAATTACTTAATTCCCCATATATATATTAGATCTCAGACATCAACGTAAATAGTAAACAAGCAAAGCACAAGGCACAGGAATAATTATTATGTCCACGAATTGTTTCTACTAAAAAAAGAGGAAGGTAGTTGTTATTTCTAAACTACGGGTCAGATTCGCTGTTTATGTTTCGTCGCCAAGTCATATAATATAAGAATTCGTACAGTCATGTAATTACCAACAGTACCCAAAATCAGTCTATTTTAGGTATGTACGGTCTGCCGTACCACAATAGGGACAGGTGACATGCTATTAGTCGAACAGTCGTTAGGTAGCAGCATGCCAAACTACTACTGTAATACTTGGGACCTATCACGGCCTCCCGGGGCCTGTTTTGGCTCCCCTGACGCTCTCGAAAGCCGCGATACCATGGATAAGCACATCCTAGGCAACATAGGTAAGCAGAGCGGCGAGGGGTCACGTGCGCGATAGCTTGGCGTTAGGGATGCTAAAATTATATAATTTAGGACTTGAATACATAATATCGTAAAATAATCACTCCGACTTGATTATGGTGATATTATCTTGCATATGAGACACAGCCAATCAGAAGCCTCCATTTGACTAGCGCGGTTTCGTGCTCCTCCCCAACAATCAAATCCACTAATTTACCCTTTTCCACGTGCCGAATTATGCACGATTTATACGCTCTTTTATGCAGTATTTTATGCATTATAATATTGGCGACTTGATTATTATATAATTGTAATAATTATAAATCGTGCATCCCTACTTGGCGTGCACGCAAATGGGGGTGAGGATTGGCGCGAAACAACAGGGTAAATACATACCCTGGAGATACAATGAGCAGTGGTCGCTATCTGCACAACGCTATCTTTATGAAACTTACCCAGCTACAACAAATACCGTGGGAATGGTTCTTGGGAAGTTCCAGACTTCTAGTCGTGAACGTTGAGCCCGCATGGAACTGTTTCGTACGGAGCTCATCAGCCTGTATTTAAACCCAACCAACTCGCTTCATCAAAAGTGATTTCATATTCTAAAGTCATCTGTCATTTACGCACCAATCAATACTTGCGCCACTTCACGATTCAGCAAAAAAGTCATCAAAGTTTTTGCACGTGGGAGGTAAACAACAGATCGAAACCCCCGAATTTTTCCACAGAATTTCGGATATAAATTTCATCCAAATTACTCTGCTCTGGCCACTATTAACCAAACTTTTACATTATGCCTCTCGCAACGATTTCATTCTCCTTCAATTGCACCACTTTCCCAAGCATCTACTCATCCCAGATAACGCTCGTAGGACTCCCAGCAATCATGACACTCGCCAGAATATCTCCGAAGCTGCCATCCTTCTTGCGCTCAAGAATCACAACACGTCCATCATCCTGCAAGCCAACGGCAGCCAAGTCACCCTTGGCATTGACCGAGAACTGGCGCGGGTTCATGCCGCCAGCAGGTGCGCGCTGGGCGTTGGACAGTTTCCCCGTGGCGTGGTCGATGGTCCAGACGATGAGGGCGTCGGAGGGGAGCGTGGTGCTGTTCTTCGGGTCGAAATTGGGGATTTGGAAGCTGGCTACGTGACGCTCGGAAGTAAGGAGGTATTTGTTGTCGGGCTTTGATGGGTGTTAGCAATTGCCTCCGATTTCTCATTTGGAGATTTTTAATTTGAGAGGAAAAGGGGACGCACGGAAAGGATAGCTTCAGCGGCTCCTGCTCCAGTGGGAATCTCGACACCGACGCCATACGCTCCGCTGATGAAAACTTGAGTGAGGCTAAGTCCGGTAGCCGTGTAGGCCACTGAATATGAAGCAATGGTGTTTGACAGCTCGGAAAGCACGAAGAGGTAGGTCGCATCAGCGGTCTTCAAGAATGTCCCGTGGCGGGGACCAGAGCCAGGGGCGACGGCAAAGGTGGAGCTTTCGGAGAGCATGCTGGTCTTTTTATTGATGGCGAAGATGCGGAGGAGGTCTGCACCGAGATCGGGGACCACGATGAAGCAGCCGGTGGGGTCGAGGATCACTTCGTGCTCGTGAGGTACGTCTTGGCGGGTGGGGTTTGTGCCAGGTGCGGTGAGCTTGTATCGGAATACCTGCATTGCCTTGAGGCCGCCTGATGGGAGGATTTCCCAGGTGGTGACCGCAGAGGTGTCGCTGCACTTGTTAGTGTTGCAAGACGGAAAGGGGAAAGGGACTTACTAGTGGGCTGCTGCGAGAGCTGCACCTCCATTATACACAACTGTGGAAACCGGAGATCCGAGGCTGATTTGCTTGTCAAATAGGGTCAACGATCCACTAGGTGAGGAATGGAACGAGGTAATCGAGCCATTAGCCGCCCCCCAAGCTTCATCGACACAGTATATGACATTGTTCCAGGCGTCCTTGGTCAACCATGAAGACTGAGCTCCGCAGGAAGTGCTACCATTGAGGAAGCTCGTCTGCTTGAGTGTATATCCTCCCGTACCAGTCTTGTCCAGCTTCAAGGAAGTGACTCCGCCGTCACCGAGCCCTGCCCCGCCATAGGAAGCAGCCCAGAGCGTCACCGCGGCCACCTGAGAGGCAGCGAGACTTGCAAGCGAAAGACGTGAGAAATGCATGCTAGGCAAACAATGTTCTGCGTTGGAATAGCGAGGGGAACAAAAGCATGTGGGGGCGGAGACACGACAGATTGGCGATGGAAATGTACCATGTTTTGAGCTTTATATCAAGCACACTAAGAATATACAATCTGCAATAGCTGAGCTGCAATTCCGGGTTACTGGGGTGTGTTCCGGGTAAGTTCAGCATCCCATCCTGTGAGAATAAGCTTACTTTATTTTAAACACGCGTACAATTTGGGTAAAACGGTCCGTTTAACCCGGGTCGTGAGTAATAAAATCTGACGGCAAGTGGAGAGATTCTGATCGCTTTGAGCTCTGGGACCGGACCGACGTTCCAATCGAGAGGCACAGCCATTATGTTCCCGATCAAGTTGTTCTTGGCTACTGGGTAGTTGTCCCTGTACCTGCATCGTCCCATGTCGTACCGTTGGTGGGATGTGGTGTTACTTTGTTCCGGACGCGAGCTGCATTAGTAAACGCTCTATTGACATTAGCCGTATACGAGTCCACGAGGTATTAGGTATAGGGTGTAAGGTTGCTAAAGTTTAGCGATGAAGGCTCCATAATATACCCCTGAAAATTATTACTTGGGCCCTCACCCCAGGGCCTTCAGGTGCGAGGTGCGGGGTACGTGCGGGGACTTGAGGATCACATGTTCCCTCCCAAGCCTTCCAGGTGTTCAGAATTGGTAATGCCCAGCACTTGTTATGCTCCAGGAACTATACGAGGCATAAAGACATGATGACTCGAGCTAACCAAATTATATAGAAACAGGAACACGAAAATAGCTCATATTAGAACAATCTGTATCCGAGAACCCGTCGACTCTACATGGTGAACTCGAAATGGAACACTATAACTATAAGTGCAAATATGTGTATAAAGAGGACTATAGGCATATTCCACTTCATTAAAGAAGAGATCTGCCAAGTGGAAGAAGACTTCATACCGCTCCTGGCGAGACCACTCATTGACTTGGTGGAATGACTAGGGGGATGCGTCTGAATTGTAAATTAGACAAAGATCGTAAAGAGAAGAAGAATTTGTTTAAGTGTACATATATCAGGGGTCATGAGAAAATAAACCGAAGTGGGCGGGAATGAATTGGCCAACGAGAAGGTCGCCCGGTGAACGCAATATCACCTGGACTGAGCCCACCACCCCATTGGATGGTTCATCTCAAAATGTGATTCGCGAGGCGAGGTCGGGCGACTCTTCTTCTCCTCTGCGGCTTGCTTCCTTTCGGCTTTCTCCTTCTCGAGATTTCTGAAGATCCCAACGAACTAGAATCTCTCTGGCGCACCAGAAGATAATTTATGGTGACCCTCAAGTAGTGCGCGAGGAACGCTCATTTCCAAATATCCGTTTCCAAAGAACTTGAGCCTTAGGTCGTACACCCCGTCGCCATCACCAGCACCAGTGACCGCTATGTCCTTACGCCTTGCCCGTTTTGGGATGGGAACGGGGCAAAAGGTGTAGTTTGCTGCGGCGTCGAGGTAGATGTGTCCGTATAGGGGCTTCTCCGACCCATCATTTGGTGAGGGAGGTCCGCCATCGCACTCGTCTATGTGGTGGAAGTCGGCTCGTTGCGTTGGAGGCATTGAATAATCGTGTACCCATTCAACATGGTCCGAAGAGTAGAGTTTGTATGATCGACTGAGGGTAAAATCAATCGGAATCTTCCCACCCTTCTTCTTGGCTCTCCTTCTTGCTTCCTGAAAGCTTGGTATGCGGCGTTGACTTCGTCTTCTTTGGCCTTCACGAATTCCATTGCTTTCTCTTTTCCTTATGCTTCTCCAACAACTCTCGTTTTCGTGCTTTGCGCTCTTCTTTTAATTCGTAGTACATTTCGGCACCGAATCCATCGCATCTTTTCGGTGATTCGCTCTCTTCGTCCGTGTTTTCTCCGTCTTTCGATTCGTAATTGCATTTCGAGGCATCGTTGTCAAATCCGCACTCGCGCCCGTCATCCTGTCACATCCACAGTTGCGCTCATCACCCTCCTCGCCCAACTTGTCTGATTCTCCCAACTCAGAGATGCCCTCGTCCTAGTCTTCCGGCTCAACGTCTCCGTCGAGGTACACTGGCAACACCTGCCAGTACCATGCTGGGAATTTGCTGCGGGCTCCTTCGTGGCGCTGCTTCTGGACTCGCCAGCCCTGGGATCAATAGTATTGATGGGCCAGCCTACCCATCTCGCGTCGATGGGAAGGGATGCTGGTCCTCAACTGACTTCTCAACTGGCGATTGTTAAGGAGTGAAGCTATGAAGGAGCGAGGAAAGTGTCGTGGGAAACGGATCTCGCGTCGTAAAAGCAGCGGTCAAAATGATGTAAGCAGCGACCCGGCCTTCCTAGCCTCAGGAGTGCGCCTAAACTCCAGGGACGTTTCCTCTATCCTTTACACTTCACTTCCACCAGCTTCCTGATCTTCCGGTGTTAAAGTCAAGACCAGTTATTGCCTTCATCGTGATTACTGCTCAAGCTACCGTAACACCGACCCGTCCAGCCCTTCGGCACCTTCGGGCATATCGCCTCGCGAACAACCCCTGGAACGGGCGCATGCGGCGGCCGTATCGCTGGAGCGTCATTCCGACCACCGATAACGAAGGAGAAAAGTTTGACTGCCTCAATAAGGATCGATCGTGTATAGTAAGCACCCTGCAGGGCCCGAAATCGCCTCATCCCCCTGAGGACGTATCGGAATGCTAGGAACCGCGACTCTGCGCTCGGTGCTGAATAAATGATTTCAGTGGCTGTCGGGCCTCGATAAGCTTCTCACGCCGCAGGCCTTACCGCAGAGAGTTTAGCATGGGGCAATGGACATCCCAGCGGATCGCCTTGTCATCAACTACGGAGTACACGACAAATTCCCTCTTGTTCACATGGCTTTTTCAGTTTGGTCCCGTGGTATATGAAGTAGTCTTCTAAAGCCGGGATTCCTTCTCTTTTCCACTTCTTCCCTTCCTCCTGCCACTCTTCCGTACTCTTCACCCCTTCTTGCGAACGTCCCAGACATGGCGGACGCCTCACTACACCGCGTCCACACCGTCAACGAGCACTTCACAGCCAAAGCTGATATCCTCAATGATGGCCGCGTCAACATCCACCTCACTGAGGCCTCGAAGTTGGCAAAGTATTTCGAGCGGACGACGAAGCTCCGGAGAGGCCGGGATCCCGTTGGAGTTGAACTCACCAAGAACAACAAGAAATATGTCTCTAATTTTCACTCCGTTATGGGAAATTTTAATGGACTACCGCGCATGAACATCGCAGTCCACATCGTGGGATCAAGAGGTGACGTCCAGCCGTTTATTGCCATCGGGAAGGTGTTGAAGGAAAAGTACGGCCACCGAGTCAGAATTTGCACCCATCCCGTTTTCAAGACCTTTGTGGAGGAGAATGGGTTGGAGTTCTTCTCCATTGGAGGTGACCCGGCGACGTTAATGGCGTATATGGTTAAGAATCCCGGGTTGATGCCGGGCATCGAGAGTCTGAAGGCTGGAGATGTGGGAAAGAGACGGGCGGATATCGCGGAGATTTTGGAGGGCACTTGGAGGGGGTGTATTGAGCCTGGAGATGGGTTGGGTTCGGAGAAGGTAGGACCTCCGTTAACGAGAGAGGAGGAGGTGGATAGGTTATTCATTGCGGATGCGATCATTGCAAACCCGCCGAGCTACGGACATATTCATTGCGCGGAGAAGCTGGGGATTCCCCTGCACATGATGTTCACGTAAGCATCCCTTCATTGACCGCTTTGGCAGAGAGTTAATCTCGGCCTTTAGCATGCCGTGGTCGCCTACTCAACACTTTCCTCACCCGCTGGCATCAATGGACAGAAACGAAGCCGATCCAAATTTTGGCAACTACATTTCATATACGATGATGGAACTTCTAGCCTGGCAAGGGTAATAAATGTATTTCCTTCACCGATGAATCTTCACTGACAAGAAACCAGGCTTGGAGACGTCATCAACGGCTTCCGGATGAAGACATTAAATTTAGACCCAATAAGTCCGCTCTGGGGACACATGCTTCTCTCTAGGATGAAAGTTCCGTTCACATATGCCTGGTTTGTCGTCACAATTTCGCTGACTACATTTGGTGAGCTAATATGACCAGGTCATCGGCATTAATATCCAAACCATCGGATTGGGGATCCCACATCAACATCAGTGGCTTCTCTTTCCTCAATCAAGCTTCGTCTTACACACCACCCGAAGACCTCATGGCATTCCTAAACGCCGGGGCACCACCTGTTTACATCGGGTTCGGATCGATCGTCGTCGACCACCCCGACGAACTTACCAAAATGATCTTCGCGGCTGTGAAGCAAGCTGGTGTACGAGCACTCGTGTCGAAAGGCTGGGGTGGACTTGGAAGTGATATAGAAGTACCAGAAGGGATATTTCTACTCGGAAATGTCCCTCATGATTGGCTTTTTCAATATGTCTCAGCTGTCGTTCACCATGGAGGAGCTGGAACGACTGCGATTGGAATCGCTATGGGGAAGCCAACAGTCGTCGTTCCATTCTTTGGAGATCAACCATTCTGGGGTGCCATGGTTCACAAAGCGGGAGCTGGACCGGAACCTGTACCGTTCAAGAGGATGACAGAAGAGACTCTTGCAGAAAGTATCACCATTGCCCTAGGACCTGACGTGCAAGCAGCAGTGAAAGAAATGGCCAAAAAGATTACGAACGAGAATGGCGCAGAACAGGCTGCTCTTTCCTTCCACAACATGGTCAACATCGACTCTATGCGGTGTTTGATTTTACCTGACCGAATAGCTGACTGGCGGATCAAGAACACCAATATACGGCTCAGCACACTTGCAGCATCTGTCCTCATCGACAATGGAATATCCAGTCTCGAACGCATGAAGCTGTAAGTGTCTACTTCCATCTCATAAATGCTATCCTGCTCACCACAAACAGTGTCAAACATCGAGACTGGTACGTCGACGAAGGCGCTGGAGATCCAGTGCTGGGTGCCATAGCCGTAGCATCAGGCGCCGTCACCGGTGCAGTCACGGCCGTAGCCTCCTACTCCCGCAACTTGTCCAAAACAATCCGCAAACGCCCCGCCGGAGACTCGGCTTCCTCGAGCTCCAACGAAAGTCCCCCGGTGCTGGCATACACCGCCTCCCTCGACTGCGTCTACAGCCATAACCCCGTCACCCGCGCGAACGAGAACTACAGTGAGCAGCGCGTCGAGAACCTCGCCTTCAAAATGGCCGCCAAAACCCTCCCAAACTACACGGATAAATCGAAACACAGGAAAACTCACTCTTGGTCCCCGGTTCATAGGACTTATACGGGCTCGAGTCATTATTCTACTCCGAGCCGTGAGCATGGGCGAGTCCACGACGCAACGCTGGAGACGGGCCATTTCGCGCAATCGATGGTCGTGACTGGTTTGCGTGTCCCAGTGTCGTTCTTTTACAACCTTGCGAATGGCTTCCACAACGCGCCTTGGGTCCTCCTGAATGACGACACCGTCCGTCGTCGCGACAACATCACGGGTCTCGGGTCCGGCGTCAAGGTCGCCTCTAAGGAAGTAGTTTTCGGTCTCTTTGATGGCGTGACAGGCCTTGTTACGCAACCCTACTACGGTACGAAGAAAGATGGCGTGGTTGGTTTTGGCAAGGGTATTGGGAAGGGTGTAGGAGGGTTGGTGTTCAAGACCAGCGCTGCGGCGTTTGGTGTCACGGGGTACACATTGAAAGGCGTGGAAAAGCAGTTTGAGAAGCGGTATTCAAGAGGGTTGAAAGCAAATCTGATTGCGCAGCGCTTGAAGCAGGGGCTTAGACATTTTGGAATGGCGACGAAGGAGGAAAAAGACGAGATTTTAAAGAGGTGGGGAGAGTTGGGGCTTACAGTCTAAAGTAACGTTCTGTTGACCGATAGGGGAGCTTCGAAGATGAAGTGTGCATTGGAGGTGTTTAGCGATGGTGAGGTATGAATTTGGAGTTCCGGGGAAGATGCTTGGAAGTAGAGTACCACGAAAATATACCCCTATTCCAAAACTCTCATTCGTTGACTTCATCCGAACCGTTGCGCATGCCACCGAGAATCGGCACCTCAGACCGAACATCATTACTCTTGGGCACTTCAACAGCGATTCGATCACTCAAAGCAAACAAACTACAAACCCAGCAACCATCACCTGAGATAAAGCAACAGTCGGTCCCAAACACCTTGACTCCAGCAGCATCAGACCCCTTCGTAGGTGTACAGCTTGCATTGAGGGCCAAAGTCTTGGATGCATTGATCCTCTTTATATCAACTTTTGTCAGCCAATTTCTTGGTTGCTTTCTGTTCTGGGAAAAGGGAGAAGGAGACGAGAGCGTATTAGTATGGATATGGAGAGAGGAGCTGAATAGTGCCCCAGGAAGGAGTCAATCAGCTCCAGGTTGCAGAACGGAGGATTATGCAGCAGCCTCCGCCATTTCCAGCATTCGTTTGCTGCGTGTTTGGAAAATGAATGCGCCCCTTAGATCAAGCTGTGTAACAGTTTGGAAAACTGCGATGGGCCCCTTTTCAAGCGATTCAAGCTACAGGAAGGGCTAAAATGAGATCGCACTTATCCCCGAATGATTGCAGCCAAGGTGAAATCGAAGAGAACTCTTAGATAAAAGGAAGCAGATTTTGGTAATCCGGGCACCGAAAGCATTCAACGAGCTCAGCATTTGATGCTTACTGATGATGAAGTTGATGTACCTAACGTCGGAATTTACTTATCGTTCTCTCCTCGTGTGTATCTCTTCAAGAAGAGCGTTAAATTTCTTCATACTTGAAATCTACCAGTGCGAAGCATATTATTTTGACCTTAGAAGTTTGAGGCGAGTGGTCGGAGTTTGTGTGCTCCTTTCCAAGTTGAGGTGGGGTCCAGCTGTCAAGTCATGACGTTTAACATTTCTCCCGAAACCACCAATGGCCTATTTTCACTTTCCGATGATAATCAGGAAGCGGTCTAGTAATTTAAATTGCTTTTGATTCCTTCCTGTATTACAGGATTCACATCTGGCTTTTTGTTTAGTGGAATATAACTTCTCAGCCGTGGTTTCTGTGCTCAAGTGCGACTGGCCTTCCTTGGTCTTTCTTCCAACCACTCCCCGAATAAGCGAGAAATACAACAAAATGGCGCCAGACGCACCTTTTACGTACTTCACTTGTACACTTGGACAAGCAGCAGAGCAGAATAGGGCGCTACCACGTGACTTCGGGACTGCTACGGAGTTCATTGACCTTCAAGCTCGACTCCATCCTGACAAGCCTGCTGTTGGTTTCCCTTTGCCAACTTCTGAGAGTAGAGAAAGTTGGGGCTGCAATATCTTTTGTGAGTTCTGTTTTCCGTTTGAAAGAAGACGGCCAGAGTGCTGATTTTTGACGTCGCTTAGCCTTCAAGGACTTGCAAAGGGGTTCTGCTGGAGTGGCGAACTCGCTGAGGGAACTGGTGCAAACTAACCGCCCGATTGAGAGACAATTTTGTGTGGGTTTAATATGTGGGAGTTCAGAGGATTTCTTATTCGCATGGCTTGGATTGATGAGGGCTGGGTTTGTTGTGCTGCTCATTGCGCAAGTCAACTCCTAATTCCAAGATTTCTTCTATTTCATTTGAAACTAATTGTCTGGCAGTCCGCAATGCCAGCCGGAGGCTATTGCACATCTGTGCAAGTCATGTGAGGTTTCAACGTTATTTTACGATCAAGTTTATCACGACCTCGCTCGCTCAGCAACAAAAGCCTTGCCTGCTTCTCTCGTGGCACACATCCTCCCATGGCAACAGTCTAAAACACCACTCACCTGGATTACCAAGAACACTCCACCGAACCTTAACTATACGCCTGTATGCCAGTCAACATCCGAATCGACCGCATACATCCACCACACCTCCGGTACTTCAACCGGACTCCCAAAGCCCATCCCTCAAACGCACCATGCGGCAGTCGGTGTCCTACCCCTCCTCTCCGGGTCGTCTGCCGCAACATTTACAACTACACCACTTTACCATGGAGGAATTGCGGACTGCTTCCGTGCCTGGACATCCAATGCACTGATCTGGCTCTTTCCCTGCAGCAGCGTACCAATCACAGCACAGAATATCATCTCCTCGCTCTCCGTCGCCCATCAGACAGCTACTCAAAGTATAAATCCCGTTGCTAAAGTAAAGTACTTCTCAAGCGTGCCCTATGTTCTCCAAATGATGGCTGAGGACAAAGGCGGCCTCGCCTGGCTCCAAAAGATGGATATCGTCGGCGTCGGCGGTGCAGCACTCCCTGATGGCGTAGGCGACACACTCGTTTCCAATGGAGTAAATCTTATCTCCCGCTTTGGCAGCGCAGAATGTGGATTCCTACTCTCCTCACGCCGGAATTACTCCACAGACAAAGACTGGCAATACCTACGACTCCCGTCCCCAGGTCCGTATCTCAGATTCGAGAAACAAGATGATGGATCAGGACTTTCCGAGTTAGTAGTTTTAAAAGGCTGGCCACACATGGCCAAGACAAACCGCGAAGATGGAAGTTTTGCAACGAGTGATTTGTTTGAGCCTCATGCTGAGATCCAGGGGGCGTGGAGGTATCACAGCCGGAGTGATAGTCAGATTATTTTGATCACGGGGAAGAAGTTTGATCCAGCGCCAGTGGAGGATGCGATTGTTGCTGCTGTAGGGGAGGTTAGGGATTGCTTTGTGTTTGGCAATGGGGAACGGGTTCCGGGTGCGTTGATAATTTTGAAAGACGATATGACTGCTTTGGTGTGGGAAGAGGAGGTCGAGGAGAGAGTTTGGGAAGTGATTGAAGAGGTAAATTCCAGGGGTCAGGATCATACGAGGATCTCGAGGGAGATGATAGTTTGGAGAAGGGAGGGAAAGTTGGAGAAGAGTAGTAAGGGGACGGTGTTGAGAAGTGCTGCTGAGAAGACTTTCGCGAGTGATATCAAGGCAGCCTATGCTAAGGATACGAACAGCGTCCCGATTTCAAACTCCGGAAGCAAGAGTGCGAAGGAGATTATCCGGGGAGTGGTAATTGGTGTTCTTGGGGCGGTAGAATTGCAAGACCAAGACGATTTCTATCAGCATGGCATTGATTCTGCGAGTTGTATGAGAATCAGAAACCAGCTGGGGAAGGTGAGTCCCCTAAAGCAAATAAAGAAGTCTTTAACTGATGGTGACCAGCACTTCCATGGCAAAGAAAAACCACTTCCCTGGAATATTGTGTACGACTGTGGAAATATTGAAAGGTACCTCAGGTTTTCCTATGATCTGTTGCGTTGATGCTGACCTGATCCGAGGCTGGCAGAATTTCTCTGCAGTTGGCAAAGAGGAGAGGAGGTCGACGAAAGTGAGACTAAAGAAATGCTCGATTTGGTCGATCGATACTCCGTCCTTTGTGAGCCCGCCACGAAGCATCTAAGTGAGACCTTTTCAAGCTCAAACAACGGGGTAAAGGGAGAAGTCGTGGTAGGTTGAGTTCCACTTCAACTGCTGGTCCTGACTGACAAGGTGACAGATTTTGACAGGAGCTACCGGTGCTCTGGGTTCACACATCCTGTCTCAGCTCCTAGCCAGCCCCTCCGTAACACAAGTCTACTGTCTCGTGAGACCCAAGGACACTGAAACCGCGAGCGAAAGAGTCCTAGCAACTCTGAAACAGCGATTCCTTCTCGCTCTTTCAAAGTCATCACTTGAGAAACTTCAATCCTTGCCTGCAAAGCTCGAAGAAGAGAATCTTGGTTTCAAGATGTCTGTTTACGAACAGCTGCGAGATAGGGTTTCTACTATCATTCATGTGAGTGAATAATCGTAAAAGCTGTTTGGTATACGAGCTCATTTTGTCTAGGCTGCATGGCCAGTAAACTTCTCACTCCCACTCCGAGCTTTCGAACATTCACTTCAGGGACTTCAAAACTTACTCCAGCTCTCCAACTCCTCATCGAGATCACCAAATTTTGTTTTCTGCTCAAGTACTGCTGCAGTACTTGGTTCGAACCACCCCGGCGTCATCCCAGAAACAGTTTCCACATCCCCTGAAGATTCGGATACTTTGGGCTACTCGAAGAGCAAATGGGTCGCTGAAACGATCTGTTCTCGAGTTGCTGAATCCTGCAACAAGGAATCGAGATTCAAGGTTTTGAGAATTGGTCAATTGACTGGCGATACGGAACACGGCGTTTGGAATATGAGTGAAGCATATCCGCTTATGCTCAGCACTCTTAATGATCTTGGTTGTCTTCCCAGAATAAATGACAAGTTGAGCTGGCTTCCGCTTGATGTTGCAGCGAACGCTGTTTGTGAGATTGCTTTGGCCGATAAGGAAAGATCTCGGGCTTCGACGAGTAGGAAGTCTAGTGAAGTGTATAATGTTGTCAACAATGACACCACCACTTCTTTCATGGACCTCCTTGGCTGGCTAAAGGAGATGAACAAAGATCCTTTTGAGATTTTGGAATCAAGAGAGTGGTCAGAGAGGTTGGAGAAAATGGAGAGCCATCCAGCGAAAGCACTGCTTGGACTCTGGCGGCCAGCGTTTGAGGGCAGCGCTCGCGAGGATCTGGAGCGAGTCGCCACATTTGACACCACAAACGCTAAGGAGGTGAGCCAAACAATGAGAGGCGTTCGTCCAGTTGATGAGAAATTATTCGCAAAGATCTGGAAATGGGTGGAAGGAGAGATGGCGAAGAAGACTTGAAACTCAATTGAATTCTATCTTACCCTTCACGAACATCGAAACAACTTCGTCGTACTGACATTACATCTACTCCACAAATCGCCTCCCAGAATACTAACCCAGAACATGCCAGGCCAGTAAACAACGTATAACCACCACATCGGCCACGGATCCCAGATCTCGTATGTGCCGTCTTTCCAGAAGAGGAGGTGTTGGAGGAACTCGGTCCAATTCGCAGCCATCTCTGCCATGCTCATCTTTCCTTGCAGTAAGCACAGTATGGGAAGCAAAATTCTTGTGACGAGATCATGACCAATCCAATAATATCCCGGCGTGTTAGAACATGGAATGGCAATGCCTTTCGTCTCTCGTTCAGAAACCCCATCATCTAAAATCGCCAAATACGCCTCCGCGACTTCCTCACTCTTCTCTGCGAACAAGACTGCAGCAGTGTGTGCCCGTGGGTTACACTCAATAGGGAATATGCTTCGCATCAACTCCTCCACGCTCCTCCCCGTCCCATCCCCGACATTATCATAAACCAAAAAGTCAATACTGAAATGACCTGTGAATTCCTCTCCCATTTTCACAGCGTATGTCTCCGTATACTTCAAGAATGCCTTGAAAAGAGATGATCTAGGGTCCATTGCACGATAATGCATAAGCAGCTCAGACGAAGAGCAAGCAGTGAACGACTTGATACGTCCTCGAATCGCAACACTATGGGTACAAAATTCTGGCCCAGAGATGAATTGCTGCAATACGAAAGGCCTCGATGGTGACGGTTTGAGTACCGCGATATGTCTCCTCGTTTTCGCTTCCGTAGAAAGTGGACACAGCGTCATATCCGCCCTTATCGAGTCATCCGTCCCGGTGAACTTCATAATATACCTCTTCCCATCCTCCCTTTCAACGCCCGGATAGAGAAATGAAACTGCATCCCTTTCAGATCGAATCGGATATGTCTCCGGTACATTCAGCCCAAGTTTTTTGGTGTTTTCGATGAACGAATCCTTCTCATGAAGTTTAGAGGTGATATCAACAGAAAATTGTACAGCTTTACAGTTGGTAAGTTTTTCAAGTACCTCCTTCGCCTCCCCATCTTCAATCGGGGCCGCGACGCCGGAGCAGCTAACCCACAACTCCACGCCCTCTTTTTTCACAATATCCACCAAATCCTGTACATACTTCTGCGCTCCTCCTGCACCCGGATTTGGTTTTCTAACTCTGTAGAACCGGCAGAGTGATGTGGAGAAGCGACCACAGACGGGGATATAGTAAGGTTCGAAATCTGCACCGATGACTTTATGGCCTGAGCGATAGAATGAGCGGGCAATGGTGAGGCCCTTTGACATCCCGAGGCCGGTGACGAGGATTGTTCTGGGTGTGAAGGTGGGCGAGGATTTGGCGCGCCATTGCCGGGTGTGGCAGATCTGTTTTGTGGTATAGCAGAAAGGGGAGATGAGGGTGCTGATTATGGCGATGAATGTAAGGAGGGGTGTGAAGAGGGCAGTGAGGAGGATTAGAGAGAGGTTTTGGAGGATGTGGAAGGAGATGGGAGAGGATGCGTTGAGAGGCATTGTTGCAACTCTTGACTCGCGTGTAGGAAATTTGGATGGGAAGAAAATACATGGCTTGAGTTTCACACGAAAGTCGAGTGACTTACGGTGCTGAATTTTGAAATTTACCATTACACATAGGTACCAAGGTGCTCAGAGTGGTGGTGGGGTGAAGTGACGTTGCAAGGTACGATACATCGAGGACGTCATGACATGGGAACTAAAAAGAAGCAGTAACCAGCCGCGCCTGACTAACATTTGATGAAGATTCCAGGGTATCTCTGTGGGGCTAAGTAAGAGATCGTATTAACAGGCGACTGTTTAACAAGTCTGGAGCACTCATGGTGTAAAATTAGAGCAGAATGAGCTCAATCAACATTGAACCGTGGAGGAAATGTCCATGTCTTCTCAAGCCGGCACCTCAACACATCTCGTGATTTCAATCCCATCCTAAACTCGCAATCAGCAGTGATTGAGATGCGAAATAAAGGGAAACTTACAGGAACTCCAGTAGGCTCAAAGCTATTCACTAACCGACTCTCATAAACAATCTCCGGATTCCCCTTAACCTCCATACTCAACTCCTCCACACCCCCATATTGCTTAGCCGCTCTATCCGAGAAACCCTCCGTATCCTTCTTCTCCTGCTTCTCCGCCACCCTCTTCCTCTTCTCCTCCACCGAACTCCTCACATACTCCAAATATGGCGGATTGCCCGGCTTAATCACATTATCTGCCGCCAAAATCGTACCTTTTTGAATGAGACCAAGACTTTCGCAGAGTTTGAGGTCAGTGGTGTATGCTGGTTTGTAGTGATCCAGGAACATCATGTCGATTTTCTTGACTTTGCCTGCGACCAGCAGGATGCGGATTCCTTCGTTGCTGGGCCCGACGACCATCTCGACGAAGTCGGACAGACCTGCAATCCCGACGAGGGTTTTAATGACCTTGGCAAACTTGGGGCTTCGCTCAAGTGAATAATATTTCTTGCCTCCGGCGGCTCGCTGTGCATGTGCAAATAAGATTGTAGAGTAGCCGCAATAACCCCCCAGTTCGAGCATGATTTCTGGTTTTGCTTCATGGATTAAATCGGTGACGATGCGGCCCTTGTCTTCTCCAACATTCATGAGGTATTTCTTGGTGCGGCCGAACTCATCGATTGCTTTCAAGACGGCGGATGGTGAACCTTGGACATTGGGCTTGGATTTCACGAACTCGACGAGCTCTTCTTCTCTGCCGTCGTCGAACTGCTGCTGTCAGCAGTGTTGAATACGGGATACAAGAAACGAATCGCACTTACAAAGATATCTTCCTGGGCAGCATATGCTCTCTTTTCATCGAAATGGGGCATGTTTTTAATCCGCCTTCTGCGAAAAAAATATTATAATTGATTTGATCGCTGCAGAAACTCGAAAGTGTGGGAACTTTCTCATGTCGGGGTTGACGCGAAGGATACCAGATGGTGGGGTCGCGGGGTCTTGGTCATTCCTGCCGGGGAAATTTTCCCTTTGCAGCGAAACCACCAACTCTAGTACTTCAGCACCAATGCAGCTATTTCTCCCGGAGGTACCACAACTAATCCTGAAATCTCCTGAAGAGTGTGTAATTCTTACTCTGGGAGGATGACATCTAGAATTCTGATTGTATTCGGGTCTGACGAGGGTTGCATCATGACTGAGAGCTTGTGTCAACAAGGGGACTCTTGTCGGTTCTAAAATAGGGTATTTTGCGACATGGGATTCAAGAATACGATCCGGGAAGCATGTGGGGCTCAGCTTCGGTGTGGAGTAGTGTGACGGGATAGTGAGGGACCGTCGTAGATCTCGAAATAAGCTATAAGTCATTGACATCTTAGATTTGTTGCTTCGAGGATGTGATTGGCTGCGTCGCGGCCGTTCTGTTCCTCAACTTAAGTTTTGTTTGAAGGTTCAGGGGCCAGAAGATGCCTCCGAAATTCCGAATAGATTGATCTCGAGTTGCTGCTCAACTATGAGTGAGCTTGAACATGGTGATCCGTCCTTGAGAGGTGCATTCCTACTTGGCACTCTTTCGCCGAGGACAATTCTCATCCCTGGGTTCTCTTCTTGTCAATTCCCGCAACATAAGAACAACCGTTAACCAATGTTCTCGGACTCGTATCAAGGCGTATGGACTAGACCCAACCATACCCTCCAAGTGACCCACCATGACCCTAACATTTCCCAGCGCACATGAGGGCCGCTTCAGAAGCTCACCAAAAGCTCCGGAAATTTCCTGCTTCCATGAAACCTTTGCTATCATCCCAGGTGGGCTGAAATATGCCACAGAGAATACGTCGATGAAGTATTTAACATGCAATAGTGCTTGCTAGTCTCAAATAAGAAATCTATGAGCTCAGTACATTCAAGCACAGTACTCTTAAGCCGCATTTTCCAATCAATACCATCATAAGTTAACCAACCACCTCGCTTCTTGTGTATTGTCATTGCCTCGACGCAAAATGTCAGACCTCAAAGCCACTGTCAAAGAAACGACCTCAAACACCGGTCACACCGGTTTCCACGTCGAAGGCTACGAGAAAATCGAATATGACTTCACATTCATTGACGGTGTTTTCAATACTGAGAATCCTAATCTTGCAGACTGCTACAAGAAATGGAAGAGATGTCTCGCGGTCACAGACCAAAACATCTACAACGTATACGGACAGCAAATGGAGCGGTATTTTGAGCACTATGGACTCGAGCTGAAAGTCCACAAAACGAAGATTGGAGAGAAAGCGAAGACGATCCCCACGCTCCTCGGTATCGTGGACTCAATGAATGAGTTTGGAATTTATAGAAAGGTCCATCCATGCTTCCCTCACTTCCGCTTGAAGGACCAAATACTAACACTTCAAACAGGAGCCGGTTCTCGTCGTAGGAGGGGGGCTCGTGACTGACGTTGCTGGATTCGCCTGTGCCGCTTACCGCCGTAACACAAACTTCATCCGGATCCCCACGACCGTCATCGGGCTCATCGACGCCTCCGTCTCCATCAAAGTCGCCGTCAATTATGGCAATTACAAGAACCGCCTAGGCGCCTACCACGCCCCGATTCACACCTTCCTCGACTTCACTTTCTTGCGGACTCTTCCGACAGCCCAGATCCGTAACGGTTTCGCAGAGTTGATAAAGATTTCGACTTGTTCTCATCTCGATACTTTCAACTTGTTGGATAAGTACTGTGAGCAGTTGATTGAGCAGAGTTTTGGGAGAGCGGATGGCAGTTCGAGGGAGTTGATCGAGGCTGCGGATAAGATTAATCGGGAAGGCATCCATGAGATGCTGAAGCTGGAGACGCCGAATTTGCATGAGATTGGACTGGATCGGGTCATCGCTTATGGACATACGTGAGCCTCAGCCACCACCCCTCTATCTCACTTACGTTTGAAAATCATGTGCTAACGAAGGATAGCTGGTCACCACTCCATGAACTCGTCCCTGAGACACCTCTTCGTCATGGCCACGCCATCTCAATCGACATGGCCTACTCCGCAACTCTCGCCAATTCCCGCGGTCTCATCACTGACGCAGAGCATCGCCGCTTGTTGAACCTCTTCTCTCGCACGGGTCTCTCGATGGACCACCACCTCTTCAACGAGGAGATCCTGGCTAAGGGTACAGCAGCAATTCTCAAGACTCGCGATGGGCTTCTGAGAGCAGCAGTCCCAAATCCTATCGGCCAATGCACGTTCCTGAACGATGTGAGCGCCGATGAAATGAACGCTGCGCTGAAGAGACACAAGCACTTGATGCGAGAGTACCCGAGAAATGGCGAGGGGCTTGACGCGTACGTTGATGCAAGTGACACTGGATACACTGAGAATGCGGCCGAAGAGGAGAAAATTGTTGAAGCTGCAGCGAAGAAGGTTGGCAGGTCGAATGGAGTTAACGAGCATCTTAAGGGACACACCAATGGAAACACGAACGGGAGTTTGAATGGCAGTGCGAAAGTTAATGGAATTGCGAAGACGAACGGTGTCTTGAGCAACGGTATGAGCGGAAACCATGAAGACAGTCGCTCGAAGACTTTGGGCAATGGCATGAACGGGACGAAGGTCAATGGTACCGCTAAGGTCCAGGCGTGATATTGGCGTTTAGGGGAAAGGAAAAACTATCGCTGGAAGGAAATTTGTTTTCCCGTTAAAGATTATGCCTGCAAACAGTTGAATAAGTGTTGCCTCTGTGGCACCCCTGCTTCAAATTGACTTCTGTTGATAGCTAGCACTTCATTTTCTCGTGTGATTTGGCACTTTCCTGTCCATTTTGGACATTCACCGGTGACGAAGACTTCCATGGACATCGGAGGAGATATCAGGTCCTGAGGCTACCAAGTCGGCAGGTCGTGGCCCGCATTGCTGAGCCCCCAGAGTACTCTTTGCAAACCATGAAGCTGTCGGCGAAAGGACTTGAGCTGGGATCGCACATTAAGGTTTAGCCTTTTGCTGCGATCAAGTTAGTGCCTTTCGTCCTTCCAAGCCCTTCTTTTCCATAATAGTCCATTGGGTACACATCGTCATTCTCTTTCGCCCAATCCTCCTTTGCACCCAAGACAATCAAAGCTTCATATGGCGTCAACAGCGGTCTCGGGAATGCATAACCCCAATCAATGCTCAATCTTGGACATGCAACCTGCACCCAGCATTCCACATCATCCATCATCGCGAGCTTTCCGGGGAAGATCTCGCTTAACAGGAGATTGATACATGGAATTTCTTGATCTTCAAGTTTCTTTTCGATCATTGACATTGTATGTGGATTCCCTTGACGACCGAGAGAGCCCAGTATCAGTCCCCATTTCTTCGCCGACTTGGCAGTGGTGATGGCTTCTCTCCTCAGGGTGTGCATCTCTTTGTGGTCGTAGCTCTCTCGCGTGAGCTTTCTCGAATAGGGATCATAACGGTATGCTGGGATCGTAGGGTTATGTATCATTGCGCTCTCCAGATGAAACCGCCCGTCTCCAAGGTAAAGTATGATATCCACTCCATCTGTAGATGCGAGTCTGGGGGATGTGCACCCAAGAATTTCTCCTTTACTTAGAGGGGAAATCTGAGGAATGAGAATATTGTAGCCCGCTTTCTCTAAAGGCGCTCGAACTCCATGTAGTGTAGCATTGAACTGTATTGTCCCAACCATGGCTATTGTCTTCCCAGAAGGGAAATTCTTCTCTAATGTAGACAACAGATGTGTCGTGTCAATGCTGATATCAACGAACACGTATAATGTCTTGATTTTCGTGACGTCGACTGGAATCAAACACGAATGAGCGTAATGTACCAGAAGATCACATCCAAGAGCTCTTGCAGTATAGTCATCGATGCAGCATGCCCCATATGTCACGTCACCCATTATCAGCGTCTCGATACCGGGGCAAAATTGTGTGAGAATGTCTGATATAGTTGTCGCAAAGAGAAGAAGGCCTTCCGGCATCTGCAGAGCCACTTTCTTTGAACCATTTGCTCGTACTCGGTGGATAGTCTTGTGTATTTCGAAGGAGTAATTCGGGGGAAGGAGAGCAATGGCGGCGTTAATGTCCGGATCGTTGAGTATCTCAGGAGGGACCTGGTTCAGGGTTCGAGGTAACCGTCTTGGTTTTGATACTTTGGAGAGTTAGCAGAGACGCATTGAGCAGTGCAGAGAGATTCTCTCTCGCCTTCAATAGCACCATTGTGCTCCACGTTCCCGTTCGTCTCAGAACTGGAAGCCGCTGCTGCCCTTCTACCCACAAAGCGCTTCTTGGGTTGTCTTTGTGCGGCAACTTCTTCCAATCTCTCTTCCACGTCCACAGCAACACCCAGATCAACCTGAGCTCGATCGTCCTCCATTGTGCGTCGTTGCTGTTTTGCTGAGGTCGAGATGAACTTTTCTTCGAGGTTACCCCTCCATGATATTCACACCCCCGGGTAAATTTAGCATCGCAACTTTTCTTCATTCGCCCCTTCTTTCTCAACTCACTTCCTCTCTCCCATCACAACTTTTACCATTGATGTACCGGTGAGACTTTAAGGGCATACTACATAGCCTCCAACACTTTTGTCGCTCTCCATCATGTCAAATGGGTGCAAGGCTCAGACGGCCAAGTGGCCTCGATCACGTCCCTGTTAAGGAAATCGTCATTGTACCATTTGTCTTTCGAACATTGAGCGATGTGTCGCTTTTCCATTAATTCACTAGGGCATCGTTGAAAAGCTGGAGTTCACTTTTCAATTCACTCTATGGCGGCCGCGATGGCGATTCTTTTGAAGCGACATCGACCCGCGCCTTCGCACTTGATCTCAACCCCAAAGCCAACATCCGCATTCAATTGACTTCCCCAATCACCCACAAGTTCTGGTACGTTGCCATCGTGGCATCTCATAAATCACCCACCAGCTCTGGTACATTGCAATTGCAATTGCGAACCTCAGCATCATGGTGAAAGGCAAGAAGGGCAAGGGCGCGAAGGCCGCCAAAGTCGACGAGGGTGACGGCGAGGTCCCCGTCGAGTCGACCACTCCAAACTCCCGTGACCTCCAACCCTGCTCAGAAGAGCTTCGTATTTCGTTCAACTTCATCACACGCTTCATCAAGGAGATCGAGCAAATCGTCTCCGGCTCTGGCAGGCAAGACACCAGGATTCCATACAATGATGTCGCTCGAGCGCAACAGCTGTGCGTAGGGCTTTTGGAACAGAACGAGTCGATCGCCGTCGACGCTAAAGTCGACCTCCTGAACCCGCAATTTACGGCACTGAATGAGCTTGCCAGAGCAAAGCGGGAGCACACCGACGCCGTCCTGAAAGCTGACGATGTTGTAGCGGTGGGAAAGATCGTGAGCGCCTTCCCACGCAATGTCACCATCAGCTACGTATGCCTTGGAAGAGGTCGAAAGGAGTACTGTCTCCGCCTACTGACATCTGCGGAAAAGAAAGCCGCTCTCAAAGGACCAGAGCCTGTCATCAATACCGTTGGCCACATGAAATTGATGGCAATCGCCGCTGAACGCGATGGCATTCCCTCCCCTGAACTTGACGAATCCCTGAAGGATATGAAGAGTTTCAGAACGGATCTCAATAAATACATCAAACGCTTCACACCAAGTAATGAGGTTACCACCGAGTCCAACGATGGATGCTACTTTCGTGTACCTTTCGGCGAGGATAAGCTCGAAACTCATTTCTATGCAAAGGGTACCCCCACTACAAAAGCCTGTGGTAAGACCTCAGACCTTCATGAAGTTGAACACCAAACTCATGGCTTGTAGGTTGACAAGGAGGTGCTGATGACCGATAAAGAATGGCGTGACGAAGCCAAAGCCCTCAAAAACACGCTGCTGCGCCACATTGACCTAATCCAGGGATTCTGTGAACGAGCTTTCCAATTTATTCCAGGATTTACTGCAAGACTGGAGGCGGAGGAAATTTTTGACCGACTTCTCACTGGCATTGAAACATTGAGCAGCGAGAAAGACAATCTCGTCGCGGAGAACAAGGAACTTCACTCAGCCAGGGAGAAGATTTACTACGACGCGGGCATCATCGACCGGCTCTGCGCGGGTGCTATGGAACGGTTGCCTCACTTGCAGAAGAGATATGAGGTATGTAAAACTTTTCTTTATCCACTCAATCATATGGATTGGTGACCATGCTCGCCCAAATATCGTGTTTCATGTCTTTGATAAGCTGTAATCTTATATTGAAAGTCCTTGATAAATTCACTGTAGCCATTTGAGACTGACTTGACTACTAGCGTGTCCCGGATAATGCCACCAAGGAGATTTTTGGTCTTGTTCTGGAGGGAATTACAGAAATGGTCACTGCCAAGGATCGTGCAATCAAGTTGAATGCCCCTTTGCGGTCTGAAATTGCCGAGCTGAAGAAGAAGCTTGCCGCAGAAGCTGAAGCGCTGAAAATTTCCCAAGACGGTCGTGATCAAGATCGAGCAAAGCATATTCAAGAATTGTCCAAAAAGGAGACCAAGACTACTATTCTTCTACGTCAAGCCAAGAAGGCGGCCTCTGAATCCGATCATTCCAGAAAGGACTTGCAGAAGAAGGTTGACCAGCTCACAGTAGACTTGTTGACAACGAAATCTGCGTTGGCTTTGAAGACAACAGAACTCGAGACTAACGTACTTGATGCTAATGGAACCCGGAATGAATTAGAGGAAGCACGCAAGCAGTCCAACAAACTAAAGATAGGAAGAATTGAGTGGGAAGCTGAGGTTGTTGGTCTTCGAAAGCAACTCGAGGAAGCCCAGTCGAGCCTGTTGTCCAGTCGAACAAACCAACGTGTTGAAGAAGACCGCATTCATAAATCTGTTCAGGGAGCTACTGCTGCGAGAGATGGGCGCATCAAGCTGCTGGAGATTGAACTGAACGACCTGAAGAATGAGAAGTTGGTATCGGAGCAGGCTCGCAAGAGTGACGAGAAGAACATTCGGGAATTGTTCCAGGACAAATATGCCTTGAAGGAGAAGAACCAGGAGCTTGAGGAGAAGTTGTTGAATGTTGCAGTTGTTCAGCAGTCGTTGGAGCAAGACCTCACTGAGGGAAGAGCCAAGATCAAGCGGTTGGAGGAACAGCTCCTGTTGCCGCGTGCTGTGGCTTCACGGTGGTGAGGTAAGTTGATTAGATGTTAACTGGATTTTCTGTTGACCAAAATTAGCATCATGGCTATATTGCCGGATCGAGGAATTCCTCTACCTGCTGGAGCCGTCCTAATCTCTCCTTGGTATGATCTACTCGGAGGATTTTGAATATCACCTGACCAGGTCCATGGGGCATTGGAATTCCGCTGTGTCTTTCTCGCTCGCTGTCTTTGATGTGGCCTTGATCTGGTCGAGATACCGCCATCCAAAGCTAAGGAAAGTTGACGGAAAACGTGGTGATTGGCAATAATAGTCAATGTATTACTGCCTCAAGTAAACTGCTTTTGAGTTGGTAACCCAGGAAATCCAAAAACCAATTGTTCCAATGCGCCCCATATGTTACGATTTTTAATCTAGTAATCAATAGTGCAGCCCTCTATTCCCAATGCCAAATCTGCCAATTGCCGTATCAAAACTCTAAAATATCCCGCTAATAAATCACACAGCTCAACGTTATGCCTTTTTATCCTCGGTCTCTTTGAGTTTCGGAACCACAATCTTCTCCTTAATCCCCAGAACCCCAAAATTCTCTTCCTTACAAATTTTGTCCGTCTCACTTTTTGACGTCCCCATACTAGTACTCCGACTTTGCGCTCCCACCAACCGCTTCCAGTGCAAACTTGCTGATTTTGACATTAATGCCAGCAGTAAAATTGTCATAATCTGGATTTCCGGCGGAGGGAAGAAGGTTAGGGAAGAGCCAAGAGATCAGGGGTTTGGGCGTGCTAAGGGAGACGTATGTGACGGCTGCGTTGAGCTCGATGTAGGGCCAGTTAGCGACTCCGATGTTATTCCATATTAGATCTGGGGTTGTGGCTACTAGATAGAGAGCTATGATGCGGATGCTGTAGGTGATGCAGACCCTGAGGAATGGAAACGTTAACACAATGTCTCAAGTTCTCCCAAGCCCGAAGAGGGGCATAACAAGGCGGATTGGGTAACATACAAGAATCTCAAAGCAAAAACAAGACCCAAACTGATCTTCTGTCCGCTAGGCAGACTCAAAGTAAATATCGTCCTCTGTGGCAACACAACTATCGCAAGGTTCTTAGCGATGATCAACGAAGCGCTGACATACCACATCGGGGGAGTGGGAATACAGTGCCCTGGAATACTCTTCTCCCAAACCGCGCGACAGGGACGCGACGCCATAGTATACACCAGACGCAACACCTTCTGTTTTGCCAGTAGCTGAGGAAGGAAGACGATAGTGGGAATATGTCATTGGAAGAGGGTGGAGATGGAGGTAACGAGGACGGGGAGGCTCGAAAGGCCCAACTCAAGAGGGCGCTGTGGATTTAGAGAGGCGGCTAGCGAGAGTGCACGCGCAGTTGGCTGTCCAACGGAACGAAATCTTACGAAAGAGACTAGATAGCAATACCAGAAAGCTTAAGGCAGAATTGCAGCTAAGGAAGTCTGCAATTAAAGAGGTTGACGATTATGCTGGTTTATTCCTACTTCGAAAATCATATCATTTTCAATTGGTATCTTGCAGGACTGACTTTTCCTTCTCTTCCCTCTCTTCCACCACTCCCACCACTCCCCCCTCAACCCGGAAACACGGGGTCTGGCGTGATGGTTTGATCTTTTCCCACCTCTTTCTCCCACATCCCCGAGAATTCCCCCATCTCAGTAAAATCCTCTGTCCACCACTTGATTTCTTACGAAACGAAGAGCTGTTAGAGCCTTTAGCCTTTAGAGCTAGTCATGAATATATGCTGTGTTACTGATCTTAGTAATGATTCGCTGTAAAACTGTCAGAACCTACGTTAGAGAGTTCACCCGGGGGTGCCCAGGGGGTAGCTCCACAAAGTTGATAGGCTCAGCTGACTAACATTTTGGTCCGATAAAGATGGCGACCCCTTAGTCTTCCTCACTTCAGGGGATAATGCGCGTTGCAAAACGTCTAGCCAAGGACTTGAAAACCAATTAGTGTTGAGAATCATCGTTTCACATGCTCGTGTATATTAGACCCCTTTATGGATGATATGGATGGCAACCAATGAAGTGTGAAGTGTTCTCATGTTAACAATTAGCGCAGGGGCTAGCAGAGCAAATGTATTCTAATAGGTGGGCGGCCTCTACCTTCGTAGTGCCTTCTTTCCATCATTCCTCGTAGGGCAAGTGGATGGATAGACCAGCCGTGTGCTTTGACCTCTGTTTTGGATCGTCTTCGATTACACTAATTTCACTTACCGAGCTTACTCCTGGTTCCAGAACGCTTCATATTCATTTAGCGTTAACCTTATTTCACTGGAGCGTTCGTCCTTTCGGCTTTTACCCTACCTACGGAGTAGGCTAGATGAAGAACGCCATCGCCCTCGCCAAAAAGTCATGAAACTCGACCGAGCAAGCTTAGCGCTGGTCAACGCACACGTGGGCCCCTTGGGTACACCCTATGATAGCCCTTCGTCCGGTGAGACATAGTCCACGCTAGCAAGGGGGCCTGGCTCAGACTGTAAAGTCGTACCTTTGCTTGAAAACTTATTAGTCATCTATCGCCTTTTCGCCCTGAGCCAGGCCCCCTTTCCCCCTCTGTCACAGAAGATCGAGCAAAAAGTATTGGCACAAACCTTAAAAGTAGCCCCGCAATCCTAATTCGTGGGATTCTCTAGGGTGGCGGGGCAAGGGAGTGCTCAGACACTCAAATCGACCCAAGATCATGGGACGGCTCGTTCGAGCCTGGGTTTTTAAGTTCATACGAAGTAGGTTCGCGACTCCACTCTCGATCGCTTACCCCTGGATACTGAGGAGGGGAAGTGGAAGAGTGAGAGAGGTTGAGAACGAGAGGGACAAGTGGTGGGAAGAGAGATCCGACCGAGAGAATGAAGAGTGATTTTGGGGGAGCATAAGAAATAAAAAAATTATTAACGGATTTGCCATTGCATAAATAATGTCTACTAATTTTTAAGTTCTATCAAGGGTTATTCAGTACTTGGCTTGTAGAGGGCCACCCAAATGGCAGATTCACGTGATATTCTGTAGTACATCCTGAACATGTTGATACGCTGCCTTAAGTGACTCAAGCTTGGTAAGCTTGTACCGCTCTCATTAGCTATCTCAACAGCGGGTCGGGTCATCGTCGAAGCTGTCGTCTTCAATTCTCCCCGTGTCCGACCATATCATATTGCAGGTGCATCGTGGGAAAGAGCGCGGCCAAGGTTGATAACACCACTGGCATCGGCGTTTGTTGCTGTTTCGGGAGGAGAGAATTTGTTTGGAGGCTCGGGAAGAGGAGCTATGCGCCCTTTACCTCTAATTGTTAGTAACGAGCCCCAGGGGGGCCAGAGGTAGCGTGAAGAAGTGAAAGCCACGGTGGTGAAGACTTGGAGTAAATGGTCAATTCAAGACAATAACTAACTCTTGACCCTGCGAAGGATGGTTCAGTCCTCATCTTTATGGCCATATCCTTATGGTTAGCCCTACATCACAGTCCCGACGCTCGGACATTAAGAAGGGTGGATTAACATGCACGCTTTGACTTTACTTGTAACCACCCATGCCCGGGGGTGTTTCGAGGCTACTCCGTAAAGCTTACTGCATTAGCTGGGACCTAGATTCCGATCAAACAAATCAGAGGGTTCGATACGCGGCATTCCCCCTCATCCACCAAGTGTCCGTGCGCTTCTGTTCGCGTCTTCCCCGAGACACCCCAAACTAACAGGCATGTTATTAGATAAAACTAGTTCTAGAAGCCGCTGCCGCTTCCTCCTCCACAATTCTTCAATGTAACCTGTGAGGAGGTCCTTTTATTAACCATGCGATTCGGATACTTACCACTAGCTGGTATATGCTTCGTTGCGACGATACTTGCTCAAAGCAACATCACACCGCCTGCTTGCTCAGTGAGTGTCTCTTAATTGATCTCCCAATATATTTGACTGATCTTGCGGTCTTTTCAAGACGGCCTGTCTAGAGATAGCACTAGCAGGCACACAATGCGATGCACTAAACCTCCAGAGCTGCTTTTGCACAAATGAGATTCTGCAAGCAAATGTCTCTATCTGCGTCCTAGCAGAATGCACTTATCAAGAGCAAGTCGGTAATGGGCCCCTTTTAATCTCTATCTCCTAGAATGAGTACAGATTGAATGCTGACATGCGCAGTTGCGTCAAATCTCCAAGCTATCATTTGCAAGGGCGTCCCACAGCCATCTCGTAGTAACGAAATTATTCACACTATCATCATTTTATCAGTCTTTACTTTTCCAATTCTCTGTCTGAGGTGTTTCTCTCGCTGGTCGATTACGCGTCAACTATGGTGGGATGATTGGATGGCTGTTTTGGCAGGGGTGAGGCCACCATTACAACAACATTGGATGTACTTGACAGATACTAACGAGCTATATGCAGATTGTGATTCTTATCTTGGCTATTTTTAATATATTAAGTAAGCATACTTCTCGGCGGAACAAGAGGAAAGGAGTATTGCGTTTTATGACGGCCTGGAGAACTAACGACACTCTAGTGGCTAAACTGGGCTTAGGAAAGCATTTGTGGAATGTCCGTCCTGTGGACTCCCCTCCCCTTCTCAAAGTCTGTACCCTAGCCGTATTTCAGGTTCAGAACTGCTTTTCTAACTGACTTAGTATTTCTATGCAGCTCAGATTCTCTACAGCCTCGCCCAAGTCCTCGCCAAGCTGTCCATCCTCTTTCTATACCTCCGTATCTTTCCTCGGCCGAAATTCCGCCTCGCAACGTACATCGCAATCGGAGTCCTGATAATGGACGGCATCGTCTATATGTTACTGCCTGCTTTTGAATGCCTGCCAATACGCTCATTTTGGGATAGAAGCGTACCCGGAAAATGCTTGAACCTTCCAGCAATCATCTACACCGGCGCGAGTACTGGTATTATCATGGATTTTGTTATCATCTGTCTTCCGATCTCAGAGCTGAAGACTCTAAACCTGACTTTGAGGAAGAAGATAACTCTTGGTCTTATGTTCAGCGTTGGATCCTTGTGAGTTAGTCACCTTTTTCTACGAATTATTTAACTGACATCATTTCCCAGCGCATGCATCACAAGCCTCATACGCCTAAAATATATCGCGGTGTTCGGTTCAAGCTTCGACGTTACCTGTAAGGTCGCCCCTGCCTCCCTAGCATTTCATATCCCTCGTAAATCTATCATAAAACAAAATAATAATTTGAGAGGCAGGGGACGATACTGATGTAGTTATGTGGTCCTTTATTGAAATCGCCATGGCGGAGATCTGTGCGTGCCTCCCGACAATTCGACCACTTCTCGTTCACTACATACCGAGTATGTTCCAGAGCACCAGTCGCAGCATAAACACCACTACCACACTACAAAAGGGGTACAAGCCTAGAGTCCCACCAAAACTAAGCCGTGGGCACAATGGAGAGGAGCTAATGAGCGATGATGAAGGCCTCGTGATTAAGACCCAACGCCCTGTAATGGTATGGAGTAAGGTCCCGGTTTTGCAAGATAATAGCGACATCGAATTGGGTTTCCGCAAAGCCACCAATTGAGAGTCTTCCAGTTACAGGTTCTGATGATTTCCGAGCATCTTCGCAGGAATCGTGAGGTTTGTTTTAGATGCGTCTTTGGTACGGCAATCACGCTAGGAGGGGGAGGAGGAGGAGGAGGAGGAGGTTAACCCGCCATAGTGTTCCTCGTGACTGTTGTTTGGCCGTTCAGAACTAGTTTTCACTGCTTTTGATCGATTGGCGCTAGTGTTTCTTGACCGGGATCTCGACACCTCCAACCCTCTGGCCCACGTGACTCCGCGCCTTCCGCCAATGCGACCACCGCCCGTAATATGAACCGTTAGGCCCTAGAGACAATCCGAGATCGAGTCGCAGTCGCTTTCGAGGTTGCCGTCGCTACTCGCAAATTCTTTTCATCGTCCTACTGTCCACGCTGTTATCTTGAGCATAATGGGTTAGCAGCCACAGGATTTGAACCTACCAGCACAAGCCGTTTTCCTCAACTCTGGCCATGAGGAGAGTATGCACAGCAGGTGCTCACCAGAGAGGCAGTGCCAGCTACCTCTCCAGCCGCCTCTGGTTGGAGGTATTTTTGGTAAAATCGCGATTTTGATGGTTTTCGCTTATTTGGCTTTCACATGACTAAAAACCCGACCGAGTTAGAAGGCATCACCCACCAACCGCCCACCCCCTTCCCGCTTAACTTGGATTTTGGAGGCCTTAACGCCACAAATTCGAAAAATTAATACGATATTCGCAATATTTCGAGTATTCTCTATAATCTGGAAAGTTTTTAGAAATTTTCAAAGACTTTTGAAAAATCGAGAAAATTTTGGTGGGGTAGGCGTGGGCAGGAAGAGGTTTGGGCGGTTGGCGGGTTATCCCTTCTATTCTCATTCGTTATTACGATGTGTGGCGGCCATAGCCACGCCTTCTGTCTCGGTCACCACCATTGCACAGCCTGTTTAGCAGCCTTAACACCACATGTTCGCGAAGACCCTCTCTTTCTCTCTCTTTTGTGACTGCTTCTAGGTGACATTTTTTCGTTGAAAACATCTCCATCAGCATCTGCAATAGGAGACCGAGAAATCAGCTACGTCCTCGAGCGAAATTCTCAACAATCAAGATCTTGTAGAGTCGAACATTGTAAGTCACTATATAGAAGAGGCTGGATGAACTAGTTCATCTTCTTACAATCTCAGACTACAGAAAAATTTCTGAAACCTTTGTCCAAAACCCAGCGGAATGCCCGAAACATTCTAGATCTACTCAAAGAGCCGAACACTGTACACGTCCCCCATACGCAATGCCTAGCAAAAGTGATCTGCCTACTTCACTCACTAGCTATAATAACATCCTTTGGCGAGTTTTGCATCCTAGAAACGTCGATACGACGAATCTCCCAATGGACGCTCCTTCGAATCACCCAACAGAGCATCCGCTAAATAGCCTCTACTCCCCCCTTCAAGACTCCGACGAAATCCGTGTGTTGCACCTTCGATCTCGTTCGAGCTCTGATAAGATTATATCTACCTTGAAGCATGTCAAATTTTCTGAAGATCCAACTTATGAAGCTTTGTCGTATGTTTGGGGCTCGCCTGAGGTCACAAAGGTAATTAATCTTGACGGGGTAGAGCTTCCAGTTCGGGAAAACCTCTACTGTGCCTTGGATCACCTGCGGCTCGAAAACAAGACACGGATTCTTTGGATAGATGCTCTGTGTATTAATCAGATCGATGAAAAGGAGCGGAACCACCAGGTTGCTCAAATGGGAACAATCTACCAGAGCGCCGAAAGGGTAGTTGCCTGGCTAGGAGATTCCGACGACAGCAGTTCAAGCGCATTTCGAGCTATTCTGGATACCAAAGAATGGTATGTTATCAAAGAGGAATCCCAAAACAGGCTGAACAGAGGCTCGAAAATCAGCCTGCAGACTGCTTTCTTCCAGTGTGTTCTGGATCTCTTTTCCCGACCATATTGGACGAGAATGTGGATTATCCAAGAGGTTTTGCTTGCTCGAAAGCTCCTTTTCCAATGTGGCGACGACAATTGCTCCTGGAGACAGCTCATCTGGTTTTTGAACTTTTTTGGACTTATTGACGAGTCCTACCCTAGTTATAACGCCAACGTCGGGTATTCCCACTACAGGCCTCAAAATTTATTGGCACTTCGTGAGCGCGATATCTTCAGCAAGGATGTTGCAGATCATTTGAGCCCAACTCGGGATTGTACCACAAGTGGAGAGTGGAATTTCAGTCCTTGCAGGCCGGAGAGCCACGTGTCAGACAGGTGGTCTTATTTGGTGGAGCTGATGTTGTTATTTGAACGAGCGGAATGCCAAAACACCCTCGATAAAGCATTTAGCCTGTACGCTTTAGCTGCAGACTGCTGTCGCAAGGCACTTCCTATCGATTACTCCTTATCACCAAAGGAACTTTACGGAATAGTTCTTCGCCACTACAAAGAGTACCATAGAAATTCCTATGGACAGCTGGGTTCTGTCGGGCAAATGAAGCTCAGAACTTTGCTTGGTAGCGAGTTCACGGACTTAGAAGAGACACTACAGGACATGCCTATGTCTTCCTCCAGGTATCGATATGCGGGTCCTTCAGAGCAGGGGAGTAGGTTTTATAGTGGAAGGGCAGGAGTTGGGGACTCAGATCTCCCAGAGAAGGATTGTTGTTTGATGTAATTATCTACTAGTTGGTGTACTGCCAATGGCCTTAACTAACTTTCGATGGGGCAATGGGGTTCACGGTTCCTGCAATTCATGGTACTCAATTATTTTGTAGCCGGTAGTTGAGATGGCGTCTATATCTGGATTATAGGGATTGTACCATAAGGTTTAACAGCACTGGCGAGGGGGAATAGTTGGAATAGTTAGTGCTAATAGTCGAGTGGTATCTCAACTACACGCGAAAATGCCATTGTTTTTGGTGTCCAATCTCAATTTATATATCAGAAAGGGGATAACGGTAATAGCCTCTTCCCTTTTGAAATATCGTAACAACCGCTTAGTGTTTCTTTCAACATGGAACTAACGTATTTGCGATTTGCCGGAGTCTTCAAATAAGGAAAACTGGAATCACAAGTATTTCCTAAATACACCAAGCCAGGGGTATCTCCCATACAAGTAGCCTCAATCCGTCGTTCTACACGCAACTAGTAATACACATCCCTCCACACAAGTTATCTAAATAAAGCCACCCCCAAGAACTCCGAGCCATGAATCTTACTTTAGAATATTCACAGTCTACCTAAACAAGGTATCAGTAAATTGAACGCCTCAATATCCCCTAAAGTACGCAATAGATGCTAAATTCATGCATGTAGCTAAGATGCCCCAGGCTTTGGACTGCTGACTGCGCTGCCCCCGCCCCGTTTCATTAAACCTGCGAAGAATGAAGTGAGGGCTTCGTTTTGTGATTTTCCGTCTTGCGCGTTTGTACCGCCTGGCGATTGCGGTTCCGGTGTTTGGTGGATCTGGCGGTCTTGAATTCGTACTTAGCAACATTGAACCTAAACAGACACAATTGGCTGTACCTTCAACCGTTGCTACATGTCATCAGCATCGACCCGGATTTCGCCTATATTGAACTGCACGGGGCCAACATGATCATTGACACGACCTTTATCAGTACCTTCACCACCTTCATATACGGATTGAGATGAACTTCGACTACTGATCACACGATGACTGTCCATCCCCGAATTATTAGCACCTTGTCTGATCTTTTCGAGAACCTCGGCTAGGATCATGAAGTTCCGACCGAAAGTCTAAGCTTGCCGCTTGGCTATACGCTTGGCTTCGCCTTGTTCCTCCTCATTAGCTTACACGCAACTAACGGTAATGCGTCGCCAGCATCCCCCGCGCGGCGCGGAACGAGCTTAAGCCTCTTCTCTTGTTCAATCCGCAGTAGCCAAGACCACCCAAGCTATTCACGGCCACTGATGAAGAGATCACTTGCATAACCCGCTATAGTAGCACTGTCGATCGGAGGAGTCGCAATGTTGTTTCTAGTATCATGCTATTTTGGTGGTGTGTATGGTTATTGAAGGTCAAGGGCGGATATTCTTGGAATGGTGTGAGAGATTGGAGAGAGATCGTTGCGTTATTGGCAGCGGGAGATGGCAGAGCAGTTCTGCACATCCCCAAAGATGGCAAAGATTAAGGTTGGGGATACAAGTCTACCGGAGGAATGAAACAAACTTGTTGGACTTTCTTAAAGTATATTATCTGCTTCTCAATAAGTCTACTTCTGAATCAAACTTGCCTAATATGAAAGATTTAACCTACCATTGAATTATCTTACATTCCCATGTCCAGTGAATCACTTTCAGGACAAATATTGTGTCAAACCAAGATCGAATGCTCTCCCACAAGCAATATTGATTCATAACCTTTTAAAAATTCCTATGGAAAGAAGCTTAATATCTCTCATATACTCCATTCTCCTTTTAACCCAACCAAAATTATGCCCACATTGAAACATTGCAACTATATCCCAACACCTAAACACTAAGCAAGCCATAGAAACAACTCAGAAACATCAGAGCAGGCTACCAACCAGCAAATTCAAGCACCGCATCATGCCGTACCTGGGTTCAGTCTACTTTTGCTGCTGTCAAGTAAATTTTCGTGCCTCCTTAAGCCATATGTCTAATATCATTGCCGGTGCTATCTATACGGACCGCCCCAAAATGAGTCCCAATTTCCGAACTGCCGTCTCTGTAGCCACCAGTTTTGTCCCGTTTGAAAATTGAATCCAGTTTTAACCTCTAACAACTGCGCTTTAGTTGTGGTAGACACATGGACTGGAGAGGCAAGAAACTAGAAAAACGGAATAGATAAATATCCTGAAATGTATGATATGGCTTCACCAAATCTCAAATGATGTCCCGTCCTGTCTTTATTTAATCTCCTTCCTACTGATTCCAAACAAAGCTTTCGCTCGAGTTCTCCTCTAGTGGGTCATTCTTTGCTTAGATTTGAATAATTATGGATCGAGGCACGTCTCGCGATTTCTATTGTTTTTTATTATTCGCAGGCTCCTATCACTTACTACAAAAACAACTCAGATTACTAAATCTCCTTGGACATTAATTCACAGCGTCAACCTCAAATCGCGCTCATCACGATCACTCGGCTTAAACTCAAAGTAAATCTCAAGACAAGCGAGATTTAAGAGCAAAAAGAACTCAGAGAACATCACAACCACAAACATTACGTTCAGTAAATACAAACCTTAGTATGTCTTGGGTCGGCCAGAACTATCTCCGTTGCTGTCAATTAAGTCCCTATAAGCTTCATTTGGTTAAACCAAAGATTTGATTAAGAAACAGTGCATTGCATTCTTCAGGAGCCCGCGATTGACCCCCAAAATGCCACCGAGAACCCAAATTGCGTAACTTGTGGCCACGAAGCTAACACATGTTGCGTTTGGCTTCGGCCTGCGTGTCGTCTTCCTCCGTTGTGGTAGGATACTATTGGAAAATCGGGAGAAAACGAGAGCAATACCGTTGCGAAATATCTAAATTGTAGCATGGCTTTCAAACCAAACCCAATTCAAGTCTTATCATCTTAGAGTCTCCTTAGATGTTCTATTTAGATGACTTACTGTCCTAGTCACTCAAATATACCTATAAGATCCTGGATAGCAAAACAATCAAACACTCTGATTGCTATACAACTCGAGTGTATCTTGCAAACACATTCACTGATACTTATATAATTTAATATAAGCGAAATTCCCTTAATTACAATCAAAAGGGTTCATAGCTTAACGGTAAAGCGCACAAGACAAATACAGAAACGGGGATGTTATGCCTAGCATTTAACGACCTCAGACATTGAAAAAAAAATACAATGTCACTGTAAAAAATTGTGAGATGATGGTTCGAATCCATCTGAATCCAAATCTGAATTGAATTTTGACCTTTTTTCCCCACCGACTCCTAAATTAATTTCATTTTTATTTTATTTTTGGTAAGTCAGTTCGCCCAATTTCCGGAGGCGGAAAGAGCGGGGTGAAAGTTGATGGGTGTGGGAGAGGGGACAGAGAACGGGGTTTAGCGAGCCCCTTTTTGGCTTTAGAAAGAAATTATTTGGGCATGGGTCTCGTTCGTTCGGGAAGAATGATACGCGTATGCGTGTATGTATAACACAAAGCTGGAAAGAAAGAATTTAATAGAAATGCTCGTTTTTTTGGGTTTAAATCTTCCACGGTTGTCATGAGCGAGAGCTACAGCCTTGCTGAAATCTGACCGGGCACACAACCCTCATCAAGAAACCTCCTCCCAATAACTCTCAAGTCCGGCTTCCTCAACTTCCCACTCGCCGCCTTCGGCCACACCATATACTCCTCCCTGCCTCCCAGCCACCAAACATATTTCGGCTGCTTGAACCGTACCAATATCTGCATTGTTCGGGTCCTCAGGCCTCATCACTCGGCAGTGGTCCATTTCCACTGTACTTCACAAACGCCGCCATCTGCCCGCCATACCTCTGGTCTGGGATGCCGATAACAGCACACTGTGCCACAGCCGGGTGCGCCATCAGTCGTTCTTCGATCTCAAGAGGTGCGATGTTCTCCCCGCCACGGATAATCATATCCTTAATGCGGCCTGTGATGACAAAATACCCTTCTGGATCAACATGCCCCTCCTCCCCGATATAGAATCATTGTTGTCCATCTTCCGGGCTGAGTTTATGCGCTTCCTTCGTTTTAACCTCGTTTTTATAATACTCCCGTTGCACACCGTACCCACGAAGCACGATCTCTCTTTTCTGGCCCCAGGGCATCATCAGATTTGTTGCAGGGTCTACGATTTTGGCTGAAATGCCAGGGAACAGTCATCCGGAGGTGAGGCATTGTTTTTCAATGGCATCTGTGTCCCGCGTCATGGTGCAGATTGATACGGATTTAGTGAGCCCCTAGTTAGTATGCATCTGCGTGATTCTAAGCGCCGTCCAAATCTTTCGGATCAAAGTCTCTGGGACTGCGGAATCGGCGACGATGGCGAAACGCAGGGAAGGCATGTCATAGCTTTGGAAGTGGGGATGGCTTATTCCAGCGACGAACATGGTTGTTACGCCGTAGATTCCTGTGCAGCGGTTCTTGGTGACGGAGGCAAGGGTTTCTTCGACGTTGAAGACGGTGCCCGGGAGCACGATTGAGGCGCCGTGAGCGCTGACGACGGCGAGGTCTATTATGAGCCAGAAGCTGTGGAAGAGTGTGACGGAGGTGCAGGCTCGATCAGTGACTTCGAGGTACATTGTGTCGCTGATGAAGCGGCCTGCGTTGTAGATTTCTCCGTGTGTCAAGGTTGATGCTTTGGGGTACCCGGTTGATCCGCTTGTGCATTGGAGGTTGAGGATATTATTTGGATCCAGGGTTTCCTCAATTGCGTCGAGATCTAGTAGGTAGGTTTCTCCCGTGGCAATAAGATCCTGGTAAGATCCTGATAATGAATGCCGATCTTCCCGATCAACCATGATGATATGTTTGAGGCCCTTGATATTCTTCCTCAAATGCGGAATCCAGGGATCGTAATCGTATCGGTCAAATCCTGGAACCATAACCAGAACGCTGCTTCCGCACGATGAGAGCACGGAGTGGAATTTTTGCTCGCTGTACCCATGATTCGCCAATGTGATGAGCGCACCTAGCTTCGCGCAAGCATAGAACAACTCGACGTATTCCACCATATTTCCCATCATTATTGCGACTCGGTCGCCCTTCCTGACTCCTACTGTAGCTAGGCCTCGCGCGAGATGGTCGCTCCTTTTGTCGGCCTCCGCATATGTCAAGGTACGGTTTTGGTGATTGGAAACGACGAGGGGTGAGGACCAACGAGTCTTTGCCTGTTCGCGGAGGAGAACTCCGAAGGTTTTGTCGATTATTTGGGGATGTGATGGTCCATGAACGAGGGGCCCTCCGTGAGCTGCTGCGCGGTTTATGGCCATAATGGCCTCTCTGGAAGATGGGAGATGTACCATCTTGGATCAAGGATTCTCAGTTATGGGGGAAGAGGATATTGATGGCAAAGATACAACGTGCGCAGAGAACTACTGTGGAAAGGGAGGCGGTAGAATAAAACAACTCAGAACTTAGAAAAAAAGCAATGGGGAAAAATGTATCGCATGAACTCAAAAATTGGTGTCCATTTTCGGGCAACTTCACCCGCAGCGAGGAGGGGCACTACCCACTGCTATCAAAGGCATATCTCGAGTCGATCATGACCACCAAAGCGATAGCTGATCGGCTATGGCTAGAGCTGCAGCATTTGCATACTTTTCGCTGCTCGTTTGTGATGGTTGAAGACAGAGTGAAGACGACGCGTTGACCCGAAGATCTTGGCGAGGTGAAACCCGACACGCGAGACCCGAGGACCCCACTTCTCCAACCCAGAACTCCACAACTCCACCGCTCCGCATCTCCACCACAATAGGTTCACGATCTTGCATCGGGTGAGTGGGCCGTCGCCTTTTCGAGTGGTGCTCTGAGGTCGACGATGGCCGACGCGACGAAAATGAAGAGAGGGGTGGGCTCGTCGGGGTGGGTGGCTGGGTCTCGCTTCACACTATCAAACGCAGACCTCTGATGTTTTGTACTTGCAGCTACTGAGTCTTTATCATATTCCAGGGGGGCAGGGGGGGTGAGAAAGGGGTTTTCACGAAATCGAGCAGAAAGATATGTGTGGTAACTGGAGGGTGAGAATCTTCAGACGAAAATCGGAACTCAATTTTGCTGACCTTCACTCCAACCTGTCAGGCCTGGGCCTTGCGACGACTAACTTAGGAGCACATGTTGCTATTTTGGACTTGGACGACCCTACGGGCGTCTTCAAACAACTGGGCTCACAAGTTCGATTTTTCGAAGTCGATGTATCCAACACACAGCAAGTCGAGTCCCCGGTGAAGGCATCGCGAGCTAGGGGAAGAAATTTCAGAGGATATCGCAGCTGTTGTGTGCTGTGCTGGTATTCTTGGCCGGGCAAAGGTAGACCAAGAACCTGCGAACTCACCGCAGACTAGAGGCTGGTTGAAACTAGATCCTGGGAAGACAAAACATTGCGTTCTCGATCGAGGTGTTCCAGAAAGTCGTTGCTGTCAATCTAATTGGAACAGTGGATGTTATCCGTCAACTTCTCCCCTACACAGCAACACAAACTCCAGATGGTGATGGAGAACGAGGAGTTATCATCTTCACTGTTTCATTAGCAGCCGCCTTCGATGGCCAACCAGGGCAAGTTGCGTATTCTGCGACGAAAGGAGCAATTGCGTCGATGACGCTTCCTCTCGCCCGCGATCTTGTGCAGCATGGAATCAGAGCTGTATCGATATCTCCTGGCCTGTTTGAGACCAGCGTGGTTACCGATATGCCGAAGAAGGCAAATGATAGCCTTCAGCGAGCTCTGGAGTTTCCGAGTAGACCTGGAAGGTCAGATGAGGTTGCGGAGTTGGTAGGTCACTCGATATCGAATTCAATGTTGAATGGCACCATGGTTAGACTTGGTGGAGCTACGGGGATGCCTAGTTGGCTGTAGAGTACCTTGTTTTCGTTTTCCTTCTATGTCTCTACACACAATACAACTAGTGGGAAATCAAATGACCATCACGTGCTTGTTTTGTCACCATCCTCCTCCTTGTCTTCTAGTCCGGCTGGCAATGAGACGAGCATCTCGTCTCTTCTTTTCGGGTTCGAATTCTGCAGGCACACATGCCAAGTTTAGAGCAAAATTGAGTATTCGCTTCCATCGGAAGTTGGCTCGGGTCTCGCGAATGACATACCCCTTCTTTCGATGACACTACCACGCGCTGCAAGGCTCATCCTATGTGAGGCTAGTTCAAATGGAGCAGCGGGGTTCTTTTAGACAGCATCAGTTCGTGCTCCAACGTCATTCATTATGTTTCGTTTCTGAATTTCACCTCAGCTCGTGAACATTTCCCTACACTACTCCAACCTGGGAATCCAGATCATTCCCCATCTCACAATGTCAACCACAACCTTCGTCGCCGGTGTAGGCATGACGCCCTTCCGCTCCCCCAAGAAATCCGCAAGCCAAGCCCAAAACCCCAACTCCGACTACTTCGACCTCGCCGTTTCATCGGCCGTGAAGGCGCTCCTCGACGCCGGCCTCACCTACGACGACATCGATCAAGGAATCGGCTGCTACGTCTTCGGAGACTCGACCTGCGCCCAAAGAGTTTTCTACTCTCTCGGTATGACAGGAATCCCGATCTTCAACGTAAACAACTACTGTTCTTCCGGCTCTACTGGCATCTACCTCGCAAACCAAGCGATCAAAGCAGGGCAGGCGAATTGTGTGCTGGTTATTGGTTTCGATAAAATGTATCCGGGTGCGCTACCGCAGATATTTCATGATAGGACGAATCCGCTCAGTAGGATTTTGGAGTTGAGTGAAGGCTTGATTCCTGAGGCGGATAGGGAAAAGAAGAGCCCGGGGTGGACGCCGCAGTTGTATGCTAATGCACAGGCGGAATATCTTGAGCGGTATGGACCAGCTGGTGCCACAAACGAACATTTTGCGAAGATCACATCTATTAACCGGGCGCATGGAGTCAAAAATCCGTATAGCCAGCTGGCGAAAGAGGTTTCCGTTGACGATGTACTATCGAGTCCGTCCGTTACGGGAACAATTACCAGGCTGCAGTGCTGCCCTTCATCTGTAAGTCAGAACACCCGTCAGAACTTTGCGTACGCCTCCTATATTGACATTACCTGGAGCTGTACTTACGCAGAATAATGGCAACAGCTCTTTCAAATCTCACTTTCTTTTGTTTGTTGCTTGCTGATTGCCTATGGTTTAGACTGGAGCCGCAGCAGCTGTCATCTGCTCTGCCCAATTCCTCAAATCACACCCCCACCTACACAACTCAGCGATCCAAATCGCCGGCCAAGCACTCGCCACCGATACGCCGCTCCTCTACGAACCCGCCAGCGCAATTGAGCTGATCGGCTCCAACATGACGCGCCTCGCAGCAAAGTCTGCGTTCCAACAAGCAAAGATTATACCAAAAGATGTCTCGATAGTAGAGCTGCATGATTGCTTTACCACGAATCAGATGTGTGCGCTTGAAGGTCTGGGGATGGCTGAGGAAGGGAAGGCATGGAAGTTGATTCAAGACGGCGGGATAAGTTACTCGAAGGAGAGGGAGAGGGCATTGGGTGGGAGGGGGTGGATTGTCAATCCAAGTGGAGGGCTGATTTCGAAGGGCCATCCATTGGGAGCTACTGGACTTGCGCAGTGTGCCGAGCTCGGTTCGTCACCCCCCTTCTCCTTCCCCTTTCCGCTTAATTTACACTGGCTAAAGATGTTGATTAATTCTGTGCTCTAGTTTGGCACCTCCGTGGTTGGGCAACGACACGTGCGGTCTCAGGAACTAAATATTGCTTGCAGCATAATATGGGGCTTGGTGGTGCCACGGTGGTTACTATTTATCAGAGGGCGGATGGAAAGGAGGCTCCTAAGGTAGCTGAATACCAGCCTGAGGATGATGGGAGGTGTAGGTTGGGATATAATCCGGCGGTTGAGGCGAGGGGTATAAGTAAGGCTGATTGGGAAGCGGTTAAATCGAAGGGTGATCGGAGTTCGAGGTGGGCGACGGCGAAGTTGCCGTGGGTTGTTGATGGGGAAAGTTTTAAGGAGAGGGCTATGTTGTAAGTTGTGGGTGGCGGAGAGTCTCTGTTGAGGGTTGAATATCAGAATGCTGGACCCAAGTGGCGAGCTTGGCACCAATCATAAGTGCAACATAGGGAAGGTTTAGCGAGGGCCTCTCCTGCCTGTCAATCCATCACTGGGCTGTCTCAATGGCAATCTTGAAATTTAATCTCTGCCGCATGGTGGCCACATTTCAAATTTAACACCCTTTCGGTGACTCTTATTCTTCGAGAATATTGGGGTTAACAATGCCTTTAATCGTGCTGAGACTCAAGTCAGGATAGAGAAATTGATCGTATTTTTATGACCATTTCAAGGCGCAAAATTGACCTATGATGATAGGAAAAGTGCTCATCCTTTATAGCCCCAGACGTACAAAACCTTCATGTCCATTGCAATTCTTTTGTCGTTCTCATCTGTCTTGTCCACCCTGTACTCTTTTTCGAACACTCCCTTCATTGCCTCCCGCGCAACCTGTCGTAGTGCCTCAATTTCCGCCAACCCATTCTCTGGTGTGTTCTTAGGGCCCCTAGGAATAAAATTATCAAACGTACTCGCCTCAAGCCACTGCATGAGAGCTTCCGCATCTGCCCACGCCAAGTGGTGGGTTTTCACCTCGCTCTGTATATCGATAAACCCAACCTTGGCAAGGTCGCTTTTGAGTTCAATCTCTGTGGGATGGTGTGGCAAACCCTGTTCAGAGTCAAGCTGCCAATAAGACCTCTGTGACAACACTCTCTTCTTGATCTCTCGCCACGGGTTGACAACGTCTCCAGGTAACGCTGAAATGCCGACGCATCCCCCTTTCCCCAGCACCATAAAACCTTGATCGAGCGCTTCATCCCGCCGCGTCCAATGGATCATGCAACTCATTACAGCATGGTCGTAATTAGTGCCAGCGGATTTCGGAACATCCTCGGCCTTTCCCAGCTCGAACCTCACAATCTTCACGTACTTTTCTGTGACCTTCCGGCGTGCAACGTCAATGCAATCCGGGAGCGGATCAAAGCCAAAGACATACCCCTCCTCCCCTACAATGTCCGCGATGTCGAAATCGAGATTACCAGGTCCGCAGCCGAAATCGATAACGCGGTCACCCAAAGCAATTTTCATTTTCTCTATGGCAACATATCGCCCCATCACGGTTTGAATGTCTTTACTGCCGACATCGTAGATATGCGCCATCTTAAGGTCGTTCCTAGCCAGGCTGAACTTCTGGTCACCGGATTTAACGTTCTGCGCCATGGTGTTGCTGTCAGCGGCCTGACGGTATGATCAATCGTCTTAGTGCGTTGACGCTCTTGCCTCAGTCGAAAGATGTGCCGGACTTCAGCAAGTGACAGTAATGCAGTTGTGTATAATTCTTGTAGGCGATGAAAGCACCGACTTTCTCAAGTATACCGCAGAGCAGTGGGCGTCAAATTGCCAAGAAATATCCGCATCTGCGTATTTTCAGGTCTTTCACGTGGCCTGATACGTCGTGCGTATTCTGTCCAATGATACTTCTTATCTTACCGCCGAAGCCGCAAAAGAAAGACATGCAGTGCATTCTTTTTGGCATTTAACCACCAGATAGAACGACAGGCAATTGGTATAGTGTGGGAAGAATCTGGCTGATAATCTGGAAGAAGTGCAGATCTGTTCGGCCAGAAGCGATCCGTTCAATGACAACGGATTGTCCTGTTCTGGTGCACCTAGCTTCCGGCAACAGATTTTGGGTTGCATTTGCATTTGCATTATCGGAGATTGAATAGGAAATTTGAGGGGACGGGGGAGGCCAGGTGGATATCTTGAGGCAAAGTGTGGCAGGGAGGGCCGACGACGAGACCCTTTGCTCGTTCCGATGGCTCTACTCCCCATGCAGCATTGGGCAAGCTTCCGGAAATCGAATTGGAAACAATCAACTGTATAGCTATAAATATAAGAGATCTCAATACTCAAAAGAATATTTGAGAACTTTATTTAAAAAAAAAAAGCCAAATGTATCAACGACGATCAAGAAATATCACAGAACTATGACTGAAATTGCTCGCCAAGGCACTTCATCGTGAAGATCGCAGGTTTGAGAAACTGTATGCAGAACTGAAATATGTTTTTCAATTCAATTCACCTCGGGATACGAGCTTATTGAAAAAGATGGAAGGATGAATATCAAGGAGAGAGGGAGTGTCGAGCCTTTTGAAGCCCCTTTTCTTAGCCTCAAAAGTGTGGTCCGTGCGGGAGCTTCAAGCTTCCCCGCATTCCGACTGTAGCCGAGAGCTTCCCCATCTTCACACAATCCGCATTGTTCCAACACGAACATGAACTTTCAAGATGTCGTTCCTACGACCAATACTTCGACGCGGCCATGCTAATCTGCGGATCCGTCATCTGCGAGGTCTGGCCACAGCTACTGAGCCAGCTTCGAACCACGATCAGCAACATCACGCCACCAGCAACAGCTTCGTCAAGGTCGTCGAAGTCGGTCCCCGCGATGGATTGCAGAACGAGAAGAAGACGATACCCTTGACGACCAAGATAGAATTGATAGAGAAGCTATCGAAGACCGGACTCACCGACATCGAAGCTGGCTCCTTCGTTGCTCCGAAATGGGTGCCGCAGGTCTGACATCCCTTCCCATTTCTTCCCAAGAGAGCAAGTAGCTGATTATTCGCAGATGGTAGACTCGAGCGAAATCCTCGAGTATATCCTCAAATACCCTCCAACATCCCTGAACCCAATCGCCTACTCCTTCCTCGCGCCCAACTCCCGCGGTCTCGAAAACGCGCTTTCGATATTACGAGCACACCCTTCTGCATACCAAACCTTCTCCCCGCAATCCACACCCTACGAACCAGACGAATCAGGGACCCCTAATGCATCCGCCGGAGAACCGACAGGTGCTCCTCCGTTCATCGAGATGTCCGTCTTCGCCGCCGCGACGGAATCATTTTCTGAAAAGAACTTAAATTGCAGTATCGCGACATCTCTCGAGCGCTTCCGTGAAGTGATTACCAGGGCAAAAACTCATGGTTTGAGAATACGAGCTTATATCTCGGTGGTTCTGGGCTGTCCATTCGAAGGGTACGATGTCGATCCCAGGAAAGTGGCGGAGATAGCGTGCGATTTGATGGAGATGGGCGCTGATGAGATTGATCTCGGCGATACGACGGGGATGGGGACCGCGCCGAGGACGGCGGCACTGTTGAATGCTATGCAAGCGGCCGGTATACGGAATGAGGATATCACGATGCATTTCCATGATACTTATGGGCAGGCGTTGGTCAATAGTGCGGTTAGTTTGGAGCATGGGATTAGGAGGTTTGATGCAAGTGTGGGTGGCTTAGGGGGCTGTCCGTATAGTCCGGGCGCAACGGGAAATGTGAGTACGGAGGACTTGGTGTACTTTTTTGAGAGTTTGGGCATGGAGACGGGGGTTGATTTGGATGCACTTTGTGAGATTGGGGAGTGGGTTAATAAGGAGATTGGGAAGGAGAATGGGAGCAGCGTTGGGAAGGCGTTGTTGGCGAAGGGGAGGCTAGAGAGATAGAGTCTGTTGATGGTGAGGAAATAAGAATTCTAAAAGAAGTGTGTACATGTGAACGCCCTTTACCCCTGTACTTGGAAAGCTTAAAGGCATCTAGGGGCCCAAAGAATTTGGTGATTGGGGTCAAGGGTCTCAGGTCAACCCAGGTTCCAGAGACTATTTTGCGTATGCTCCCGGTCTAATTTGCGTTTCGGGCACCATGTAACTAGAGAACAATAAGATTCTCAGAAAGTTCGAATTCAGGCTCCCTGGGCTGAACCTATCGAGTCCTAGTGAAATGATCCACTCCATTTCAAGCTCACGAGATCTCCAATATGGAAACAGAGAATGACAAAGAATATTAACAGTAAATTCTTGAATAACATTTCTAACATCAGACAATCAAATTGTCCCAAACATCTTCCAGTAAATAGAGAACTGAATGAAGAGCTTTGGAGGGGAAGCTGCACATGCCGCCACGTGATTGGCCAAGACCTCACTCGCTTATCGCAGTTTCCAATCTTTCGCAGCTAAGCTCCCAAGCTCCACCCTGCAAAAGCAAGCAACGTTCGAGCTCCAACCTCCTCCTCTCTCGCTCCAGCTCCCCAACAACAGCTTTCCCAGCTCTGCCACGACCCCCGAGCTCCCGACAGGCTTTTCTCCTCCTCCTCCGCACTGATCCGCCAGTTTGTAGCAGCCATGGGAGACCCGCGGGAATCGTCGTCGTACAGCGTTACGCCCAGGATCCGGTATAACACTATTGGCGGTGTCAATGGGCCTTTGGTGATTTTGGAGAACGTGAGTGAAAGCTATAGTGGAAGAGGGGGTGGGAGAGGGGATGAGGGGATTGGGAGTGTGTGCTGATCAGTGGATAGGTCAAATTCCCTAGGTACAATGAGATTGTTACTTTGACGCTGCCTGATGGCTCCGAGAGGTCTGGACAGGTTTTGGAGGCGAGAGGTGAGTGGCCGCTACAATGAGTCAATTGAGTACATGCTGACGAGTACGGATAGGTGATCGGGCTGTTGTGCAGGTAGGGTTCTTGAGCTGGTTGGTTGTGGTAGGCAGAGACTGATTGCGATTAGGTGTTCGAAGGCACGCCTGGCATTGATGTTAAGAAGGTATGGCATACATGGCGAGAAGGAAAGGGATAGATGTGCTGATGGTAAATAGACGAAAGTCGAATTCACAGGCCAGAGTCTGAAGCTCGGTGTGTCGGAGGACATGCTTGGACGTATCTTTGATGGATCGGGAAGAGCTATCGATAAAGGACCTAAGGTCCTTGCGGAGGATTACTTGGACATCAATGGCAGTCCTATCAACCCTTACTCTCGAGTAAGTCAATTCCTCCGGCGGACATACGTAGAATGCTGAGATATACAGGTCTACCCCGAAGAAATGATCTCGACTGGTATCTCGGCTATCGATACGATGAACTCGATTGCTCGTGGACAGAAAATTCCTATTTTCTCCGCCGCCGGTCTTCCGCATAACGAAATTGCTGCTCAGATTTGTCGACAGGCTGGTTTGGTTCAGAAGCAGGGTGTCACGAATAAGGGTACACATGACGGCCACGAGGAGAATTTCTCGATTGTTTTCGCTGCTATGGGTGTCAACTTGGAAACTGCCCGTTTCTTCACGCGAGATTTCGAGGAGAACGGAAGTTTGGAACGTGTGACTCTGTTCTTGAACTTGGCCAACGATCCTACGTACGTGGATTTTGTGCGGGAATGTTACAGCTGCTAATTGAGTCCAGGATTGAACGTATCATTACTCCCCGCCTTGCCCTTACCACCGCCGAATACTATGCCTACCAACTGGAAAAGCACGTCTTGGTCATTCTTACCGATCTGACAGCATACTGTGATGCTCTTCGTGAGGTCTCAGCTGCTCGTGAAGAAGTACCAGGTCGACGTGGCTATCCTGGTTACATGTACACGGATTTGTCGACCATCTACGAACGTGCGGGTCGTGTTGTAGGACGAAACGGATCCATCACGCAAATTCCTATCCTGACTATGCCCAACGACGATATCACCCACCCAATTCCCGATTTGACTGGTTACATTACTGAGGGACAAATCTTCGTTGATCGTCAACTGTCCAACCGTGGTATCTACCCACCGATCAACGTCCTTCCATCGCTCTCCCGTCTCATGAAGTCTGCCATCGGTGAAGGACACACGCGAAAGGATCACGGTGATGTTTCCAACCAACTGTACGCCAAATACGCCATCGGTCGTGACGCAGCCTCAATGAAAGCAGTCGTCGGTGAGGAGGCTCTGTCCTCCGAAGACAAGCTCTCCCTTGAATTCCTAGAGAAATTCGAGCGAACATTCATCTCGCAATCCGCATACGAGTCAAGAACCATCTACGAATCTCTCGATCAGGCATGGAGTCTACTGCGTATCTACCCGAAGGAACTCCTCAACCGTATCCCGTCCAAGATCCTCGCGGAGTTCTATGCGAGATCTGCTGATCGTAAAGGCAAGGGACGCGCGACGAAGGATACGAAAGAAAATAGTGAGGAGGGGAAGGCGAATGGTGGGGAGGAGAACCTTATTGATGCATGAGGGATCGGGCGAGGAGTGTTTGAGTGGATTGCATGAGTGTGTGAGCTTATGAATGCTTTGCTTTGATGACAGGGCGGTGTGTAAGTAGGGAGTGGATAGCGGGATAGACTTTGTTACGATACCTACCTCGTGGGGAAGGATTCGGATAATTGATTTCCCATTTTGCACATGGCTGATTCCTTTCCATCTCTTTCAATGCTCCATTCCGGGGATGATCGGGGATCATTCTACCTGCATCAGCACCGGTCTGTATTAACACGAAGCCTTGCTCTCTCCACGCCCAGTATACGCAAGGTCCCCCAATATATCAAATGACCAAATTCCAAGATTCTCGATGTCCACCAGTCGGGTCAACCGACAAGCTGGACAACAAGCTTTCATGAATACATCCTGCCTTTCTCCAGATATTCCGGCAGAAGCAAACCACGAGCTCTCATGCGCGCCAATAACCAAGCGGTGAAGATCAAGGGTAGTAGGACCGTGAATGCGCCGGAAAGCTTGAATCCATCTGGAAGGCTGCACGTCCGTGACCCCGCCCGCAAACTGGGGATGGGGAACGTGAGCCACCAGGAGGCAGGGGGGACACTACAGGGATGAGCAAAGTCCCAGACGCGCCAATCAGCCTCTTCCGCTTTAACGTCATTTTGGACGGACGACGTCCTCTCAATATTCCATGGACTCAGTGCACAACAAACGGAGAGGCGAGCCTGGGATCTTTTTGCTATATACGGACGTGAACCTGTGACTATGGGGTAATCCGACCATTGATCTGTGCGACTCTGTGGTTGGCTGAAAGGTTTACTGACTCGGGGGAGAAGAAGAAGGGAAATCTGGGGTTAGGGAGAGGTGGAGTACAGGGCGGGGAATCTTCGTACGAGGTTCGGTCCAGTTTGACCGCGGGGATCGCCAGGTCGTCAGCTGGCCTGTTGCTACCCGGAGTTCGTCTTAATTTCACGTCAAGAGGAGTACCGGGCTTGTTCCTGCGTCGGTGCTACACTAGCTGTGCGCGGTGAGATGATGTAGTATAAGAGCTACCCCTCCTCGCGCAATCTGGTCCCGAGCTTTTGTACGTCGTTTCCCACACTTCACTGCACTTCAATTCTTCAGCTCGGGTCCCTTCTGTTGAGTCTGGAAGAAGGACAAGGACGGATCAGACAGGATGCGCACATCGTCTGCAGCTCTCGCTGCATTCCTCTGGAGCAGCTCGATTCTTGCACGCCCACAGATCCCGGGTCAGACGTTGACGGGCACAGCGGGCAACACCACAATTGCTGGATCTAGCGCGGGCCCAGACAGCAATGGCAAATATGTCATTGAGGGGGTAGGCATCCGCGCCACTTTCATCCCGTATGGAGCGAGTATCTCGAATCTGTTTATTAATGATACGAACGGTGTCGAGAGGGATATCGTTACAGGCTTTGATAACGCTAGTTATTATGGGATTGTAAGTTCTCATCATTTCGCTGTCCATCTGGTTGATTGGAAGTTGGGAGGTTATTTTTAGGGTATGGGCGAAGTGTGGGAGGGACGTGGCTGACCGGAGCAGGACCGTCAACATCCTCATTTCGGCGGCGTTCCAGGCCGCTACGCGAACCGCATCAAGAATAGCAGTTTCGTGATCGATGGAAAGACCTACCATGTTCTTCCCAATGAGAACCCGACCAAGGACGCCCCTGCTGGCGCGGATACGCTGCATGGGGGCCCAGATGGCTGGGATTGGAGAAACTGGACTGTCGTCGCGCATACGAGTGATAGTATTACTTTCTCACTGACAGATCCGGATGGCGATCAAGGCTTCCCTGGAGAAGTGGTTAGTTACGTTACGTATAGTTTGGGCCATATGACGTGGGATTTTCAGATGGTTGCGTTGGCGACGACGAAGAAGACGCCGATTATGTTGAGTTCACATGTAAGTTTCTCCCTCCTTCTCTTCACCTCTACCCTCCCAGCCCCTTTCACCCCAACCTCCAGACGAAGGAAGTGAAAAGAAGACGGTGCTGACAGCAAAACAGACCTACTGGAACCTCGACGGCTTCGCCAACACGGAGACCGCCACCGCCCTCAACCATTCCCTCTGGATGCCTTATGCCGGGCAACGCGTCGGCACAGACAACATCCTCATCCCCACCGGCGATATCCTCTCCAACCAGCAATACTCACTCAACGATTTCTGGTCTTCTCCAAAGCAAATCGGTGCGAATTTCTCGAATCCAGACCTCCTTGGGAATTGCGGCTTCAACTGCACGGGCTACGATACCTGCTACCTCACCGACCGCGCCGCGGACGGACCTTACGATTGGCGCGAAAAGGGGCCGGTTGCGAGGTTAAGGAGTGCGTGGAGTGGAATCCAAGTCGATGTCTTCACAGACCAGGACGCATTCCAGGTTTATAGCTGTGGCGGGCAGAACGGCTCCATGGCGCTGAAGTCCACACAAGGATTGCATGGGGTAGAGGGAAGAGAGAGGACGATCCAGCAGTATGGATGTGTGGTGATGGAGGTCGAGGATTGGATTGATGGCATCAATCAGCCGGAGTGGGGGAGGGGCAAGAAGCAGATTTTTGGGCCGGGCGATGAGCCGTATGTCTTGCAGGCTAGTTATCGGTTTAGTTTGAATGGGACAGCGGTCGGGTTGAATGGGCCGGGCAGTGGGTAGGGAATGGGAGTGAGAACACAGATGAGAGCGTGCAGTTGTGAAACGAGATCTAATGCAATGTCTTTGATAATAACCACGTGATTGAAACGTGATCTGATCGCGATGAAGTTACTATGAACGTTCATTGATTGGCCTATCTCTTCTTTGTTGCATAGAAGCAAGTTTTTCTTAGCTTCTACGTTTGATGGCTTCTCTCCTGCACAGTATTTGGTCTATGAGGGTGAGCATTTGTTGAAGTCAGGTGATTTTTATGGATATTTATCTGAACAATTTACCGGCTAAACTGCAAAAACAACTCAATTACCCACAAAAAGGGATCTATAGAGGAGCGTGTAGGTTTTAATTCTTATCATGTAACTTCATCTGTTTCCGGGATTGCCCCAATCTCGCTGCTGCTGTCATGATTGAGGGCTTCGTTGTTGCTATCTCTGACAGGCTGCGAAAACATGTTTGGCTGAGCAAGTTAAAATTCGTCGTGGCTGAGCCTCCTGCATTACTTACTGCTAATCTGGCATTACGGCGTGAGAAGGTAAGGAGCTACCCTGGATATCGGGCTGAGAATGACTTGTTTTATTTTATTATTTTTTATCTAGGTGTCGCATGGGAATTAAGTGCTGAGAGATTTGGAACGTTCGTGGAAGGAAACATTGCTTCTAGACTGTTTTGATTTTCTGTAGCATGCGTTCCAAGCAATACAGTCGAATTTCCTACTTATGATTATCATAGAGTAAGTTAGATAGTTGCTGGACGTGGGGGAAAGATAAAGCGAACTTCTAGCATGGGACTTGAAAGGAAGTGCAGAAGTCAACTTGGGCCTGCCTTTAACACGTGCACCACGTCCTGTGAAAGATGTAGATGCTAATCCTGCATCCTGGGATAACTTGTTGGTCGACTATTGCGAGAATGTTGCCAGACCGTATCTTGCCTTCCCTGAAAACTATCGCTCTGTCTACTCAACTTCCTGCACATTCGGCTCAGCCACTAAAAATTGGGATGCAGATACTGTGTCCCACACTCCTGCCAATATATGATTGCTCATCTAGCCAAACATGGATAGTTGCACAGGTGGTGGTTGGCGCACGTGGCCTCGAGCTTGTGGTAACCTCGTCGTCTAACTTGGGTGGGACAAGTTTTTACTGCTGTTGGTCGAGTATCTGGCAAAGTAGCTGTCGGGTTATGACGAGTGTCAGAGGGTATACAGGAGCAGTTCGAATTATTGACCTTGTTGACACTAAGAACTCTTCCGCTTCTCAACCCACGTTCGAAGATCATCGAGGTTTCATATTCCGTCTACAAAGCCAACTCCAAATAAGAGAGGCTAACAGAAGATCCACAAATCCAGCTTGTTGAATTTACTACAAGAATCTGACAAGGTTCGTGCTGACAAGGTTCGTGCCGGATGTGATTGGCCTTTCATATGCCAAAGACGAGCCCGGTGTACGCCAGTATGTATGCTCTCAGTAATCACTAAACGATGCATTTATTACACGTACAAACAACAACCCTTATGCAACCTTCTCCGTCAACTCAAACATGACTGGTTGGGTCTCCCTAAAGCTGTCCCTACTTTCCAACATCTCCCAATATTTATTTAATTCAGGATACTGCTCCTTCCAATGAATCAACCCAAACTTCGTCTCTACCATATCCATCATGCCCAACATCGCACCAACCGCAATATCCGCCACCGAAAACTCATCACAAACAAGAAATTTCCCCTGCGTCTTCTGCACCAGCTCATCCATCGCCTTGATCACACCATTGACCTTTCGTAATTGACGATCAAGCCACTCTTTACTCAACAACTCTCCCCTCCCCGTCTCAAAGAATACAAGACTCATGGCATCACAAGCGCCATCGGCCAGAACCTGGATTTGCCGGACTTGGAGTTGATCGTCTAGTGAACCTGGCATCAGATCGGGGCCTTTGCCACGGTACTTTTGGACGATGTACTCTTGGATGTACCATGACTCATATATGGGTGCCCGCCCATCGTCGAAGATTAGGATCGGTAGTTTTTCGAGCGGGTTGTACTTGGGTGTTTCGGTGGTACTGTGCCAGGGGATTTCGGATTTCAGGTCAAAGGGGATGCCTTTCTCGATGAGTGCTATTCGGTTTTTGCGCGCGTATGGTGAGGGGGTGGCGCTGATAAGGGTGAGCATTGTTTTTGGAAGGTCGGGGAACCTTGATGCAACATTCGCTTCCCAGAACTCAACAAATTCGCAAATTCGGAGAGGAGGTGATGAATCGGATTGCCTTGTGCAGTCGACCACATACCCTCTTTTTAAGAAGGGCGGATTTATCTTTCCATCAACCCCAGGAAATCTGCAACGGCCCGCAGAAACTGTAACCTTGGCCTAACAAAAGGCGCGGATCATTGGTGGGCCGTTTTCTGAAATTCAAGATTGGAAGGCCTAGACCTGCATCGATTTTGGGGTCCTTCCCCGCGATTGGAACATCCGAAGAAGAAGGCTGCTGCGATGCAGCCCACCGGATGAACTCCGCTATTGGTTGTTCTCCAAGCCGGCGGCCGCCCCCTTTTTGGCTTCGCTTTCGCCGGAATACTGGAAAAAGTAAAGTGACATCCTCCAAGGTGTCGAATAGGGGTGTCGATCAATTTAAGCATGTTAACGACTTGTAATTGGCTACTTAAGCCCTTCAGAGACCTTAAGTTATATGTTTTGATATGAGCACAGTAAAGGGGATATTAAACTAGGTGCTTAACATAGAGAAATGGGCTTTCTTCTATAACGTGGGATTACCAATATACGAGTGAGACGTGAAAAAGAGAAAAGGTTGGTTTTATTTCTAAGAAGAGAAAAGGAGAGAGCGGGGTAATAAATACTACTATAGACCTCCTAATATTATATAACTGCGCTATATAACTAGGAGAGAAATCTCTACTACGAATAAGCTAATATATTATAAGGCTTATAATATAATTGCATGCTTTTTGTAACGGCTGGCATAACGGCACGATCTGCCGGGAATAGGAATTTGGAAACAGGTCTAAAACGGAACTAAGCCAGAAGGCATGGGCAAAGTAATACTAAACGTCGAGGTATTCCTCTCTTCTTTGCTCTCTAGCTTAGTATTTTAAATACAAAGTTAAAAAAGATTAAATCATAAATTCTGTCAAAAGAAAGAGAAATATATGTAAAATATAAGGCTTTTAAGAAGACAAAACATGAACCATTCATTGATAAGAGAATCGTACGTTTTAGATAACCTCTACTAATAGTATTATTCCATGCCTTGATTCATTCCCTCATTTTGGTTCCCTTGGGAGGCCCACTAAAGTCCCGTAGTATCAATATACGAGACCGTTGCGCCCACAATAACAGAACCGTTAATAGGATTTTTAGCACCTAAGGACCCCAAAGTCAGAATCTGACAGCACTCATTCAGAATAACGTAAGGCAGAAGGCTCAAAACTTACCTCCACTAGTGGTCATGTATAGCCGATTCAAATCTGACGCCAGCCTTCCAAATCGGCCAGCACTAACACCTTCCAGAGCTGTTGAGATACTGCTTCCTGCAACCGTCTCAAGAGTGCTCGAACCCGCAAACAGTGCACCCAGCTGATCTTGCGAATTCAACGCGATGAACGCTGTGCCATTACTCTTGAAAGCGAAATCATCCGCCCCAGGCTCATTCGTCAACACTACGCTCGAGTTGCCTACTGGCGTCCCATCATCTGTTATCTGGATCCTATTCAACGAAGCGGCAGCACTGTTGGTCCAGTAAAGGTTGGAGTCATGGATGTTTAGCCCGTTGACACCGAGGGGCGTCAAGGCACCTGCGGGAGCCTTCATCTTAGGGTCGTCGATAACGATGTTGTGTGTGCCATCCACTGTGTTAACCTTATATACCCAGCCATTGTAGATATCTCCAACTAAGATGTTAGAGTCATCGAGCGTCGTCATGCCGTTGAGTGAGTCGGAGCTCGTAATGTCTACGAGTTTAGTAACAGTAGCGTTCTGTGTTATGGTGCCGTTGCTTATAGCAAAGTTGTTCATGTCAATTTCAAAGATAGAGTTGACGCCACTGGTCTTGACAAATGAACTGTTAATGAATGCGGAGAGGATAACGTAGAAGACGTCTGAGGTAGTTTCGGAGATGCCAAGTGCGCCTCTGTATTCGGACGAGTTCCAGGCGAAGACTGTGACAGGCTCAACGTTGCTGGTAGGGTCGACCTGTAGGACTTCAGGGGTGTCGAGGCGGGAAACAAGGAGTTGGCCATTTTCGCGGACAGCGAGGTTCTCCAGCCAACTACCAAGCTGGAATGAGCTCACGAGGGTAACTGGCAATGGTAGAGAGGGGGTTGAGGTGACGGTAGACTTGGAAACAAGAATGGCCAAGACAGGGAGACCCCAAGCGAATAATGAGTTCTGCATCTTAGAGAGATTGAAGAGGAAAACGGAGTGGATGGAGAGATGCAGTTTGTGCTCAAGCTAGAAGATTGAGGAAGGACGTATGAAGTAGACTTAAGGCCCGTCTGGTAACCCTACCTGCTAGGAGCTAAATACCTGTAGTGTGTTTTTGCCAAGCCTTGTGAGTTGGCTCACTCACATGTTAGCAGGTGGATGAATACTACGGTAGCAGGCAAAATGCTGGCAGGTGAACACTGCAAGTTCATAACCTGCTCCATACCAGAAAATGAGGCTTGCACCTGCGCATGCGACGATTTATCAAGTATTTAATGCGAAATTAATAAAATCCGTGCAGTAAAATAATATACGCCTGCAACTGTAGAAAACCTTGCAAAAAGTGAATTCTAACTATTATTACGTGCTAGCAGGCGAAATACTGCATTCAAATGCTGGCATTAATATACTCCGTAGATTTACTCGATAGTCAACGTCCCCCTGGATTCTGGACCTGCAAGTGAGGAGCAGATCTACAGGGGAAATTGCCCGTCCGCGCGTTCAACAATCATTACCGGTACTCAGTCACAACCTACGGGAAGTAAATCCCCATCGCAACTGGTAAATTTGTCACCATCGGGCATAAATCTACCTCCGTAGGCTGATCGGCATTCCTCAGCCTTGCAGGGGATCTTCGGTGCCGATGCATGTTAATTTGGGGAGCAGCCTATGCCAGCCACTCCGTTGACCCTTACGCTCAATCAGGAAATTATGGGGTGTGTAGATTTTGCTGGACCCACAATTTGAGAAAGAATCCGAGGCCCCGGACCCCTTGTCTACATCTGGAATTCATCGCTTCAGTCGTCAGAGGTAATTGATTGTAACGTCACTCCTGACACAACGTCCAGGGGTCCTCGTCTACTGAAGATGTGAAGACTCTCTGCCAGATGCCGGATCAACCTCTAACAGTGACGCCTTCGATGGCGAATACGCGCTTGCGGGGCTGGGCTGCGTGGCCTGGCTACTCTCTGCTTGGTAGAAGCACACCCATCGAGCCCAACCCACAGAATACCGAGCCCCGAGAACATGAAGCACCAGTTCCCCAGATGGCCCCATTGACGGAAAGATATCTTTGGCGTTGATTGCGCCGAGGGTTGGGCCACTTAATATGGCCTATACATGGATGTCATGAAGTCCTTAAAAGGAGGAGAGCGGTAAGTCGTAGATAGAAGACACTCTTTTCTTACTTCATCTCCCTCCAGACAGCTTCATATTTAAGCACCCACTCTACCGAGTCTTATATTTACAGCCACTGATATGCGCTCTATGATCCACGCCATCAGTGCTGCGGCATTTGTTGGGGAATTTGTTGCCGTCGTGCAAGCCGCAACCCTCACCGATGTGTGTACCACCTCTTACGTCCAAGCCTCCCTGCCGCCCGACGGCACATTCAACGGCATCAGTATTGATCCCTCGTCCGTGGTGGTCCATCCCGTTACCAATTATTCGGCCACGGGCTCTGTCTTCTATCCAAATGGAACATTTGACTACTGCAATGTTACCTTCACCTACACCCATAGCGGACTTGGCGACACTGTGGAGCTAGCCTACTGGCTTCCGACTCCTGCAAATTTCCTAAATCGTTTCCTAACCATCGGAGGTGCGGCCGAGGCCATCAACACCGGCACTCAAAACCTCCCTGGAGGTGTTCTCTACGGATCCGTTTCCGGCATCACGGATGGAGGCTTCGGTAGCTTCAGCACTGACTACGATGTGATCTCCCTTATCACCAATGGAACTATTGACCGGCAGGCGCTGTACATGTTCGGATATCAGGGCATCCACGAAATGACCATCATCGGCCAGGAATTTACTAAGCTCTTCTTTAACATGTCCGATGCAAAGTTGTATTCCTACTACCAAGCCTGTTCGGAAGGTGGGCGTGAGGGATGGAGTCAAATCCAGAGATTCGGTGGCCAGTTCGATGGTTCCATTGTGGGAGCACCTGCCTTGCGATACGGCTTCCAGCAAGTCAATCATATGTACTCTGGTGTCGTGGAGAAGACGTTAGGTTATTATCCTCCCTCATGCGAGATGGAGAAGATTGTCAACTTGACGATCAGTGCTTGTGATCCCCTGGACGGAAAGACTGATGGAGTGGTGGCACGGATGGATCTCTGCAAGTTGAATTTTAACCTGAACTCTACCATTGGCACTGCATACTCTTGTGCCAGTAGCTCAGGTAGTTTTGGGAAAAGACAGGCAGGCGGAGGGACCACTACGCCAGCTCAAAATGGGACAATATCGACCCAGGCGGTGGCGGTTGCCAACAAAGTTATCGATGGCCTCCTTGACTCGGCAGGCCTTCGGGTTTACCTGTCATTCCAGCCTGCTGCTGACATCTCTGGCGATACAAGCTATGATTCAGACACAGGCTTGTGGGAAACAACCGCCAATACTGGCGGGGGAGCTGAGTGGGTGGCCAGGTGGCTCAATCTGGTCGAAAGCTCGACAATCGGAAATTGGGACAACGTCACCTATGACACCCTCAAAGAATGGATGCTCCAAGGTTGGCAGACGTACGAGGATGTTTTGCAGACGACTTGGCCGGATTTGACGCCCTACTACTCGGCCGGTGGTAAAATCCTTCACTTCCATGGAGAATCCGATAACAGCATTCCTACAGCGTCATCCGTTCGATATTTTGAATCGGTCCGCAGTATTATGTACCCGAGGTTATCCTATAACGACAGCATTTCCGAGATGAATGACTGGTATCGCCTTTTCCTTATTCCTGGAGCGGCCCACTGCGCAACGAATGATCTGCAGCCTAATGCGCCTTTCCCGCAGACCAACCTGGCTGTGATGATTGACTGGGTTGAAAACGGAGTTGAACCGACGACGCTGAATGCAACGGTTCTACAAGGCGAGTATGAGGGCGAGACTCAGGACATCTGTGGTTGGCCATTGAGACCATACTGGAATAATGGAACCATGGAGTGCCAGTACGACCAGGCTTCCATCAATTCTTGGCTGTACAACTTTGACGCAATCAAAATGCCGGTCTATTAAATGTATTTCTGGCCGGTACGATGATCAATGGTTGAAGTAAAGGAAGGCAATGCTAAGTGCAGCGGTTTCTGGGGCTGATTGTGTATGATATTTTCAGAATAAATGTACTAGGAACCTGCTCTCCGTGCAACAGTTTGTTGGATCGGAGGATTCAGGGGATGCAGGCTGGCGCAAAGGAGGAGGTCATCACGGCAGGGCAAGAGGAAGAGAGGATGGAGTTCAGTAGGAGCTAGATGAATGAGTGTGGTGTAGAAGAACGCATTATGGAACGAGAGAATAGATATGGAAGTGTTTATACACCGGAATGCAGAGCAATTTTTGTTGAAGGGCCCTATTCCATCGCCAATTTGACAATGAGGTAACTATCTCTCTAAACCAAGCCATGATGATTGGTTCCTGGGATAAAGGAAGTCGGTAGTCCTTGAAGTGTTCTTATTGGTGCTGTTTGCTTTATTTTTGGTGATCTGTTGCGAGCCAAGAAAGCCACAAAAGCAGGTGGTAACAACGCAGAATTCCGCAAATAACCCTATACAACCTGCGTTGGTCAGTCCAGCTCCTTTAATCCCCGTTTATTTGTATATGAGCAATAGGCGAGTAGTCGATTCGCAGCGCCTGCTTACAACAACCACGCCGTAACTAACTATACTAGCTGTTTACAGTGGATTTCCGAACTGGGGAAGGCTTTTCTAAGGGACAGAGATTAAAGGGAGTATTAGGCGAGCTTCTAGTGATCCTGACTGCGTAACAACTCTGTGTCACTGTGCAATGTACAGTAGTACAGTACATCCAAGACTTCCCTGGCAGGTTCTTTGCGATTGACCTTTTGACAAACCCCGCTTTGATCAGGTTTGTCTTAATGCGGCAGAAGAGACTGGACTATTGGGCAGATATACCTTACCTCCATTGCTAACTTCCTCGCCATTCTGTCCGGCGATTCCAGTAGTTCCTCGCAAGCCTCGCCTTTATACTTTGCCTGTTTATCCATCTGTGACATTTCAGTTGGAGGCTCTAAAGTATGGTTGCTTGGGCTAGTAGTCGTATACATCTAGTAATTGGCTCATATTCCATGACCTCGCCCCGGGATAATTCCAATTCTTCCAATTCTACGCTGTAATTCTCTTCGGCAGTCGCATAGGCCATCTACATCCGTTCTCTAGACCTCAAACTCCATGAACGCTTTTGTTGTCACTGCTAGGTCACGGGTACTCTGTTGAATCATTGTGACTCATCATCTCTCTGACGGACTGACTGTGTGACGCAACTAGAAATGATCAAGCAAGCCCTTTCTAGCCTATCCCTTCCCCGTTCAAAGTCATTCCTGTTTACATCTTTTCAAGATGGAATAGGAATGGACATCTAAACAATTTTGTCCACAGGGATATACAAGGTTTACACGAATTTTCAAGCACGTACTGGTGAAGTGGTCGGTCTTGGATATAATCAGAGTAAACCAATAATTTTGCTCATGATGCACACTCTCCTCGGTCTGGGTTTATCCAGAACCGATGCAGGCGTAACTTCTATATAGAAGCAGACTTCTCATCGACACCGAATGTTTATCTTCTCCCCGAGCCCGCTTCAAGTCTAGAAGACAGCGCAAGGCCCAAGCCCATAAAAGCTCCCACCACCCGGAGACGAGATTTGATATTGTCCATAGGGACAGTGATCAGTGGGAGTATGACTTCCACTCGTCTCGGTAACAAAGAAGCAAGTATTGCTGAAGAACTCGTAAACAAAACAGGAACTGCCTTCGACAAAGCAGGCTGCGCAACACGCTTGCTCACTCAACGAGGATGTAGTGCGTACGAGACCGACGCCTGCTTCGATGCTTCCCCCGAGGTAACGGTAGCCGTAGTTGTCGGCTGGATCGCAGACTGCAAGAAGTGTCAGTTGTGGTAGTTACAGATCAGGAAATGAGGGCTTACCTGGAATAATGGAGGGTGGTGCATAGAGGGTCGTGGTGGTGGTCGCCTGAGCAAAGTCAGTCAGCGTTGTTTTATTGCCATTTAGACCGCGGAACACTTACTGGAGTAGGTGCATATGTGGTGGACATCGTCACACCTGCACACGAGCAAGCGGAGGAGTATCTTGCGGTGCCAGCGCAAGCAGAGGCGTAGATGGGAACTTGGTTGGGCAGTTGAGTTACTTGTCGGGCCTTGACACCAGCAGCGGTGGTTGTGGCAGGAGCAGCCGGTAGAAGGAGGTCGTCCAGGGCGACACCACGAGCTTGAACGTCCTCTTTCTTCGCAAGGGCTCCTGCTGTTCGCTTTGCATTTGATCCGACGACTGAGTATGATGTTGGTGTAATGTACACTGTTGATGTCCTGGTGATAGGGATGAGCATTAATTATATCTAAGTGAAGGTTGTGTTTAACATACGGAGTGGCTGGGGTGATGGTTTTGATGAAGAAGCTGGTACAATCGGCCATGTGGGATGCTTGGACATCCGGAGCATAGCGGGTTCCAGTGACAGCTCTGGCACAATTATCCTTTTAGAGTTAAGTGTAAGCATAATGCGCGTGGAGAAATCTACGAGCGAGTTCCTGGACAAGGGCTAATTGATTTTTCCAGATTGAAATCAGATGACATCAGGAGAAAATACTCACGGCATTGCAACCCCTCTTTTGAAAGATGGATGCTGACGAGCAAGCCGCCAGGGAAAGAAAGTAGAAATTGAATCTCATGTTGGCAGATTCTGAGTGAGGAAGGATTAAGAGATATTTTGGACGCGAGAGTGAAACGCAAACATAATTTCACTGCGGATTGTGCAGGTCTTTTATAAGTCTCGAAGAGGGAGAACATCCTCGGGAAACTGCCTATAATATTACACTAGATTTGGAAGTTTCCAAGATTTTGAGAAATAAGCGTCGACATGTGGGTCCTTTCTACAGCCTGCCTGAGACTATTGACTCCGGCCACGTCAGATAGAATAGATGTACGAATCGCGGAAAGCTAAGTTTGAGAAGGAATGTTTGCCAAAGAATAGGAGGATCAATAGAATATTCGGAAAGTGAAAATAAGATTTAAAATAAATCGGATGGTATAACAATATGAAATGAGAAAATTTTTTGATTTCGCAAAGAATAAAATCTCGGGAAGCGAGCCAAGGAAGAGGGGTCAGCATTCGCTAACGTAATTGAGCTTTCAGCTTTCAGCCAACCCTATGGCGTTTTGCGGTGTTTACCGCTGCAGGGACTCGATCTGGGCAAACCAACCTTCCTCAAGCACAGGGGTAATTCAATAGTGCCTTGAGTCTGACCATGCAGCCACTGTACTCATGGAGTAACTGGTACAGGATAGTTGCTCTTCCAAAAAGACGGGGCAAGTGCAGCGAAAATTCTGTTGGCTGGGCCGTCGCCGCTTTTTGAACACGAAAGTGCTTCGCAAATCTATAGCAAATGCTAGGGATCTTTGGTCTTTGATGTAACATAGGAGACATCGAGAATGGTCTGTTGGCATGAGAGGTTGGAATACTTGCTTTGCATCCTAGAATTTCGGGCATGCCACCAGGACTTCGACCGACCGAGTACTAAATGTCGGCCGAGCGAGTACCCAATGTCGGCTGAGCGAGTACTAAACGTCGGCCGACCGAGTACTAAATGTCCCCCAAGCTTTTCGCATTCTAGTGGCAGCTGAGTGGGCATGTCGGCTAGAAGTTCAGCCCATGGAGAAGAATGCGCTTCCACTAATGAACAGAATATGACTACAAAAAACGTTTAGCTTAGTTACTGACGGGGCGGTTCCAGGAGAGAAACGAATTTTGAATAATGGCTTGCAACACGAATTCTTGGCCGGGTGAGATTCTTGGGGCCGGGCTAACTCGTAACACGTGGCTGGTGTAGCGAGGCAATTTCCTCGCTAAAATAGGGGGAAATAAGAATCCTGGAGGAGCGAAAGACATCGCAAAGTTTCAAGGCATTGAATTTCATTCTTTTCTGGGCTAGGATCAAGAATATATTTTCAAAATTTATCCAAATATACCATTTAATCAAATTGCGGACATCAACTTCAATGTACCTCCTTTGCTAGGCAGCAAACTTGAAGCGCACTACCTATTCAAGCTTCCTACTAACAAGCGACCCCTCCTTAAAAATAGCCTCCCTCCTTCTTCGCCGTCTCGAGCAAAGTACCCGCTAGGGCTTACGCGGGGGGAAACTCGTCTTCCAAGTTAGGCGAGGCAAGCCATTCTCGAATCTTGCCTGTGGGACAATCCCGTTTCTGGTATGCCAGATGAGTATCCCTCGTTTAAAAAATGTTTAAGCTGAATGGAGTTTATCCAATGACTCCTGGTTCAGCGACCAAGACTTCAATATTCTAGCTTGGGAGAGGCTCTTTCGACAAGGCTTCACTGAATCCCTCAATCGCTTCCTAGTAGCACGTTCAGGGTCTGAAAGAACTGCATACCTGGAGCTGTAGATTGTCTATCCAGCATCAGCTGTCGGACTCAATAGAGAACCGATTTGCACGAGGCCCCGCCCCGCGGCCCGCCCATTGGATTTTCCTCACTGAAACTGAGGACTTTGACAGCCTCAACAGCCATGTTGTCACATCCCTTTTTGTCTCGAATATCTCCCTGGCCCTCAGCGTCCACACGTTGAAATTTGGCAACCGCGGAACTGAACGCGGCTGACATACTTTTTTTTGGAGCCACATCGAGAGACAACCTTAACACATTATTTATGTCGGAGAGATGCGAGAGTTTAGTGGGTGTTCCTGCCATTGCAACAACGCGAAGTCCAGATTGAAGAACATCGTTGACTAGTCCTGCTCCTGACCCGGTTGACCAGCCGGTGACTAAGCTTATTAACCTCGATCAGTCTTTTAGGAAAAGGTAATCTTTACTGAACCAGACGGGCTCTCGATTTGCATTCATAGCGGTGGTGCGCAGGATATGTGAGTCGTGTCCGGTTTCAAATATCTCTAATTGTTTTGATCAGATGTCACCAGAACTCGGATCAAATTATTATTATACCTTTGAAATGTCGCGTATGCGTGTTATCAATAATGAGGCCTCTGATGTCACCAGCGCGGATCATACAGAGACGAAAGAAGTGAACGGACAGATCCCCGTCCAACCCCTTGGTCGCCCGCTCGCTGCAGATCTTGATCCCTATTTTCTCCTTTTTAATAAGCTAATAATAAACATTAATATAGGCCCTTGAATTTCCTTATTTATAGTAATAATAATTATCAAAGTAATATAACTAAGCGCTTAGTTTCAATTTACTTCTTATATTAATATATTAGTTATAAAGGATTATATGAGGTTATATAAGCTATTTTTAATTTGAGTAATTATTATAATATTAGAATAATTTACTATGTTTTAAAGTAAATAAGTTAAAGACAAGTACATGAAGTATACTCCTTTATTTTAAGCAATTTGTTTACTAAACTAAAATTATAGTTATAGAGTTATTCGCGGAATTATAATATAATAACATATGTAATACGAGCAAAATTGCGTCTTAGTAGTGCCTGCTTAAAAATCACGTTTTCGCACTTGTTTGACATATCGCTTGCACCAATAATCAACCTAAGTAAATGCTTTCCGGGAGAAAGCTGTGTAAATTCTCATTTTGATTCTATAATTCCTATCCATGGAATTTCAGATAGAGATCCATAAATGCTTAAACCATGTATTTCATTCGCGTGATTACATACTTTCTGCACTGACCCCTTTTCGGAATGTCGATTGACAAATGGTGAAGATGACTTGGACCAGCCGTGTCAAGGTCGATGTTCTACAGAGATCATGGGATTAAAGTTTAAACATAGTGAGCTTCCGCCCGTCGCTGGTGACAGCACCAAATTTGAGATTTGATTTTGTACGCCAGCCAATAGATTCTTGCGTTTTACCACATCAGGGACTGAGGCTTGCCGTTTTCAAGCCACTCAATTCTTGGCAATAGAAGTGCCTGTCAGTGGCCACATTTTGATTGGAAAATTAAAGACTTTGCCGTTTTGGGCGAATGAGGAGACCATGTTGGCGCCGATTCATCGTGTAATGTGAGGTTCACAAGTCTGGGATAGAATACTTCAGGCTTTCATTTCTCGTTCTTTTCCGCTACAAGGTCATAAAAGATAGTTGGATCTGGCGATGAGATAAAATCTCTACTATTTCAAGCACAATTTTATTCTCGTCCAGCTGCTCGTTCCCCTGTAGAGCGCTAAAAAGAAAAATGCGTCTTGATGTCTCACTTACTGTAGAATTGGGCCTTTGTTCTCGAGGATCAGAGACACCTCATCCCACACTTCTCCAGGTCCATTTCCACAATATATAGTGTCCATGACCCCTCATTAGCGATAGTTCGGAGAAGCAAGCCCAAATTACGGAAAGCATTGGACCCCACAACAGATTGCAGAAACCTTCGCCCCATCCTCAGAAACCATCCGTGAAGTGACTACATGGCTGTTAGCAAGCGGAAATACAGAGGGGCATATCTCGTTATCTGAAGGCTCGGCATGGATTCGTGTCAATGCAACAGTTGAACAGACTGAGTCTCTCCTCCATACAAAGTATAAGGTGCGTGACTGGGAGCCTCCAGATCAAGCAAAGTTGATGTTGACTCGTTCTGCAGGCATTCGAGCACACTGAATCTGGAAAGCGAACGCTGGCATGCGACGAGTACAGTGTTCCCCAAGCCCTCAGGCATCATATCGATATCATCACACCAACCGTTCACTTCGCTTTGAAGACGAATGGAAAAGAAAAGAGAGATCGTGTTGGAGCAGTTGGGCCTACAACGCAAGTTCAGTGGCGACCAATGGCTATTCAACCTGCTGCTGGAGTCACTGAGGTAAGTTTCAACTACTCGATTTGTGCGAGCATTGTGTATCCTCAGTGCTTGAGGGCACTTTACAAAATGCCAGTTGGGACCATGGACAAGTGAGATGACCCCTTGACCTTCTGCGCCAATGTTGAAAGCGCCGAAAATAACCACTAACTGCCAGCAGGTCATCGTTTGCAGTTGTTGAATACACTCCCTATGTGGTTATCTCTCAGATCTGATCGAATATTCTGCTGACTCGTTCACAGGCCTACAGTCAAACTGATTTGGATTTGTTCTGGGATTTTGCCACTGGCAACGCTGTACCTAAGGGTACTCAGCCAAGCGTAAAACTCATTGATGGTGCTGTGATAGATCAAGTGAATCTACCCATTGACTATTATGTAGAGCCTAACCTTGACCTTGAGGTTGCTATCCCCCTCGGTATTTCTAAGGCAATTTACTCTGTGAGACTTCAGACTGACTCTTTACTAGTATACCCTCAGAAGGTAAACTTATATCAAGTGGGGGATAACTACATGGGAGCTTCATTTGGAGATTTCCTTGATGCGATTGATGGCTCCTATTGCACGTATGCTGGAGGAGATTCTCCTATCTAGTAAGCGTAGAATCTCTTTTTTATGATCTTGAGTTGACCATGCACTCAGCGATGGGACATACCCAGATCCAGATCCTAGAGGTTACCAGCACAAGAAAGCTTGTGGAACTGTGAAGCCAGCTTCAGTGATCAGCACTTCATATGGCTACAACGAAGCTGACCTCTCGCCTGCATATGAGATGAGACAGTGCAATGAGTAAGCTCACGAGTCACCACGATCGGATCCTTGTCCAATACTGACTTGGATTGATTAGATACTTGAAGCTCGGTCTGCAAGGTGTGACGATGTTGTTTTCCAGTGGTGATTCGGGAGTTGCCGGAAATGGAGGCCAATGCTGCACCTCGCCTCAATGCAAGGATGGAGTATATAATGATGGAAAATCCGGTGCTTTCAATCCCAGTTTCCCTTCCACTTGCCCATATGTTACTTCTGTTGGCGTAAGTAATTTTTAATAACAGTCCAAGAAAGTGACACACACATTTAACTGATTCGTCATTTTAGGCAACACAAATTGCACCAGGTGCACCCATTACTGCCCCCGAAACAGCCGCCGAGAAGGTCTTCTGGTCTGGTGGCGGATTTAGCAACGTGTTTTCAGCCCCATCCTACCAAACTTCAGCCTTAAAGTACTACTTCAGCCACAACAGTCCCGATTACACATCTCGCCAGTACAACAACACACAACACGCTCGGGGGTTCCCCGATATCTCCGCCAATGGATTTCAATTTCCTTGCAGTCTTAAAGGCTCATTCTATTACTGCTATGGCACATCTATGTCAACCCCAGTCGTAGGCTCGCTGATCACATTGATCAACGAGGAGAGGATCAAGAAAGGGAAGGGATCCGTGGGATTTTTGAATCCAGTGCTGTATGCCAATGCAGGGGCCATGAATGATATAAAGGTTGGGGGAAATAGAGGTTGCGGGACGAGCGGATTCAGGTCCGTGACAGGATGGGATCCAGTCACGGGGTTAGGGACGCCGGATTATGAGAAGTTGTTGAAGGTTTTCATGGCATTGCCTTGAGATGATTAATGGGAAGTGTTGTGAGTTTAATGATTGCCCGTTTTCGAGAAAGCGAAGACGTGATAATGCGGACCATGGAAAATCAAACATATGTTCTGGTAACCTCGAATCAGTCTATTCGCGAATAAACTACGTCCACTCGTGAATTTCCTATATAAATTTTTACCATTACGACTAGACTGGTCTATTCACAAAGAAAATTACCTCATCTCACTTATTTACTTGTATATAAATTTTCCTTATCATTTAATTATAGTGTTAAGAGACATGTAAAATATTCACAGGTAGAGTAATTTGCAGTTAGACCGGAAAATATCCAATGGCTAATGGTATTACAAATACTAAACTTATAATAGGCATATAAACAGAGTAGTTAGAGACAGAAAAGATTACTTTTCTTGGATCTACTATAGGGGGTCAAGGTGACCTTGCTCCACACGCACATTCACCTTATCTCCGATTACAAGTCAATATCCGAAACGATTTCGATCCAGCCAGGACTTGCTTCGAGTATCGAATAGATGAATAGCGTTACTTGGTGCCGCAATAATTTATTCCGGATGCATTAATAAGAAACCGTCAAGTTGAATGACTATAGAGAGGATGATCTAATTCCCTCGCTCTTGTTAGAACATAGGGCATTCAGTCTTTTATTGTCCAAAAAAATAAAATAAAGAAGAATAAATCTCATCCCGTGTAATATATGTTTTTCCGAGATGCCCTCTTTCCAGTTAGTTCATTCTCAGTCGGCTCTTATAAACGGAAAGGCATCACTAAAACTATGGAGATCGCGGCATAAAGAATTGAGAATACAGGGCATTGGGTAACCTGTAGACCTTCTAGCGTACAAATCAAGGTAGCAAACTCTTGCCCTAAATTCATGCCCTGTAGAGCACCAAGGGTCAAAATGCCCTATATTCCCAATACTTCATGCCGCAATCTCCCTAGTATTACCAACAGCGCGTATGACTGCAATTTTATAGAGCTTAAAAAAAATAGCAGAGATATAGGAGCTGCTTTGTGATGGATTTCTATATGAAGGTTCATGAAGTTTTTAATTTCTGCACCACTTTCTTCTCCTAGTCATACAGGAACACATTGCTAATCTATCTTCAAGCATTACCAACTCTTGTGAAATGCATCGCACATTTCGAGCACATCGGCCACTATACTCACTTCAGATCTATTCCTTTGTACATAAAGGCGTGGAGAGAGTTGGCTTTCTTACATGTTGTCTCTATTCGGCGAACATTGATTATATAAGCTCCGAACAAAGAGATGGCATCTAAAATTGCGATTATTTTGTGAGGAGGAATTTCACTCATCCTTGGCCTGCTCCGCTGACTGCCCATCACTGCAGCACGCCACCGGAACTCCAGGCGGTGGCTAGGGTTCAACTCCTATTGTAATGCTCAGTACTCTTGCCCGCCCTGGGATCATTTAGACTCCTTCATAAATGCGGTCCATAAAAAACTGATAAATTTGTAAATTCTGTCTATCACCAGAGTATCGTCGGTAGCATCAAAGTTTAACAAATAAAAGGTTGGAGGGAAGGAAAGCCGTCAACCAACGGCATTGGAGGTTGACATTGCTGAGGTCCAAGGGTCGGCATTTTTTTACGCACATAACGGGTGTTTTTTTGGGCTAACAAAACAAATGGTGTGCCTCAAACTCAAGCGAGAGAAATTGAAAGACGAAATGAGATGGTGTTTTTTCCATTCGTTTTTATGAAAGCACGCCAATGCTAATAGGAAGATCTACACAAAAATATTGATGAAGCGAGTCTACTATACAACAGCAGCTTCAAAGTTCATCTTGTTCACTTTAACAAGTGCCTCAGCTACTTGTAATTTTACTGCTTCCGTCGGGCCGGTGTACGGCTTGCGCGGTAGCAACTTCTCAGCGGCGTTTTCGATGCCTGCGGCTGAAGCCGAAGAGATAGCAACCCCATATTTTGTTGCTGCAATCCCCAATTTGCAAGGACTTTCAGCCAGCGCGATCTCCTGCTGCAATTTCAATGCCTTCTCAAATTCCCCCACCCGATACAACCTGTACACCTCGGCAGCAGCTCGAGGAGCAATATTTGCAAACGCTGCTATGCACCCAGCCGAACCAGCAGCCAGGCCGCCGATCAGGAAGTCCGATTGCCCGCCGAAGATAGCGAACTCGGAAGGCGGGAATGTGGCAGCTAAGCGCGTAGTCTTGCCCACGCTCCCGCATGTGAGTTTCACTCCAACTATATTCCGGTTCTTCTTCGCTATCGAGGTAATTAGGCCCGAGTCCAAGTCAACACCATTGCAAACGCCAGGGAAATTGTATATTACAAGGGGTAGCTGTGAAGCGGTCGCCACATCATCGAAGAATCCTTCGATGACGGCTGGAGTTGTTGCTTTCCCAAAATATGCGGGCGGGAGACAGAGTACATAGCTGGCGCCAGCTGCTGCTGCATCTTCAACAAATTCTAGTGTTTGCTTTGTCGAGTGCGAACCCACGCCCGCCACCAGAGGAAAGTCGGGTCCAACGGCCTCACGCGCAGCGGCTATAAGTTGGAATCTTTCTTTGGTGGTAAGTATAAAGGCTTCTGCGTTGGTCCCGAGGATAACTAGGCCCGCTAAGCCGGTCGTGGCTAGGTAGGAGAAGTATGATTTTTGTGCAACCCAATCAATTGTGTCTGTGGCTCTGTCGAAGAATGTGATTGCTGGGCACCACACTCCATGTTTTGGGATGTGGGGTTGACATTTCGAATTGCCCATGGAACCCATTGTGCTACGTAGATTGACGGGATATGGAAACTGTTTTTGCAAAGAAGATGTAGTCCTGATGGTAAGAGGGGAAACAAAGAATTGGCTGTATGGAGAGGGTGTGAGTCCGAAACTGTATGAGATTAAAGGTTTTCATTAGTGGGGTGAGCCAGGCGGGGATGACGAGAGGCTTCGGGTCAATTGGGCAAAATCCCCGAGAACATCTCAAGGTTTCAATAGACACCAGTTTAATCTTCGATCCTTTTCCAACTGTTTTTCAAACCGTCCAACAAGAAGAGAGCCTAAGACAGGGTCTTTAAAGTCCAGGCAACAAGGGATAACTGACGGACCGATATAACCCCACTCTTGGTTTGATTAGAACGCATGACCGCGTCCGATTCTTGTCTCCAAAGATTGGACTGGCGATCTTTGCATCTCAACTTTATATGTCGTGACCCTAGCATTCTCCTATTTTCGTCTCGCTTAAGACGCTGTTTGGAAAAGGGGGCTATTTATATCACGTGATATAGATGTTATTCTTTGTACAGAATTTGCCTACAAATGTAAAGCGTTGTAGGTAGGAAAGACGAAGAAAGTATGCGAGGCTTAGGCGTAACTTCAAATGTAATGATGCAAACAGGTTACATGATACAAAAACAAGAGCAAGTGATGTCACATCCCGCTTATTCCCCACGGGAAGCTGCGCCTCGGAGCTCTGCCCGCTCGAGTAACAACCACCGGAGAAGTCCAACTTGATCAGATGACAGTACCTGGAAACACCCCCTCGAGCATTCAACCGCTTTCAACATAGTTAAAGGATGTACCGGAAATTAGGATGGAAGTCCAACAAATCACTCGTGCTCTTCTCAGCCTCAATGTCATTTGTGCCCAGCGTTCGAAACTCTTCAGCTCTCGCATCCCTCTTCCTGTTCTCCCTCTTCATCCAAAGGTAATTGCAGACGATAGCGCAAAGCGCCAGCGTGAAGAATGCCAAGAGGGTTCCGTGTCCGCTCAGATACCGAGGTGGATGCCTGTAAACTTGCGTTCCAATGATGCTCAAGCCTTGGCCCGTGATTTGCGCCATCGCCCACGCGGTGCTCCGCTTGGTGTAGCCAGAATGGTTGATCGTGATCCAAGACACTGTTAGGATGACACCCGGGTAGAGCCCTGCTGTCACAAAACATGTACCGGCAATGAGAGCGACTTTGTTGGTGGTTGACATTAGAATGATGAATCCGGCGGCAGAGGTAGCCATGCAGATGAATAATACTGGGCCTTTGGTATTGATGCGATCTGAGATAAAACATACGGCGAGGAGAGTGACGGTTGCAAATGCATAGGGAATCATGGTGAAGAGTTGAGTTTGCACTGAGTGATATTAGTTAGATGCAAGCGTTTTCAGAATTATGAAGACTTACATTTGTCGAAGCCGAATTGTAAAATGAATGTGGGGAGGAACGAAGTGATTGACGCAATTCCTAGGCACAGTGCGCCGTATATGATAGCGGTGAAATAGGACTTGGGGTCTCTCAGAGCGATCAAAATTTGAGAATACTCGATTTTCTCATTCGTGACACTGTTGGCTGCAAGGGTTTCTTCAGCGTGAATCCAGATTACGTATTTCTAGCTGGGACTTACATTCTGCCATCCGTTGGAGAGCCAGTTCTATCTCTGCGTTGGTAAAATACCTACTCCCACGCTTGGCGATGATGTCTGGGAACGATGGAAGGAAGAAGAGTATTATGAATCCCAAGCCAATAGCAGGGATACCCTCAACGATGTATAGCCACTGCCACGCCTTAAAACCGTGGACACCATCCATATTTTTGTCAACTCCGTACGCAATCAGGCCACTGAAACAACCCGATATTGTTGCAGAAGTATAGTAGACGGCTAGAGGGAAAGTTAGAAGCTGCCAAGGAAGTCTCATGATATTCACCTACCAGCTCGTGTAGCAACCTCGTCTCTTTTGTACCTGATAAATCTCGCAGTCAGCAAAGCCCAATTAACAAGAAATGTGGGTGATGGAAAATGTTTCGGGGGTGTCGCCCCTCTTAAGACATATGGGAGAGGCAATCTGAGCTCAGAGAAGATAACATACCAGAAACTGAAATAGAGCAAGCCAACCTGGACAAAAGCTTCTCCCATGCCAATGAGAACTCGCAGGCCCATGATAGTGCCATAGTTTTTTGAAGCCGATAGACACGTCCCGCACGCACCGAAGAAGATGACTGCGATTCCAAGTTGACGCGGCGGACCAATAATCCGCATTCCGAGATTTGCTGGAAGCATGAATACCATGTACCCAACAACTAATAACATAAGCTTCAACTGGAAAGCAAGGTGCAGAGGCCTTGTTTGAACGTACAAAACATCATCAAACAGTTGAAGAATTGCTCATTTGACAGCTTGAGGTCTGCTTGCATTCCCATGATCCGAGCATTTCCAAGATTGTTTCGATCCTTTTGAAATTAGCAATGTTTGAGCTTCGTTCAAGGTGACTTGCCATATATGCTATGAAGAAACTGCATGCCAGAAGAGGGACAATTGCCAAGTCCATCTTGAGCAACAGACGTTTCTCTTGCTTGGATTTCTTTCTCTTTGGCTCAATCAATTCTGAGGCGGGTACATCATCCGCCCATGTTTGCTCTACCTTTTCTGCCATGATTGTCTTAATTCCCGATGGTACGTGGCTTGGTCGTTGAAGAAATGGCGATGGAAGAGAGAAGTATCTTGCAGCCTTGGCGCTGGCGGGGTAGTAAAGTCTGGAGACTGGAGTCTGGAGTGTGGAGTGTGGAGGAATGCGGGGAGAGAGATGGGGAAGGCATTTTTATATAGAGAGGACCTCCTCAAAGAGCACGCTAAGTTTCAAATGAAGTCTTCTCCGAATTATTTTGTCGTTTCGATATCTATCACCATCGCGCCGACTGCCAATTTCGCGCCGATACAGCTCCCCCATCTCCGGTCCAACCCAATTGGACCGCCCAGGTTGGACCTGCATGCTCTTGCAGCAGTGGCTGCTCTCGGTGGCGCAAGGAAATCCGGGGAGTACCACAGAAGGACAGAGCATAAGTTTCTACGCCTTAGAGTGGCGGTGAATGAAGCCTGGAAATAAGGAGGTTGAAACGGAAAGTTGCTTCCTCAAGTCAGCAACGGAACCATGCTTCCTGAAATCAGAAACCCCGCCGTGCACCAGGTGACTGCGGAAAGCCACCGGGATCACTAATCGTGCGTCAGGACTTGCACCAAAACCTCAGGTCCGGGACGTAGGGGCTTTGGTGCAAGTCCTGACGCACGATTAGTTCAGGTGAACTTTGCGAGAACACGCTTTCATAGTTCACCTTCCCCTCCTCGCCTACCCCTATACTTACATATAAGAATTAAAGAGAGAGGGGAAGATTCAATTTATAGTAGAGCTTAGAGAGGGGGGAGGGGCGTGGTTGTGGGCTTGGGCGTGGGCGTGGGCGTGAGCGTGGTAGGAAAATGGGGGCGATTCTTTTTAGCACGGTGAAGCAGTAAGCCGGATGCGGATTTTGCGTTTCGCGTTGACACGTCACGTTCCTCACGGCTTTCCATGGCGCTGGGCCAGGTGATCCTTACTAGTACGAAGACGAGCGGCATTTGAAATTCGTCCAATACCCTAAGCGAGGACGGGTGCAATTTTGACCTTTACAATACAATACAGTACAGAATTTCTCACCATTCCCCCTTATATTTGACTATCGTAAAAATTTCGCGAAAGTTAGATCTGCTTCTTTTCTCTTACGCAAAGACTTTTAATGAGTTTCGGGAGTTTCGTTGAGATTTGATGTGATTTTCCAAACGTAGCGATTTTGGTGTTCCTCGGGGTTTTCAACACCGCCTGCCTTCGTATACCAGGGGCGCTGAGTCAGCCAAGCCCACACGAACACACCCCAGTGTGGCGTCTTGAAGTCAAACCAAGACCTCGGTAGAACACTTTCTGTAATCTGTACTGTGCCTTGAAGAAGGAAACCCCAAGAGAACACCCACCCAAAGGCCATGTGCTACAATGGACGACCTCGACGCCCATCGAGCTTATGGCCCTCACAACCACCTCTCCGGCGATGATGCTCATGATAGTCCCGTGACCAGGGACGACGCCCCAACAGCGAATAGGAGCAGGGGATACAAGGGATCGCGGAAGCAGGAGGGTATCAAAAGGGCATGTAACGAGTGCAGACAACAGAAGGCAGGCCCGTCCCCCTTGTCGGATTTTACTTGGGTCACTCGCTAATCTAGCTTTTGTGGTCAGCTCCGATGTGACGTTGTGAGAGAACCGTTTTCCTCCTGTTCGAGATGTCGGCGACTTGGGCTCAGTTGCAGAATCGAGGCAACATTTCAGAGAGTGGAGAAGAGGAAGTAACACAACCAACCCACTCTTTGCCAAAAACATCCCTGTTGAGAGCAGTTCTGACCACCTTCAGGAGCAAGCGAGAGCTTCAACGAATGGAGGGTCATCTTCAGACCCATACATCACCCTCACATGCATCTCAGCCCAGTCTGCCATTATTTGCCGACATTCTTGACCCCCGACCGGTTCCTGAGGCTCGTGCCTTCAGCGAACCAGCCACGCCGGCCCCTCCGACACGGCCCGAAGACCTTCCGCTCTCAGAAAACTCGTCGTCCATTCCACCCACCCATCCAACACTAGCCGAAATTTCTGCACTTCATTCACCGTCCACCAATGAAGTGCAGCATTTGAACTGGAGTGTTCCATCGGCTGCAGTTTCAGCAACGCCCGTGACCCGGACATTAGACGCCATAGAGCTATCCGTAAATGAGATTCAAGGTCTTTTCAATGGGTAAGAACTATATACCCTTCTTCACTTCCCTCCTGCCTAACGCTCTTGAATGTGTGCATGCTTACGTGTATTTTTTCATAGATATTTTCAACATTACCACAAATTCTTGCCATTCCTTAACCCCTTGAAGCCTCCCGACTATTATTATCGGTCCTCTCATTTGCTATTTTGGGCTATTATTGCTGTTGCTTCTCGTCGCTACAACGAGGACTTGTCTCTTTTGACCTCTCTGTCGAGAAGTGTACCTCGACTGCTGTGGTCAGTTTTGCAGCCTGTCCCTCAGAGTTACCACGACGTAAAAGCTCTCTGCCTACTTTGTACTTGGCCTTTCCCACTAAGTAGCTCATCTCGAGACCCAACACTCATGCTCAGCGGGACTATGATAAATCTGTGTCTTCATTTTGGGCTCCACAGACCCAATCACGCTCAAGATTTCTCAAAATTCAAGGTCGCCCTTCCTTTCGAAGATCTTCAAGACCGTATGACAACTTGGAATACGTGCAAAATAGTTGCTCAAAGGTTTGTTTACCGTTGCAATTAAACGATGCTGGTTATACTAACTACTGGATTGAGTGTTGCAACAGGATATGGCCAGCCATCTTTTGTTCCGCTCGAAGACGTTCTCATTTCTCAGGCGCACAATGTTCATGCCCAACAAATGTCCCAGGAGCTCAGGGATCGTTTGCAAATTGAATCATTTTGCCAAAGAACCGCTAAAGCCTTAGATTGTATGTCCCATAGTCGTGAAGCTGTCCCAAACGACGAAGTGGTTACAACTATGCAAGCATTGAAGGAAGACTTATCTCAGCTTCAAAAGTGCATGGATAAATCGGAAGCAGGAGGTAGGGAAATTTTTATGCACTTCCTCTATGCTTCTAATGTGCTGAAGCTAATTTAGTCTCAGGCGTCCTAGCCGTGTACCTTTGCTGCACGCAGCTTCATCTGCGCTTATATACTTTGTTCAGCAACACCAATTCTCACGACTACATCGAATCGCTCTTATCGCTCTTCGAAGCTTGCAGAGAACTAATTTCACTGGTCCGCGATCGAGAGGAAGATATCTTGATTCATTGTCCCAATTACATTTTTCAAATGATCCTCGCATCCGGCTTTGCTGTTTTGAGATTGAGTACGAGCCCAATGTCGGAATATATAGACAGTGCATCCAGTCGAACAACATTTAATTCTGCAATTTTCGCTCTAAGAAAGATTAGCGTGTCCAACAATGATCTTCCCGGCCGCCTGGCTGATGTTCTAGCCCAACTCAAGGCTCGAGGAAATAGAGAGAAGAGGGACTGGCAAAATCTTCAGCCCAATGTGCGAAGCAGAATGAGCATGAGTATCACATTTGACTCTCTTTGGGAATGGAGAAAGGGTTTTGAATCTAATGGAAGTAAAACCACAAGTGGTGCGCAATATTTCATATGCCCAATTTATAATTTTGATGTGACTGCTGACGGAGTGCAGAACAAGGGCCGTCTGCCTCAACAGACATCACTCCTAGCCCACGTCAAACCCTAGATAGGAGCCACGGTTCAAGCCCCAGAACAGCACCTCCGCAGGAATTTAACTTCGACTACCTGATGTTCGACGACTTCTACCCATTGAATGGGATAATCCAAAATGTCTCGGATGTTCCAAATGCATACTGGCTAGCTAATGATACGTCATGATATGCCTTTGAGATATCGCCACCAGAAGGTTTTCATAATGGGAAGCGAGGAGAACTACAAATTCAATTCAATTCAATTCCAACAACGACCACGGAATGAAATCTACTGTCTTCTGCTGACCACCCATGGATTCTCACACGCCTCCTGCAAAAGTGGTTCCTCCAGCCTTGGCATCAATCTCCAAGTCCTCTTTGAGCCCGCTCACCTCGAACAATTGTACTGGCGTCATTTGTGCTTCGGCACCAGTGATGCCCTTCGTCTTCAGTCTCTGATATACTTCTTTCATAGCCTTATACGCCGGCGCCAACCCCGCAAACGGGAAAATCACAATCCTGAACCCCATCTCCTGGGCCTCGGAGACACTTATACTTGGCGTGGCTCCATGCTCCACCATATTCAACAAGATCGGCCAAGGAGCCAAATCCTTCACGACAGCCCTCGCTTCCTCCTTACTCGTGATGCCTTCAAGAAAGCCAACATCGGCCCCTGCTTCCTTCGCGAGTCTTAAACGAGCAATGGACTCAGCATATCCAAGAGATTGCAAAGCATCTGTGCGCGCAATGATCACGATATCCGAGCCTACGGCATGGCGCGCAGCAACGGCCGCGCGAATCCGAACCAAGAATTCAGAAGTCGACACGATCTGCTTGCCTTGGAGATGACCGCAGCGTTTCGTCTGGATCTGGTCTTCGATGTGAAAGCCAGCTACTCCGCTACGGGCGTACTGTTGAACTGTTCGTGTGATCATGATGGGACCTATCTCGTTAGAACATGTTAGGATGGAATGGGAATGGCATTGGATTTACCTCCATACCCCGTATCCGCATCCGCAATAAGTGGAACCCTAGCATCGAGGTTGGCAATCATCTCAGCATGCGCTCGCATGTCGTTTAGACCCGCCATCCCCAAATCCGCATGGCCAATTCTTGAGGCACTTGTTCCGGCGCCAGTCTGTCCCCGCCATCAGCCGCCACACCTCAGAACGAAATCTCCCACGAAGAAACATTTGGTGCTCTTACCATGTAGATAGTATCAAACCCCACACTAAGCGCTATTCTAGCGGAGAACCCATCGTAGACGCCCGGAGCCAGAATTATTGGACCGGGAGACGAGATCAAATTGCGCAGCTTGGTGGCTGCGGATTCGTGGGGAGGGGGGCTGATAGAACCCATTTTCAGGATGTTTTAAAATGTCTCGGAAGTACGGCAAGTTCAGGGAACGATGGAGCATGCAAAAATGAAGGTTTGTTTGAGGAATCAAATACACTTCACTGAATCGCAGACCTGTATTTATATAAGTCGATCCCTTTCCGGCACCGACGCCGCACCTGTACATTCCGATCACGGAGCAGCCATTAAATATTCCTTCTCGCGGCATGATTACTGTTTAAATCGTCTGTACAGCGTATTACCAGTGTTAACGTCCGGTTCTGAGAGATGATCTCCGATTCTGTCTGACGACACGTGAGACGCTGGATTTCGGCCCGGTCTGGGAAAATCGGCGCGAATTCCTGCGCCCCTGGCTCCTGGGCGTCAGAACGGCGGGGACCAACCTCGCATTCTTGGAGAGCCAAGAAAGTTGGGGGAAATGGATAGTGAGAATTATGTGAGGATTTCCATTTGAGCGAGATGGGTGACGTTTTTGTCGAGACTCTGAGACATTCGGCGGGAGGAGGTCTTTTATCTCGCCATTATTTTCTCCCCTTTCCCGTCATTCATGGGGATCTGACCAGCTTGTCTCCACTTTCGAACCAAGGATCTTTATACAAATAGACATACTACCACAAATTCCAATTGAAAGGAAGTGAATTAAAACTCAATCCTGCAGCTATAAAACTATAGGGGTATTAACACTCTCGGGTCAGCTATTATTTTGCTTTAATCACCGGGGTCATGCTGTTCCAGTATCACGTGATTCTTATTGCAATGTTTTAGAGGTTGATGACTTGATTTCTCAGCTCACGCGGGGTAAGCACTCTATATATACATCCAGTATATAAACTACTGTGTACCAGCGTACACCTAGTTCCAACACTTCTTGTCTCAAAGGATAATCACGTGACTTGAGACACAACTTGCGCGATTGCAGATATTTAGCTTCACACACACACACACACACACACACACACATTCATTCATTCTCTCTCTCTCTTATCCTTCTCTTTAATTGAAACACCGTTCGTGGGCGGGGGGGGGGGGTTGCCTTGCGGCCGCAGGATTGCTTGTTTTGCTCGACCTCGCTACAAGAAACAAACGAGTTATGTGTATCTTAGCCTTCAACTTAGCAGGGCAGCATGGATAGTCGCAGTGTTCAAGTATTTGAGTAATAAGACATTCGTTGGGAAAGCTTGACATAGGGGCTGCGAGCAGACATCGAAATTATGGGCATTTTTGCGAAGCAAGATGCGGATTGGGGAGGTAAAGCATCAAAGTGCAGATTCTCACTGAAGTAGCTCTTGGACCCCACTCAGCACTCGAAAACCTTTGAGAACTTCATCTAGAAGTAATGAGATGGAGAAGGTCATGTTAGACGCCATTTTTTAAACATGACGTATTATACATACCCCGGAGATCACTGTATCCTGCACCGCTTCCCTGAACGCAAACTGAAACCCCAACACAGGTAGCAGGGACAATCGAATCGTACCAGATGATTGAAACAAGCTGGGGATTGAATGGGATATAAACTGAATATTTTATCTCAACCTGAGTTCGCCTTAATTGAAGCTAGGGGAGGCACTGAGAGCATTAATCTCCACCCTTATCTGCCCCAACCTTCTCTGCTGCTTCTCATACTCCTGATATATCTCTTGACACACACCATCCGCATTTGAATACCTGCCAATACATTAGCATCAAGATCTCTTGCCATAAGATCGCACATACCGCTTCCAGTCTGCTCCACCATACCCTCCATGCTTCTCATACGCAACATATGCTTCTTCTTTTGCAATATACGCCTTCCCACAGTTCAATTGCTTCTCACCTTGCATCTCTCTTATCCTAACTTCTTCCTTCTTCAGCCAAACAATCTTCTCTGAGGTGTTCAATTGTTTATATTCCATCCCCGTCAACTCTCCTCTCCAGTCTTGTCCTTCTCCTTGCCCAGTTGTCCTGTCTTTCTGTCGCCGTTCTGCAGAGTGTAGCTTGCTCCTTGAACCATCCCGACTCGTTTTCCCAGATCGAATAGCCCATATCCAAGAACCATTGATCCCAGCGAGATTGAGGCGAGCTCCCATGGCGAGAATTTGTGGAACCGTGTGCAGAGATCGGTGGCGAGGCCCGTGTAGCCAAGACCTACAACCAAACTATCGAGAAGTCGAGAAGGCACGAGATTATGAGCGGGAGAGATCTCGAGGTGCTTCTGGGCGCAGGTTTGAGTGTGCTTTGTGGCAACTGAGGGACAGCGCTTTGGGTCCGCCATGTTGCTAGTGCTGCTAGCTTGCTGTTGGGGTAAGAGGACGCTTGATCATGGAGGGATGCGCGGACAAAGAGGAACAGAATGAAAATGCAACGATGATTGATGAAGCATTGAGTGTTTAAGAGAATGGAAAGAACTTCAGAGGACGTGAGCTTTTGTAGATATAAATTTATGCAAGGCAACCAGAGATCCACCAAAAACTGTGGGAATAATGACATCAGAAATCACTGAGCATGAGTCGTACACACGAGAAATCAGAGGTTAAGAGATACATTTCAAATTTGCTTGCAAATTTGCAGTGGAATTGGAACCACGGGATATAATAGCAACTCGCCTTTGGATTCGAGATTCGCATATTCAATAAAGAACGTGGGAGCTTGGGGGGGGGGAAGGGCGAAGAAATTACCCTTATTTAGAATTTCAGGGGCACTTACCGAAGATTTGCCGCTTCTCCGCCGACATCCAACATCGCCTCATCGCAAATCTCATTTGTCCACACTATCTTTCAAGTGAATGCCACAGACCCTCCAAGTTCAAGTGAGCCTCCGTACTTGCCGTTGAATCACAGTCTTTTCTTGCCGTGTCCCCCTTCCAGGTTCAGCCTCTAGATCGACCAACTTCAAGCTTATCGTCAGAAGTGGGATAAGTCACAAGTGGGAGTTGCCCGACGGGGTAGCAAGCTCCAACATGTAGTGTTATTCATATCTCATTCAACTTTACATTGCTTTCGTCATTAGACATTGCGGGAGATAATGAATACCCAATAGGGGAGGCAATAATTAGAAGTTGTCTTAAATATTTGCATCCTGTCGAAATTGGTAGACGCCACCATGGCTCGGAGTGTTCGGAATTTCAGAATCGGTGTTGATGTCGGCGGGTCAGTTTCGACATCTAAGTATCAGATTTTCGGCATGTTTACAAGTCAATAGGACAAACACAGATGGAGTAATCCTCGATCCAACGCGATCATCAGAGCGCGATCGAGGGATCGTGGCATGGCACAAAGCATCCACAACCGGAAATCCCAGCGACGGCATCAACAACGCCATCAACACAATGTTCTCAAACTCCAAAATCGACCCAAAAGAAGTGGTCAGTATTACAATTGGCACCACGCATTTCATCAACGCAGTGGTTGAGCGAGACTCAACGCGGCTTGCCAAGGTTGCTGTCATTCGACTTTGTGGACCGTTTTCGAAAGGCGTTCCTCCTTGTATCGATTGGCCTGTGGAGTTGAGGGATTTAATTCTTGGGTACTATTGTTTGGTAGAAGGGGGTCTGGAGGTTGATGGGAATTTGATTGCGGAGATTAATGAGGATGAAATTCGGGACCAGGCGGACATCATCAAGGCGAAAGGTATCAAGAGCATTGTGGTCAACGGCGTTTTCAGTCCTGTTGACGTGTTCTACAATCAAGAGAAATCGGCAGCCGAAACCATAAGGGAAGTATATCCGGAGGCTGATATTGTCATCTCCAAGGACGTTGCGAATCTTGGATTCCTCGAAAGAGAAAATGCTGCGATTCTCAATGCATCAATTCTTCCTTTCGCTCGGAAGACGATCTCGTCCTTTCAAAGTGCAATCTCACGCCTACAACTTCATTGTCCGGTCTTCATCACTCAAAATGATGGAACGACTTTGCTTGCGAGCGCCGCTTCCAAGCTCCCCATCAGAACATTCTCGAGCGGACCAACAAACAGCATGAGAGGGGCTGCTTTCCTGACGCAAAATGACATCAAAGAAGTCATGGTGGTCGTCGATATTGGCGGAACAACAACTGATGTTGGGTTACTGCTTGCAAATGGCTTTCCTCGGCAAGCAGCGGCCTTCAGCGAGATCTCTGGTGTGCGGACCAACTTCTCCTACCCCGACGTCAAAAGCATTGGCCTCGGAGGTGGCTCGATTGTGAGGAGACAGGGAGATGGAAGCCTGACCATTGGTCCTGACAGTGTCGGCTATCAGCTAACTCGGGAAGCCATCGTGTTTGGAGGTGGTGTGGCGACGGCTACAGATTATACTGTTCTGGGCGATCAAAATTCGGACATTGGAGATCGCTCACTGGTTATGAGACCTGAGTTGGAGAACAATTTGGACGATTTCAAAACTGTTGTCAAGAAGATGCTTGAAAGAGCAATCGATACGATGAAGACTTCAGCAGATGATATTCCTGTACTGCTTGTTGGAGGCGGAGCTATCATTGCCCCTGACGAACTTTCTGGAGCGAGCAGAGTAGTGAAGCCCGAGTGGTCAGGAGTTGCAAACGCTATCGGAGCCGCAACTGCGCGAGTGAGTGGGATCATCGACACGATTGAAAGCACGGAAAGCAAGACTTCGAGTCAAATCATGAAAGAGATCTCGAAAAGAGCAATTCAGAAAGCAGTCGAGAATGGTGCGAAAGTAGAGACAGTTCAAGTCGTTGAAATGGATCACCTGCCATTGCAAGTGAGTTGGCGATCTGCGAGAAATTAGATACTGCCCCTGACATTGATATCTAGTATATTGCAAACAAATCCCGATTCATCGTCAAAGCTGTTGGAGACTTCGACTTTGCTCAAGAGGCAGGTACAGAAATTTCAAGTGCGAAAGGAAAACTGGAACGAGATGAGATGACCGAGTTCGAGAAGAACTCCTCCGCAACTAAAGAACAGGAACAAGAAAAGAGAAATCTTGTCAAGATTGATATTCAATCGTACAGGCCAAACATCCATGCCCGAGAGTGGATAATCTCAGAGACTGACCTCGCATGGATCACAATAGGATGTTACATTCTAGGAACTGGTGGAGGAGGTTCACCATACGGCCATATGCTACGACTTCGCGAGATTATGCGAAATGGAGGAGTTGTTCGTGTTATCTCTCCTGATGATTTGAAAGATGGCGATCTCGTCGCGTGCGGTGGAGGGAAAGGGTCTCCAACGGTGTCAATGGAGAAGCTTGCAGGCGATGAGTATGCGGTGCCACTTTTGGGAACTCAAGACACGGCTGACATTCGACAGAATGGTGCAAGCTCAGACCGAACTGTACAATTATATGAAAATTCAACCGAACGCAGTCATTGCACTGGAAATAGGGGGTGGCAATGGTCTTCAAGGAATGATTCTCGGTGCGTCGACGAACATGAACATACCAACAGTTGACGGAGACTGGATGGGTCGAGCATATCCAGTCGCATGGCAGACAACACCTGTTGTTTTTGAAAAGAAGCCAGTCTTCCTGCCATCCACGATCTGCGATGGAAATGGAAATGTTATGGTAGTTCCTTCCTAATCCGATGGAACAGCAGGGAGCTGACTGATCACAGTTTATGACGCAAGCAAAATCTGAAGTGATGGTAGAAAGAGCATTCCGAGCAGCACTTTCCCAAATGGGTTCACACGTAGGCTGTGCTAAGGGACCGGTCACCGGGAAGAACACCAAGAGCTGGGTCGTCGAGCACACGATTTCGCTCTCGTGGCGTATCGGTCGTGCTGTTGCGCTATCACGAAGCTTGAACCAAATCGATACCGTGGCCGAATCGATCATCAGCGAAGTAGGAGGGGACAAATCTGCAAAAGTTCTCTTCAAGGGTAAGATTGTGGGCGTTGAGAGAACCCTGCGAGTGGGTCACGTGTATGGGGAAGTGATCATCCAGGCAATGAACGTGACGGGGAGCGAGGGGCCAGATGGCAAAGGGCGGTACAAGATTCCGTTCAAGAATGAGAATATTCTTGCCATCAGGGAAGAGGAAGATGGTACCGAGACAGTAAGGCTGCTTCCCTATCTCGGCAAGGTTCAGGCTAACAGTATCAAGATCCTTGCCTCGGTCCCAGATTTGATTTGTGTGATCGATGCTCAAAACGGAGAAGCTATCGGCACTCCAGAGTACCGATATGGCTTGCTAGTTATCGTTCTCGGCATTGTTGCTTCAGAGAAATGGACCTCGACTCCAAGAGGTTTGGAAATCGGCGGCCCGACAGGATTTGGCATGGGTGATGTGGAGTACAAGGCTCTCGGAAAGTTCCAAAAACCTAGGAGCGTGATTGATGAATATGGAGCCTAACCCAAAAATGACGGCAGAGTTAGTAAAAAGCTAAACCTCTCCTGTGAATCATTCTTGGATATCTGATCTAGCGCGGCTCACCGTGGACAGAAAAGACGCCACTTCTCTTCAATGTCTCAGATCGGAGTTGGACATTCAAATAAACTTAGAGATGGAAGAGATTTAAGGTTGGCCCCGGTAAGATGTTCGAAGGGGGTGGGCTATGAACGTACCATATCTCGAGGGGATATTGGTTGAGGGCCATTTGCCATGGCCCAGCTAGACCGAGTACATTGAATATAGTACCGCTTTCTGTGCCCATCGCGAAGGCGGTATGGAATGAGGCGTCCCGTGCTTAGTTCCCGCCCACCGGGGGCCGCTGAGCGGTACCCTAGAAATTATATAATTCTAGTTGCCAAATAATAATATAATCTTCTTCAGCTCATATTAATATGGATCGCCCTGATGGATAGCCTTAGTAGCATAATGCAGACCTCGACAGTCGGCTTGAATATTTCTACAACTTCGATCTCCATGACCAAGATCCACCCGAACAAATAGATTATCCAAGAACGAAATGCATTTTTCACTAAAGATGCTCAAGAGGAAACTGGATGCAGCGTTCAAGAAGAGGCTCGGCGAAGAAATTGCATCAGTGTGTTTATTCCCCTCGTTCAAACCTCCCCGCAGCCTCTCGGGCTCTCAGCTAACTCTGGAATGTTACAAGCACAACCTAGACAGCACCCCAGGAAACTTCAAAAGAAGGGATCGAAGAACTGCACCCCAGAACCCGTTCCAAATATGGAAGTAGCTGATGAGGAGTTGAATGTAGAAGCTGAATCAAACTCAGTCAACGCAGAGCCTTTCTCCAGATTATCTATCATCGAAGAAGATGAGGAAGTGCCAGCTCAATGCCAAGTCCCACAAAAAGTTTGCCTCGATGACAACACGCTTCTTCGTCCAATCTCGGGGGTCCGTCTTCCAGCTTACCCATGCCAAGTCCTGCATCCTTCCCTACCGAACAGACGACCCCATGGCCGGGATCACCTGCAAAAAATGGAAGAAGTCCCTTCATACTCAATCATCTCATAGAAATAGAGGAATCCTGCAAGAAGCGTGACTTTGGTCTACAAATGGGACTAGAATGGCTAGAAATGTTCTGGGGTTTCGAAACGCTGCAACGTTGGTTTAAGCGGAGGCATGGCTGGGAGCCTGGTATCGGACGATTTGAAGACTTCGAGGAGAGGGGAAAACAGAATGTTGACTTTTGAATTATGTGGGATTATCCTACGAATTTGATTTGATTCGGCTGTTGGGATGTGAATCGAAGGGCATTGGTGGTGAAATTGTAAGACCGAGATACCATCGTGGTCAATTATAAGTTAGTAAGACTTTTCACTGGAAGAACTTAAAATAACACTGCATATTGTCGTAATGGATATAATACCCTGGCTTGTTGATTCAAAGGTGCTTGCAGGCGCAAAGTCACGGAGGAAAATATCATGTTGCTGACGAAACTTCACATGCGCCGGAAAGGATTTATTTCACTCTGATAACATATGACAGTCTCAAGCAATGCGCTGCTACCCCCGCAACAGCCTAAACACTTGTAGTGGGTCCTTAGTTAACGCCACCCTAAAGTCTCGTCAAAATCCCCGAAAGAGGAAGTATCAGGTGCTTTCAGGATCCTCTATTCGCAGAAGACCCTTGAGTTGGCCAGTGCACGCGTGGTGTTATCCTTGGACCCACTGTACGAAGTAATCCTTTTGTGTTTGGTGGGCATAAAAATCAAGGCTTGCAGGGCGCCTGAAACGGGGCTCAATTGGCCGTTGCGGAAAAGGTCAGACCACTATGAGCCTATGGCAACATCACGTGTTGCTGCGCAAGGAACTTCAACGCCTTTAAATCCAAGATGACTGTCAGACAACACAAAGCATTCACTCTGAGACTTCAAATCCATGAGTCATCGTACTTTTGCGACATCTAGCATAGGAATATCCTGTTGTCATACTCAGACAAGAGCTCAGCGAACACTCAAGCCCGAGCACAGCTAAATTCAAACGCACCGGGAAGGCGAAAAAGGCACACAACACAAATGGTCGACAAGCCTGGAGCATTCATGGCAAGTCGGCCGACGGTCATCGAGCAGAGGTATACTTTCAAAGCCTACCAAGCGGTCTACGCCGTGATCCAAGAGCTTAACCGTAAGGATGCAGAAGCCGTCGTCGAGCTCCTCATCCGGAACGATAAAGGAATGCTCAACGACATCGCAAAATGGTGTTCAACGACCGGATATCAACTGATCTGTTCTGAGCTGGGAAAAGAAGGCGAAATGCGGTGTCTGATTCAGAAAGGAGAGCAGAAGATAAACCATAAAGTCATGACGGTGGTCATATCGACGGCGGATTTGGAGTACATTGCGTATCCGTTTGATAAAGCGATTGGAGGAGCGGTTTCGGGAATGGAGGTCAATCTAATTTTTGAGGGTGCAGGCGTGAGGTTGTTGAAGAGGGGATATCGGGCGTCGCTTTCGGGATTCTGGGGACGGATGTTCACGACGGTTGTGGAGAAGGTGATGAAGGATAAGATTGGATGGCCTTTACCGCAAGAAGCAATTTTATTGTTGGAGGACCTGGGGGCGAAATTTTATGTCTGTGGACCATCATTAGTGGGATATGGAATTACGGAAGAGGAGTTGGTGGTCAAGAATCATGCTCTGGGAGGCGTGATCACTTGGGTTGATCTTTTGGCGAGTAGTAACGTCAGTGTATTCTCGAAATCTGCATTTGAGAAGCCGTAGTGTACAACCATATCAACAGATCTCAAAGCCAACTCTGCTGCTAAGCATTGCCTCAATTCTTTTGGCTCTTCTCGACCATATTGACCGCAATTGAAATCTAACCCCACGCAATTCTCTCGGAACAATTCCAAGCTCATGTGTGCTCGAAGAAGCAGTTTCGACAAGGATATTGGTTCTTAAGCGGAGTTCTAAATGTTGTCAGATGTTGAACATTGTCAAAACACCGGGCAAGTCGAAGGCAGTCCCTCAGCCAACACAACGACCACTTTGTAAGGCTTGTTAGTCTTCCTGATCAAAGCATCGCTGGTAGACTGATTTACGGCCCATATAAGTGATTTTCGGCATCGTCTTTCCCGTATCCGTCCACAGCTTCTCGAACCTTTGTTCCGAGTGCCAATCGTAACGAATACGGCACGCACAGAGGGTGAGATGCGCAAGATTTGGATACCTGGGTAGAAGTAGTGCCGGCGAAAGCTTTGCCGACCCCTGACCCCATCGAATACCACATATAACCAAATTTCGAACATAATTCTCAGTATCCAGCATGTGTTCCAAATCCTTCGCCGTCATCTGGATGCGACGCTCTGTAAGAAGTCGTCCATAGAACGCACGGATTCCCTCAACGTTCGGCAAGTGGAGGGTATCCCGGGTCGCATCGAAATAAACGGGACGCCCTTGGGTCTGTTTCTCGAAGGTCAGACTGTAGTACTTGCTGGCAAATGACCTCGCTTCTTTGTTGACGTGAAGAAGAACTGGGACTGGGCCCGCATTCGCTTTCGCCCTCCAGAATGGACTTGGTCCTGCTCCGATCTCTTGTATCTTGACTGTGGCCATATTTCTGGGATCGTGGGTGATTCTGATGATGCGAGGGCCTGGGAGACTCAGTTTCCATATCTCGTTGCGAAGCTCCGGTGGCAGTTTTGGGAAAAGGCTGAAGGTCCTCTCTGATTGTTTTGGTTGGCCCAATGCTTGCGCCGTCGTCATGGAAATCCGAGGATCGGGAAGCTGAGGTACTGCATCGTTCGTGGATGTCTTGTTTTTGTCTTCTTCGTGTCCTGTGGTCGGGGCCGTCTTTGAAACCTTCCGGGCCCATACCGACAGTCCGGATCGCGTCTAAGCAGTGTCAGAGCGCTACGTTCAATCACGATCTGTGAATAAAATTCCTTTGCCTTACCTTCATGGCTACTGATGATGCTGGTCACCTCCTCACTTAATACGCGCTGTGGAATCAGATGATTGCTGAGCTTGCTTGGGGGAGCCAGCGCGACAGATCGAAGGTGAGGGGATTCGGAGGAAGGAAGAATAAATATACTAAGGGCTGAAATAGAGGCAGCCTTGGCTCGCCTAATGTCGATCACGTGAAAGCACCCCCCTCGCCCCTTTCAGACAAGCCGGTTCACTTTTGAAGTTTGAGCAAAAAGCATTTAAGGTAACCAGAGTGGCACTGATTCCCGATGTCCCAAGTCAAGGTAGACGTTCCATTTAGTGAGACCTTTCAATGTCCCAGAAATTGAAAGGCGTCTAAAGAGACTTGAATTTGAATGGTAGATCTTTACCTTAACTCGAGGACCATTTGGAAACCAATAGCCAAATCCCCACCTGACGTATGAACATTGAAATAAGCGCTAAATTTTCCTATACAGAACAAGCATACCTTACCTGGCAATAACGAAAATTGGTGGAAAAGAAACTGGACGAAACACACCATCATGTCCTGATGGGAAGCACTTTGCTGCTGTAAGATTTTATAAAACGACTTCTGGCTGCTAATTTGCGACCCCGGCTTCTGGAAGTCCGATCCTGTTCAAGATTGCGGTAAGAATGAAACTTATGGATGCCTTATGCCAGCTTTCAATTGGGGTAGTTTCGATTTTTGGCGGTAGAGCCAATTGCGTGCCTCTGTGACAGATTCTGCCAGGCGTGAGCCACAAACGACAGCTAGAACCGCCCTTGAACTGGGTGGCCTCCTGACTCTGAGAACACTGATCATTTCAAAAATCGAGAAATCCTACAGCGCGATTTTCAGCCAAAGGGTGGGATGCGGTGAGTAGATCTGATTATCGGGATCCACAATCTAGGTGGGGTTGCCAAGGATGTGTCGGCGCGTCTCTCCTTTTCGATAAGCGAGAGGCTTCCTCCCCAGAGAATCTTCTGCTCTCAGCAAGTTAACGCAACAGAGACCATTTTCTTTAGACACCTTCTAACAATATCTTCTGCACTTCCCATATATAGACCCGCTTCTGAAGTCTTCCACTCCCGTGACTTCACACGTAAGATCTACTCTAGATGTCCACCTGACTTCCGTCTGTGGAAAAGCTAAATCTTGCTGCAGATCCTTGTTCGGTCCCCCAGTCCCCAAATGCACATCTTCCTTGCAATTCCAACTATTTCGTTCCACTTATGGATCCCTTATATGCGCTCCAATCAACACTTCTCCCAACGAAGTGTGTACCCCCAGAAACAATGAACGTGGGAACTCCAGGGCGATTTAGCTCTCCGCATTTGGAATCCGGGGTGTGACATGTCAAGCTCAATAAGGTTTCCGACAGAGTACAAAGTGTCACAGCATTTCCGTTTTCGCAGTGTATCTCCACAGTACTTGATCTAATTTTGTTCGAGGTTCGTTCCCGACTTAGACATTACAACCATGGCTTCTTCGGCTCCAGTTGACGTTGATGGAGCGCTCGCTGGCAGAAAGGCAGGATGGTTCAACGACAAGGGTATAATGAAGGTTAACCTTATTCTCTTCCTCACTATCCTTTCAGGCTATGCCAACGGGTATGATGGTTCGATGATGAATGGATTACAAAGTTTAGATGAATGGAAGGATTACTTCAATCAACCTACCGCCAGCACTCTTGCACTGTAGGTCACCATTCAAACTATTCACGTTCTACTGTCTAAGATAAACATTCTGTACAGATTGAATGCCATCCAACATGTCGGTCAATTGATTGCATTGCCGTTCTGCGCCTATTCTTGTGATCGATTCGGCAGACGTCTCACACTCATCGTCTCCGCTGGCGTGCTTCTCATTGGCGTTGCCCTCCAAGCAGCTGCTCAAAACAGTGAGATCACAGCCAACCAACTTCACTATTTTTACTGATTCAAGCTAGTTGGAATGTTCGTTTTCGCTCGTGCCCTTATCGGTTTTGCAATTGCTTTCAACTTCACTGCTGCACCACTTCTCATCATGGAACTTGCATTTCCAACCCAGAAGGTTCCGTTTACTTTCCCCCTCGGCGGAAATTCCAACTGACTCAGGACAATAGTCTGCACTCGTCGGATTCTTCAATGCCCAATGGAACTCTGGTGCGATCGTCGCCGCATGGACAACGTATGGAACCTTCCGAATCCAGAGTTCATGGGCATGGAGGATTCCCTCTGCCCTTCAGGCTTTATCAAGCGTGATCCAAATCCTCGGATATTTCACGATTGTCGAATCTCCACGTTGGCTCATCTCCAAAGATCGCGATGATGAAGCTCGTAAGATCATAACAAAGTATCATGCAAATGGCAATCCCAACGATCCACTCGTCAGTGTAGAGATGAACGAGATCCGGGAAGCGCTTCGAATTGACAACGATGTTGCGAAGAATACCTCTTTCTTGTCTTTCCTTCACTCTAAGGGAAATCGACTTCGATTAGTGATTCTCGTGGTTGTGGGATTTTTCTCCCAATGGAGTGGGAACGGTCTGATTTCTGTAAGTTCTTGGAATCCTCCCAGCAGTGTCTGGTGGGATAAATTGTGCTCACACATCATACAGTACTACTTAACATTGATTCTGGATTCCATCGGATATAAAGCTGAAAGCACGCAAACTCTTATAAATGCCGTACTTGCTCTCTGGTCTTTGTTCTCCACTGCCTTTGTTGCGTTTTTCATGGTTGATAGATTCCCTCGACGAACACTATTCCTCGTATCTACTACTGGAATGTTGATCTCTTTCGTTGGTGAGTGAACAGAGTCGAAATAATTCATTTGGTGGAAGTTGACTTGAGCGCCAGTCTGGACTGCCCTCGAAGCTTCATACGAAAAGCAAGTTGACGCTGGCGGAGTCGTGAATACTGGATACGCGAAAGGAGTTCTCGCAATGATCGTTCTGTATAATACATCATTCAACATTGGATGGACACCACTGCAAGTCACTTATGTCTGCGAGATCTTGCCTTACAACCTCAGAGCAAGAGTATACTTCCGTCTCCCTCATTCTACAGTCTTGTCAGCCGTGTTGACAATATCCAGGGTCTTGTTTTGTACAGCTTCGCGGTCGCGCTGGCACTGATCTTCAACCAATACGTCAATCCGATTGCTTTGGCCAAACTTAAGTGGCATTGTTAGTCTCCTCAAGCCTCTTATTTCAGCTTCCAAGGGCTAACAGAAATCTCAGATTACATTGTGTACGACGTGTGGTTGCTGGTCGAGTTGGTTGTCGTTTACTTCCTCTTCATCGAAACCAGCGGCTCTTCACTCGAAGAGATCTCTCTCTTAATCGATGGCCCAGAACTCAAAGCAAAGATGGTTGATAATGTTGCTCAAGCAACGGCAATTAACTTCCCAGAGGAAAAGCAAGCTGGCATGGGAATTGAACACAAGGAGATGAGGGAGGCAGCTGACAGAGAGGTAGCATAGTTGACTAAGTTGACTTGTGGGAGACTCGACTCAAGTCAAGGCTCTCAGAATAGCTTGGAAGGTCGTCAGAGAATGGGATGCGTGAGATGTCGTAGGTTTGGAGGAGGCTTGATGAGTGAACATGAAAAGGAGAGCAGTACATGCAATTTAAACAATTCGAACTTCCTAATATCTTACAAACTCTTCGAGATAGATTCAATGTGTGGGTGCCCCTGCGAACCCCTATAGATCCCTACTCAGCTCGCGTAGCATTCCAAAACCAGGATTGTCCGCCCAAAGTAGTAATTTCCGTGCACGATTAAGGTTAACTCTCTTATATATACATATATATTAGCACCTTTCCAGGGCCTCCCTAAAAGGGTGCTTATGCGAATGAAAATTTGGTTCCATTTTAGCCCTCTTCCCCCTCTCTTGAGGAGGCCAGTTTTTATAATTTTTGTCGTGAAATAAGACTTTCTTTTTCTACTACATTTTAGCCCCTAGAGCGCGTATATAAAAGCGATCAAGAAGCCCGTCCCTCTCAGTTCAAAGGTACTCTCTAGTTCATGAATTCATTGCAAGAAATTGAGGTCTTTGTCTTTAACATTGACTGAATAAGTCAGTGACGAATCCATTGTGCTCTAAAAGGAAACTTAGAAGATCAGGCATTGATATTTCTAATTGGCAGGTGCTACCTACCAGTTAAGGCCACGCATGTATACCTAGTTTCTCTCGTTGCATAGACTCTGCTTTCGTATGGTTTCTATGTGCGACACCGATGTCCTTAGAGGCGGAAACTTCAGAGGCATACATAAGGACCTGTCGTGCCAGCCCGTGGAGGCTGGAGGGTTACTGGAGGTTCTTACCGCCTCTGATTCTGGTTATACAGACCAACAAGGCCAACTCTATTAGTTTCGCCAGAGTCCATCCCTCCCGGCTTCCCACATCGTTCAATCTTTGAGTAATGTTCTCCCACCCCAACCAATATCCTACGCCAAGGGGCCGGCGGTAGTGAGCCCTCTGGTAATAGAGGTCATGGAACGAGTTAATCTCACCATTTGGCCAGTGAACCATTTCTTCTCTTAAGTCGAAGTTGATTGATATCGGTTGGCGAAGAGTCCTTTAAGGAGTAAATATGTTTGAAGTAATGAAAGATGATAGACTGAGAGGGAAAATGAGATTATTCATAATCTCCAGAAGCAGCTATCTTCTTCTCCCTATTTCGGTACATGCGTGATTTAAATTTACAGGTTCGTGGAAAAGTGATTGGCATTCATGTTCTGAAATTAGAAGGATTCACTGCCTGGCTGCAACTCTTCGCAACATTTACTTTTGGCCCCGAGACTCTATATTCGCCTCAGATTTTGCAGGAAAGCTTAGGAGAATATTGAGTCCAACTAGTAGTAATTAATAAAGTATTCTCTACTGCAGTTAGTTACGCACAGCAAAGAATGAAAAGAAGATGAGCTGCTTTTGCAAGTAGTGATTGTCCCGCCGGTAATCGACTCGTTACGGTTTTGTATATGTTAAAGTGTGCTCATGATAGCCATCGTATTTGCAATACTTGCATGTTTTCAAGGTGGACGGTTTCTGACAGTTATGTTCGTGATACACCCTGCGGCTTTGGGCGTGATTGTTACCGGACACGGAGTTCTTATGACGCCGGTCACTACTTATAGTAGACAACTTGCATCGACTTCGCGAGGAAACAATTAGAACCACGGGGAAAAGCATGTTTGCTCAGAATCTCCTCGAGTCCATAACTTCGTACAACTTTGACCACCTACTTTTCCATACTTCCACCGCTAACGTTCAAAGACCCAAACTCAAACTACAACTAAAGCATCTACAGGGAAGAAAAGTACTTGTACACAACCAACCGGAACTCATCAAGAGCCTAGAGAATACCAGGATCCTTCTCCTTTTCAACGAGACTCCAAGAAACATGTGCAAGGTTTACATTATGAGGTTTGGTTGCCGCCACAAAAGCCGCAACCAGGGCGTTGGCAAATACATATATGACATTTGCCCATTCGCGAAGAGTCGAGGATTAGATCCTTCGGAGTGTGGTTACTATACGGGAATCCAATTTCTTGAAAGTCCATATCTGTGCGAGAACTGCATGGTTGCTGAACTTTGATGTAAGTAGAAGTTGAGGACGACTATGTGGATGCGCGGCTAACATTTCAAGGATATCACAGACAGGTTCTGGATAGGCTGGAATGGAGGAACAAGATTTCCTGAGCGAGTTTGGAGTGCCATGGTCCTGCGCTGTCGCGCAACTCCTCGGGACTCCCTCGATGACTCGATCACAGAAACATTTTCCAGGATATATTCTGGTGCACAACTCCTCACACAGCCGTTGCACAAATCACGAATATGTCTGCCAGTCTCCGAAGTGGAGTTTCCGACTCCTATGTTTCAGTCAATAGATCAGGCAAGACAATATTTGCACCTGTTGCTAAGCCACATTTTCCATTTGACCGAGCAGGCAAGGCAGCAGGGGAAATCCACAGCTGGATCTTCTCTAGAACTAGTTGGCCACCAGCGCGGTATTCAAGCAAAGCTTTCTTCCTTGCTCCGTACCTACATTGCTTCCAAAGCTAGTTTCCTTGCTCACCCACCCCCCCCCCCCCCCCCCCCCTTCGAAGTGGCTTCGCTTATGGGCTGCTACGTCTCTACCACACCATGGCCTCCATCAGGGCACACACTTGCCTTTCCTCAGCGGAGGAACGAATCTGCGACTCTCATACCAACGACTTCATCGCCATGATAATGAAGTCCATAAATATTAGAAGCACTGCACGAGCATAACATCGAAAATCGAAAACGACGATAGATGTGGGTTGGATTCTGCCGCTTTATTGCATTGCGATAAAATTACGAATCCACCGGATAAGGCTGCAGGCTGTCAAACTACTTGAATCTACGAGACCTTTGCATAGGGAGGGAATTTTAGATGCTTAAATGGCGACTAATATTGCTCAGAAGGTGATAGAGATTGAGGGGAGCGACTTCTATGAGCATACGCAGACGGCTGATAACTTTGAGTTTCCCAGTCAATCTCAGGAGCAGAACTTCTTATTGCCAGTGCTATCTGGCTCGCGTCGGGCACATGAAGTCCGAGTGGTGTTGCCGGATGACTCAATAGGGAGGATTGTATTGTCTTGCAGGCAGAAGCAAAGCAACGGTCGCGTGCACAGGAGAGGGCATGAGTATGATGAGTTTTCCAAATATTTCATGAAGAAAGGGGGAAAATTAGTACTAAGAGACTGCAAGCGTGTAGAGTAAACAGAAAGAAGAAAAGATCCAAGCCGCTGTCAGCACCATGACACACACTCCCTGCAACCTTCCCTTTTTTCACCCCAGGTTTTCAACCCCACCATTCAACCAAGACTTTCTCTCTATGATACAGGAACCATCAATCTATCGATATCGGGTGCCCAACCTGAATTATACGCTTCAAACACGATCGTATTTCCCGTCCCCGCATTCAGCGGAACTGTCAACGTGCTCGTGCCCGGAACCCCGCCCGTAGTTGGCAAGAAGGCGATGACTTTACTCACTCCGTTGGCGACCACATTTGCATATCGCTGCGTTGAGTCGCCGTTGTTATGGTGGATGCGGATGGTGGTTGTCGTTGAGACCGTGCCTGTACCCGTCATCAGCCTAGAGATGGAGAGGATTGAGTAAACAAAACTACGACGTACTTGAGATCCCCTTAAAAGTTAATGTCCCACCCGGGGAGGGTCCCCCAATATATCCAATATCGCTCGCGTTCGAACAACTCGAGCAAGTCAATATTCTCGCCCCACCAGCCCAGGAATTAGTAGATGATTCAGCCTCGGGCGTTGTTTCAGAGGGACCGGTGGTCCATGTTCCGGCTGCGATGTTGAGGATCCAATTTACTTCATTGTGGAGTGCAGCTGTTGGGCCGGAGATGGTGAGGGGAAGCCAAACATAGGTTGATGTCATAAGGTTTGTAGATTGCCAACGGTCGCCCATGTACCTGGATGAAAGTCAGAATTACTCTGTCTGAGTGAAATACGGATTTGAAATACGGATTTCGATTGTGGCGAGGAGGTGAGAGGAGAGGAATACATACATCACTACACCATTGATGTTTACGATTGCTGCTGTCTGACTTGAGAAGGTGTTCGAACCCGCAGTAGCGAAATCGGCCCACGCTGACCAAGGCCCAGCCAGCGAAGTTGCTGTGCAGTAGATATTATCATTTGGTGCTGTCTGTCATCAGTATCTTTTTTTCCATGATTCAAAAATGCCTGTTAAAGGAGTAGAAGATGAGAATAAACTTACACCATCCACTCTCATGACTAGCAAACATAAAATATGTACTCCCGCTCTTGTACAAAGCTGGGGCTTCATAATCTTGTGCATATAGATAAGTAGCCGATACCACGCTTAAGTAATCGGCAGAGAGAAGGTCGATTCGAAGTCCATTAGCGCGGTCTTCAGTCAAGAGATAACCGGTCCCGTCGGTGTCTGAGGTGATTTCCAGTTAGCAGCTGTTCCGTAGCATCCCGTGACTGAGTTCTCGCCTTTAAACACATTCAAATCTCGACTTTGAAAGCCTAGAGGTTGACTCGCGCCCCTGGATTCATGCATCAGTTTATAAATCGACAATCTTCATTTCCGAGTCTTACTCGAAGAGACTCACAAATAAGTATAGTCCCCACAAATACTAGCAGAGGTTGCAACACCCGCTCTCGCCTCTGCATAGCTCGAATCATCGATGTGCATCCACATGACATATTTGCTCGTTGCATCATTGTAAAGGACGTGTGGACGTTCCACTACACGATTTGGCCCAAGGTCACCGGAGCTTTGGAGGGTTAAGAGTTCGCTCACGAAAGTCCATTGGACAAGATCCTGGGAACATAGAAGGTTAGGCTTGCTGCGCAAGTGTTTGTGCATGTGGGAGTGAAATGAGGGAAGGGGAAGCAAAGGAAATTGCGAGGAGGGTAAACAAACTCACAGTGCTGGAATAGCAATTGATGCTCTGGAAAGCACTACCAGCTAGTTTATTCTCTCCGATAAGGTAGAAAACATTATCGACTTCGACAATGCCTCCGCCGTGGGCTTGCATATGTTGATTTGTTCCCGCAGTGGTTATTGTGGAGCCCGGAATCTAGGAGTTTTCACTCAGCCACCAATTTTATTCGGAGGGGCACACAGCCATATGCTAATGATAAGAGACTTTTCTAATTGGAGAGACTCTCACAATTTGAAGAGATGCTACCGTAAACGTGGCCATGAAGCCGATCTGGAAAAACAAGGACAACATCTTCGAGTTTGAATATAAGGCGCCGAGTGAAAGATTCTGGTAAGAAAACTATTTACCTTAATGCAAGTGGACTTTACTTATGCCATTTCTGAATATCATAGCAAGACCGGATTAGAACATGTGCTGAAAACAGGAATGACTGGATGGAAGAACATATCCCTGGCCAGATCGGACCTCGCCCCACTTGAGCTTAATTCCCCGGATTATCTCCCGGATTTGGGCTTACGACTGATCATGCGCCAATATGAGCATCGCTTGATGGAAATAATGGGTACTAGCTTCCCCGATGCTTTGTCCGAGAATCCGTGGGCCTCCTTTTCTATTATTTTACAGGTTTGGAAGGGCTGACGAACAGGACGGCTTCCCCGTTCATCCCCGGGTGGAATCGCACCAATCAGGAAGCAAGCAGATAGTGGAATCTTATACCTTGACGCAAGTCTTCTGATAGCTGAGATGATCAACAATTCTCTAGGAACTTAGCCTAGGATTCAAGAGCCACCGATCATCAAGGCTAGGTTGTTCAGATTGAGTTTTTTCCCTAAAAGCTAAATAGATTTGAAGGGTTCTTGAGTTAAGAGGCTTTGAATAATCCTTGCTTGATGGCAGTAAAGGCTGAGGATCGGCTGGCTCATCCATGCGTTGTGGCATAGGCTACCATGATATTTTCTTGATACGATTTGAAAGTAGATGCTTTTATTTTAGAGATCCCTCCTCATCGACAGCACATGCCCTGCAGCCCACGAACTCGCCCTCGATAATTCCTCCGGCCACACCACAGCCATATCATCAGATGCGCCACCCATAGAACCAGATTTTGAGCTCAATCTAGTTCTACTGTCTCCAGTCCCATACTGGCTGTGCCGCAGCCTTTGTTCTTTGACTTTCAGCAGTAAATACTCTTGAAAGCTTTGTGCCTCATTCGCGGCGGCTTTTAAGTCTTCCGGACTCATATTACCATCTGCTCCTACTCTCGTGTATGAAATACTTTGTGCGGTGTTGAGGGTGTTCCGGATCTCCCTCCCGTTCATATTAATTTTCGCACATCTGTCTAATTGGGCAAGGAGAGCATTTTTGCTAGAGCGTTTGAGTCCCAGTTTCTCATTGTTGAACCAGTTCTCCCAGATAATTCTACGATGTCCCTCGTCCAGAACGCCCATGTGGATTGCTACTTGAATACGCGACATGAACGCTGCGTCGATGGTACCGATACGGTTGGTCGTCAGAAACATGATGCCTTCGAAGTATTCAAGCTGGCTTAGAAAAGCTAGTGTGGCACATCTCAGTTGCAGGTCATCGATCCAGGGTAATCATACTTACTTGCCACGACTGCATTTCTTTGAAAGTCTTCGATGGATCTTGCTTCTAGAACAACATCTGCTTCATCCATAATAAGATAATATAAGTAACTAAAATAAATAAGCTATAAAGTAATACTTATAAATATAACTAATTTCAAGAAATAATTCTAATAAGAAATTAATTAATATTATTCTTTAAAGCTATATATATCTTTTTATATCTTTTATAATATTTAGCTAAATATATAAAGCTCTTTACTTAATTAAGAAATATAATCCAATATAATTTATATAATTCTAGTATAAATAGTACTTAAAATTTGCTTATATTATATTTATTATATTTATTATATTTATTACTAGCTACTTTCTAAAAAGCATTAAATTAGTTTATTTAAGAATTATAATTCTTTAAAATAATAATCTTTATTATAGCTTCTGCTATAATTGCTATTAAATAATAAGAATAAAGTTTATTAATTAATTAATAATAAAGAAATGCAATTATCGAAGGAGTTAATTAAATAAGCTCTTAAATACTCTTTGCGGCATGTGACGGCAGGAACAAAGCAATGGAATAATGCTCAAAGATCTATGATTCCAATGTCCTACAGAATCTAAAGCTAAGGAGAGAAGGAGTGAGGTGTGGCAGTGGATAAGTAGGTATGGCCAAAACCACTGGAACGCCGAGCTTTGGAAGCGAGCTTGATTTGAACCATAGCTTGGAACCTTAGCTAAAACCAACCCCTTTGGCTGAAACCACCTCCGTATCAATCATGTAACACCAGCCGTTACACGGCATGCCAATTATAAGTATATTAGTGCGAGGCCAGGCTTATAACTAATATATGCAGAATAGGGAATAGTATTTAGAGTAAAAGAGTTAATTAAAGCTAGCTAGAAAAGAGCTTTAGTAAAGTGTCAGAACTCTAGAATATGAGTATATAGAGCTTGACTAAGCGGAGCGATCGCGCTATATCCAAAAGAGAGATTGTACTGCAATATTACTATAACAAAAAATAAGGATATATAGGGATTAGCTTGCTTAGGAACGATTGGATCGTGTAACGGCGGGATTAAGGCAATGGTACAAAGGCTTAAAGATCCGAGAAAATCCCATATTGAGAATACTAAGCTAAAGAGAAGAAGGAGAGAGAGAGGGAAGAAGGAGGGGATAAAGGGAGGGAAATACTAGCTAAAACCACTGAAACGCCGGCTAGCTAGGTGAAACTAGTCATATGACAGCCACCCCCCTTTGGCCCCAGCCAGCGCCGTCACAGATCGATCCATTACTATCCGTTCCTGACCAATACTGACCCCCGGAACATCCTGGAACGCTCTATTCGGTACGGAACCTCGCCAAGCCTGGGGAGAAGGTCGTCTTCATGCACTGTTTCCGTCGGCATAACCACATCGTTCGAAGTCGCCTTGGCGCATGTATCGAAGCTTACAGGTGCATTAAAATTTGCCGTTGCGTGTGCTGGTAGTGCAGTGACAGAAGTCAGCCGTCGAAACTGAATCGGAACTGGACGGTATCGGCTGAAGGGCACGTCGGCACTAATCATCTTCAGCGCCAGTGCATTGAACTTGGGGAACAGAACTACCCACGTTGATCTCCTTCTGGCGACCTTTTGGGCAAGCACCAACTTCCCGAACTTTGGCAACTTCAAGTTTTCTCGCAGCGTAATTACTAACCATCTGAATTCAGTGATCCGGCTGAATCCTGTGAGGATTCCTTGTGCGATGCTATTGTAAGGTCCGATATATCACCGCCCTTCTTCAGCCATAAAATGGCTTTCATAGTGGTGCTTATTCCACGCAAAGCCTCCACAAGCTCACTTGGATTGCTCTTTACCCACTCATTAAACTCAAATAGATCCTTCGTGAGGTCTTTTGTGTCAGTGTAAGCCTCTCCTCTGGATGTAAAAGAGGCATGCATGATTTCGCCAGCTTTTCGAAGCACAGCAAAGAACAGTAACTCTCTGTGAAATCCAGCCTGGGCGAGGAGCTGATCTTGCAATAGTGTGGTGGTTGTAAGGTTGTGGAATTTTTGGCTGAGCTCAATAGCAAACCTCAGACAGGTCCGAAAGGATTGATAAAAGATAGTCATCTTATGTAGCAAGCTCACATTGTCCAGATGCCAGCTTCCCAACATTGTATTCATGATTTTGTGAGCAACCTCAGGAGACAAGACCATGATTCCAGATTCGCTGTGAAAGTAGCGCAAATTTTTTTTTGAGGAAAATCCAAACCAATTTAAGATGCCAGCGGGTATGGTATCGGAGATCCAGCCACAGCAGCAGCGATTTGTATCGTGGTGACGATCAGTACTATTGGAGCGGCTAAGCAGGCACGAGGTAGAATCCAGGCTACTGGGGTCCAGATGTCGCAGTGTTGCTCCTTCTACCTCTTGCAATAAGCCATAAACATAAGAAGAGTCTCGATAATGAGGTGGTAAACAGCAAGATGTCTCCTTGTTATAGCCAATCATCTGCGCCAGCCCCAAATTTTTGAGTTTCTTCCCAGGCTTCTTTGGAGGAAGAAAATCAAGAACACTAGTGCAAAACACCTGCAATCGACTTTTGATAGCCATTTGTAGCTGGTCTGCTAATGTAGCATCCAGTCTTTGTGTCGACCCAAGGCGCTGAACCTCTTCAAATATAAGAATAAGAATAAAGGTGAGACTTCTCTTGTCGACCGACTGCGCATCTTCAAATATCCTGAAAACCATGGCTAGAAATTGCACCTCCCACTTTTCGAAAAGACCAACAGCCTCACGGAGCTCAGGTGCCAAGTAGAGTAAAGACTCTTTCCACTGAACGGTGACGTGAATATAAATCCACAAATCCAAGATGCTATTGCCGCCGGGACGCAACGCTATGAGTCTCATCCTCTGATACTCGAGGCAATCCATGACGGCGACTAGGTTGTTCCGTGACGTTACGCTCTGCGCTCTGAAAATGGACTTGATCTCAGAAACTGATGGATATTGTGACATATCTACAACAGATTCAGCCCGTGTATATAATCTGAAGGGGAAAAAAGGGAAGATCCTACCTAAGGGCGAACTGAATAGGTCATAATCTGTCAACTTCCACCTGATCGTACAAGTCCACCTGAAATTGGTTGAATCGTAACTTCGGTTTTGCCAGTACTGTTGGCACGTGTCGCAAGGGCGTTCACCGGAGCACTAAGAGGTATATGAGCATCGAATAGAAAGGAGGTCCCTAACTAGCAAACTACCTTTCTTCTGTTAACAACGCAATATAGACAAGATCCGCCTGCCTTAATAACATCCTTCCTATTCTCCTTTTGAGATTTCGTACGGTTGCGTTTTATCGGAGGGCCTTCGCAAAATGATAATACACTAAGGTGAGGTTCGGGTACTCCAGAACTCTTCGAAAGTTGGCGAATAACAGATAGTTCTTGGTGCTGGTTTGCCTCAGGAGATCGCTGTCTCTTGCGGTTAGTTTTGCTAAGGTTCTGGCGAGAAGGCCCTTGATAGGGTAAGGATGGAGTAGAGGCCGACTGGGTTGGATCTAGACTCTGTCTGTCTGGCAGCACAGCCGATACTGGATTCATGGAGGGCTGGTCTAAGGAAGAATTCGGTATACTTTGTACTCCGAATTGTGGCTGGCTGGCGATGTCGGAATATGGTGGCCCAAGAACACTGTGGGCCGGAAGATCGGCGGATTCGGACGATAAAAGGTCCACCGGAGTTGCACCAAGCTGGTCATTAGAAACAGGATATAGCATATCAACAAAATCAGCGCTAGAATTGTTGATAGATTGTGTATAAGGTTGACGCGCATATTTGCTGCTTGTGTGTGCTAATTCTGTAGACTATGTTTGAAATGTGAATTAGCGAGCCTTAAATGGTAAACTCTCTAGAACAATGTGCTTACGAAGGTATCACTTGTCTGGCCGTTATCGCTGGTCATTCCACCACGACTAGCTGGACTAGTTCCTAAGACCATACTGCCCCCGAAAGCACCGGGATTCTGGTTGTCTTGAGAAACAAAACAAGTGGAAAGCGGAGTTTGCGGTTTTATCGATGATCTCTGGCGTAGTTCTTGGCGTCTCTGCTTGAGCGCCTCAAGACTAAGTCGGAGCTCGATGTTTTCGATTTGACGGTCGAGTTCTTGTAACTCGTCAGATGGATTGTTGGGATTTGCCAATTCAACTTGTTGCTGGGAAAGGGCATTCCTCGTCTCGATGGGTTGCGATGGCGCCATATGAGGGTCAATCATTGGATTCTCGAAGTCTCTTAGAATATCCGGATCTGGAGGTGGCATGCCAAAATCAGATTCTTGCCCATTGTAAGCCTCCCATGGCGTCACAACATCAGAGTGTCCAGTGCCTGACGATGGCTGCGGCGCCGGCTCGGGGTTGGGTACATCGTTAGAGTTTGGCAATGGCTCAGCGTAATAGTCCCTCCACTCAAAGAATTCATCAAGGTGGCCATTATCGGGATGATCGCCATGGCTCTGTGGATCAGCCATTGCGGTAGATCAGACTGAGAAACTGAAGGAGACGAGGAGTATCGAAAAGGCCTGGCCAGCAAAACTCATGAAGCAGGTAGATAGTGGAAAGTACCCGTATCAAAGAATCGAGGGGAAGTTGATGATCTGTGGTCTGCGATCTGTGTCATTCAACGTTCAAAATTGTTGTTGTTGCGGTTGCAGCTGCAATTGGATGCCTGACGGAAAGCTCTGGTGTCACGTGTGTGCCAAGCCCTTCCCGCAACCCCTTTTGAGTCTTCCACAACTCGAATATGGAATAGTGATTTGATACATATCCTCCCATCCTTGATGTATACACACCTCGCATCCTTTCCGCAAGCCTAATTGAGCTGTCGGCAGCGTCGATAGCGCTGATGATAACAATGTACCGCCACTGTTGAATGAGTTAAAGCTACGGCGAATTGTTGTTTTTGAGCAGGATGTAGCTTACAAATAGTTCCAACGAAAACGACCCAAAAAACACCACGCCTTGGTAGCGACAACGCCATGAAGCCATTTTCCGACCCCTGGTCGCGCTCAGATATTCTCTCTCTGCTCCAGCTGATCACGACGATTATCATATGTATCATCAGTTGTATTTGGCGCTTGATAATTCAACGTAGTAAGTGAAAGCGGTGTTATTGCTTGACCAAAAACTTGTCAAGGTCCTAATTATATCCTAGTGTGTCGTTCTAGCCCGTCGGACAACTCAGCATAGTGAGACGTGCTCAGAGGAGACCTACCTACTTTACCGAGACCGTTCGCCATCTCGGCCCGGCCCAATTCCTTCATGGGTACAGCTCACCCAAACACCGGAGTTGCTCGGGATGCGGTAGAAAGATACAGACTATCCTGGGGAGGGTTCCAGAATATCTTCATTTGAAAGGGGCTAAAGGGTGACAAAAATTGACGGCTGGTTGAGACTAGCTCCAGAAATTGCCAGTTCTCTGATACCTACTTACGGATATCCTCTTCGAAATTTTTGCCCATAGTCAGGTGACTTTCTTATAAAAAAAGCCCCACAGTTCCAATTTTCCTTCGTGATACCGTGGCATCTCGTGGCATCAACTGATCAACGCGCCTCATTCCAATTTGGACGCGTTTGTTTCACAGGCCCTATATGAACTTTCGCAGTTGGGCTGGCAGGGGCGGTTTTGTGCACTCTTTCCCTCTGGTTCTTGTTCCCTTCTCCCTCTCCCAATTCATGAACTGTGCCACTCGCTACATCAACATCGAATTCTTTCACTTCACCACATCGATCTATTAACGTACCTCAAAATGTCCCCATCACTCTCCTCAAACCTCCACCTCGTCGCGCGCAGCATCAGAAAAGCCTTGTTCTTGGACGTTGAGTTGCAAAGTTTTGGGAATGAATAAAGCCACCAAGTCCGGTGGCACATACTTTTGAACTCACAGCGGTGGTTTTGAGTGGCTTTATAAGACACAAACGCTTCTCTATATTTTGAGTGCAACGCAACCAGGCTTGGCAAAAATACTTTTGGTATCAATAAGGTATTAATACTGGATGGTATTAGTCAGGTATCGCAAGTGTGACGGCGGGATCTAGGCAATGGCCAAGGCTCAAAGATCCGAGAATCTCATGTATTGAAAATACTAAGCTAAAAAGAAGAAGGAGAGAGAGAGAGAGAAGGAAAGGGGATAAAAGAAGGGAAATACTAGCTTTAACCACTGAAATGCCGGCTAGCTAGGTGAAACCGGTCATGTAATAGCCACTTCTCTTTGACTCTAGCTAGCACCATTATAGCAAGAATTAATATATATTAATACTAAATTAATTCTTATCCCTTAAATTATTTCTTTCTTTTATTATTTAACTTATATAATGATATATTTATATATAATTCCTTTAATTTCTAGCCTTTCTATTAAAAGAATTACTTATTATTATTAAAAATTAATAATATCTTAAATTTAAAATAGCTCTTATATTTAGAGAATTAAGCTTTATATTCGTATTTCTTATTAAAATGCTTATTATAAGCGAGCCTTACGAAAATCTTAAAAGCTTATTTTTACTTAAAATAGCTATATTAAAATAAGTTTTAGTCTAAAGTATAAGATAAGTAGCTAAATAAAAAGCCTAAATTAAGTAAAATATATATATTATTAAAAGTTTTCTTATAAAAGAAGTAGTTCTAAAGTTAATTATAATTAAAGAGAGAAGTTAGATTTTAGAAATTAATATTTTATAATTCTGGTATTAATATATTTTAATACCGGAAATAAGGTATTTCTATTAAATCTAAATCTATATATATTTCTATAATTATTTTTAATATTTGCTATATTATAATAATAAAATACTTCGAGGCTTTATATAAAATCTTATTAAACTCGAGAATAGTTATCTAATTCTCTTAAGCTTATTATATATGCCTTTTTATATCTTATTAATATTTTCGAAATTATTAAAATTCGCTAGCTAACTTATATTTAGTAAGATATATAAGTATTATAAAATAAGAATTATTTATATTAGATATAAAATGCTTTATAAATAATATTTTACTAAGATATATTTACTTTAAATAAAATATATTCTAGATTAGTAATAAATAAAGCTATATATATATTTATTATTTTAAGCTATTTATTTTTTAATTTAAGATTATAGTTATAATACAAGTTATATATAAAGAAAACTAACTAATACTAAAGTTATAAAAAACGCGTATTTTAATAATTAATTAGAATAAGGCTATAAGCTTACCTTATATAGCTAATTGCCTTTTATTATAAAATATTATTATTATTATATAATTATTTAGGCTTAGTAAAAATTTCTTAATTTCTAATATTAATAAATATTAATATTAGAATTATAAGATATTAATATTATTAATACCGGAATTAATTTTTAGTAAATATTTGCCTTATTTCTAAGGCTCTAGCTAATTTTAATACTATTATCTAAATTATATTAAATAAATATATTAATTATAGCTTTATATATTATAATATAGCTTAATTTAAATTATTTATACTTTTATTTTAATTATTAATAATTTTAATTATTATAAGATATTTATTAATAAATAATAAAATAATAGAATAAATTAGTAAATTATAAAACTATAGTATTAAATTTAGTATAAAACTAATCTCTATTTCTCTTATAAGATTCAGGAAAGCCTTTTCTAAATAAGAGCTTCTAATAATATATATATATATATATTTAGTAATTAATAAGCCTAAAGCTTATAATATAAATAATAATATAATTATAATATTAAAGAGCTATTAATTTTTCTAATTAATTCCCGTAATATTCGAGGTTTATTATATATTCTTAGATTATATATAATTCTATATATATTATAACTATATATTTCTTTTAGTATTTTATTTCTAAAATCTATTAATTTATTCTAGTAAAATAATAATTTATTTATTTAATTAAGATAAACTTCTAGTATTTTGGGAAGTAGTTTTACTAATATAATTTAAATAATAAATATAAAAATTATTTAATTAGATTAGAGCTAAATAAGTAAAAAGAAATAGTAATTATATTTCAGATATAGAATCTGGTTAGTAATTGCAATTTCGTTTAGAAACTAAGTATTCTAATTAGTTTAATCTAAAATACTAAGATATTATTTTATAAAATTAATACTATTTATTAAATCTTGTATTAGAATAATCTAAATAGCTTTATAGAAAGAATTTAATAAAATATTTATATAAGAAACTTATATAAATATTTCTAAGATTCTAGAAATTATTTATAGGCTCTTAGAAGCATATATTAATTAGTTATATTATTTTCTAATTAGAACTAGTATAAAAACTAGTAATTAATTCAAGTAGCTCTTTATTTTTATAAAAGAATTTTTTATATTATTATATACTTTTTTCTTTTCTAATAATTATATATATAATAACTCTTTCTATTATTACCTTCTAGATTTTTTTTCTATTCTTTTTTAAGTCTTTTTTAATTACTTTTAATTATTTTTATAATATTTTTTTGGGCTTTATTATTTACTAATATAATTTCAAATATAAAGATAATCTTATAGCCTTTTTTCTTATTACTATTATAATAAGGGTTCTAAATCTTATATTTTAGTAAGTTCTTTAGCTTTAATATTTATTAAAGCTAATATAATTCTAGATTTCTTATTACTTATTAGAGATTTACTAGTTCTAGGAAAATACTATTATAATTTTTAAGAAATTCCTTGAAATATATTTTAAATAATATTATATTATTAATAATAAGCTTACTAATTAGGTTTTTAATAACTAGAAGAAATTTATTAAACTTTGAAATTTTGCTTCTTGTTTTAATAAGGCTAAAAAAAATACTACTTGAATTAATATTCTAAAAATAAAGTTTTTCTAATATATTTAAATATTTACTAATTATCTAAAGAAATATTATAAAGTTTATTTTCAAGATATTAAGTATAATAGATCGAGACCTGATTTATATATTTGGCTAGAAGCCTTTATTATATAATATATTCTTTTAAATTAATAAAATAATTATATATTATTTAGGGAACTCGAATATTTTAGGGAATATAATTTCGCTTTTTCTTATTTTTCTTTTTCTTTTCTTTTTAGAGAATTCTATTTAGTTAATTAAACTACTAGTTTTCTTTATATAAAGGCCTGGCCTATAATATTAGAATTCTTTTTCTTCTATTTTTACTAACTAGAGATTATATATATATATAACTAGAAATAAGAAATATTTAAACTTATATATAAAAGATAAAGCTAGAAATAGATTTTATTTAAAATTACTTATAAAGCTAATATTTTAGTAAGACTTTAGAATATATAAAAGCTAGTAATAAGAAATACTTAAAACTATATATAGAAGCTAGAATATTAATTTAACTAGTTACTACTAGGAATTATTTGGGTTTTCTTAAACCTAGCTTAAGAAAAGAAAACTACCGAATTCCCTTATTATATAAAGATTTAGAAATAATATTTCTAGTAATTAATTAGATAAATAAATAGTT